GAAGTAACATTTGAACAGATAATAATAGAGAATATTCCCCAAACTAAAACAGAACATCAACCCAAAGATTCAGGTAGTTCTGTGAGCCTCAAAAGAACAAATACATAGAAATTATGTCAAGGCATATTATTACAAGCCTGCTAAAAAGTGAAGACACAGAAAAATACTAAAAGCAGTCAGGGTAAAAAAGACACATTACCTTCAAATGAGGGCAGCAATAAGACAACTACTCAATAGAAACAATGAAAGCCAGAATATCCTTAAAATACTAAAAGAAAAAGAAAAAGCCAACCTAGAATTCTGTATCCACAAAAATATTCTTCAAATATGATGATATACAAAGGTGTCAGATAAATAAAAATGGAGAGAATCTGTTGACAGCAAATCTACACTATAATTATAGCAAAGGGACAGAGAACATGATCCCAGGTGAAAACAGAATTGTAGGAAGAAGCTAAGAACAATGGAAAGGATAAATATATGGGTAATATAAATGTTGACAGTAAAAATAGTAACAGTAATATGTTGTAGTGTTTTAAATATATATATACAATTAAATAGCAAAGAAAGGGGAGAGTAAGTGGAGTTAAAAAGTATTCTAATGTCCCATTGTTTTCAGGGAAGTCATAAAAGGTATAATTTGTTTTATACTCTAAAAGCCATTAAGTTAAGGATGCACATTGTAATCTCCAGGAGAACCACAAAAAGAAAAGAATGTGTAAGTATAAGTTAACAGAGGGGCAAAAATATAACAAAATATTTTAATAATCCTAATAAGATAGGAATCAATGAAATATAAAAACAAACATACATATGCAATAAATTTCCATATACAGTATAGAAAACAAACGAATTCAGTTGCTGGTTCTTTGAAAAGAAATTGATAAACCACTAGCAAGATTCCTTGAGAAGAATCCAAGGTTGGTTTCACCCTTAAAAATCTGTTAATGTAATAGTCACATTATTAGATTAAAAAAGAAAAGCCATGTAATCATTTCACTAGAGTCACAAAAAGTATATGACTAAGTTCAACATTAACATATTAAAAAAAACATTTTTGGCAAAGTGGGAATATATTCCAATACAGAATATAAGAAAAAATTCTACAACCATTCTTAATCCACATCACTCTTAATCCTGAAAAATTAAAAGTATTTCCTTTATAATGAGGAACAAAAATAGTCTCCTTTGATAATTTCCATTTATTATTGAACTAGTGAGCCCATCTAGCATGCTTGCAACCTTATAAATAATAATGAATAAAGGTTTTAGGATTGAGTGAAAGAAACTAAATTGCCATTATTTGTAGACAGTCTGGTTAATAGAAAACTAAAAGAAACAAGAAATAATATTCTTAGAATAAGAAAGGTTAGCAAAGTTGTGGGATATCTTCAATATATGTCAATTTTATTTTAAAATCCCTTTTACATGAAACAGTAAATATTATATAGTACCTAGGAATATATCTAACAAAATATGTGAAGACTTTAAAAGAAAATTTTTCTAAAATTTTATTGAAAGAAATTAAAGATGACCTAAATAAATGAAGAGATATGCCATATTTATGGATTGGATTGGATAATCTTTAATTATGATATCAAAATTCTTTAAATGTCAAAAATATTCCAATTGATTTATAAATTCAGTGCTTTTAAACAAAATTCTATAGGTTTTTGGTGGAAATTAAGCTATTTAAAAAATTATACAGAAGATAAAGTACAATCTTTAAAAGTGTGAATCACTAGGGTAAGGTTTCCTCATCAGAATACAAATGATTTCCTCATCAAGATACAAAAAAGTACAAACTATATATAAAGGAAACATTTAAGTTAAGAATAACTGTTGATTAAAAGACCAAAGAAATGAAAAGAGAAGCTCAGACAGGGAGCAACATATTGAACCTGCATTGGATTTGTAACTTTCTAGAATATATAAAGAACTTTAAAAAACCAACATGAAAAAGACATCTCAATAGAAAAAATTATCAAAACATGTATTTCCCCAAAGAAGGAAAACTAACTGGCCAGTTACAGGTATGAAAAGGTGGTCAATTTAAACAGTAAAGAGAGCAATACAAATTTCAACCATGAGATAATATTTGTATGCTCTATGACTGGCCAAAATAAGAAGTCTGACAATACCCTTGCTGGCATGGATCTGAAGCAGTGAGAACTACGATCTGCTCTGTTGGAGTATAAATTATTTACAACTACTTAGTAACATATATCATCTAGTGAAGTTGAACATGTGCATTCATGCATTTGTAGAACCAGCAGTTACATTTCTAGCAGTGTCTCTAGAGAATATCTTGCACCCATGTGCCAGGAGAAATATATGATATTCCTACTAGCATTTTTTAATGGTAAAACATTGGAAACAATCTAGATATTTGTAAACAGTAGAATGATAAATTGTGTGCCCATTATGTTGAGTACTAAAGCAGGAAAGTACATTAGTATTATTCTGTCTATATACATTTTTAAAGCATACAGACTTAAATAGTAAATTATATAGGATTACATATACTTGTGTGGAAGAACTATAAAGAAAAAAACAAGGAAATGATAAAATTAGAATTAAGGATAGCAGTTACTCCTGGAAATGTGAGAGAAAAATATGATTAAGGAGGTACATTGTATTAGTTAAGATACTGGTTTAGCTCCATTTGACAGAAATTCCAATTAGTGAAGCAAAGAAAGTTGTAAATTTATTTCTTTTTACAACAGATTGAAAATATTCTAGGCATCACAACCATGTCGTTCTCTAGGAACCAGGCTCCTCCTGCCTTTTTGTTTGATCTTTTGAGCATGACCCTCATCCACAAGGCTGTGGTAGCTCGCCATCACAGGTGGGAGAATGGAGGGCTAAGGGACCTTTGTAAGGCCAGTTTCTAAAGATTGCACACATGACTTCTCTTCATGGTCTGCTGGCTAGGATTTAGTAATTTTTCAGTGCAAGGAAGTTTGAGAAATGTGCCCAGCTGAAAGTCAGGAGTTTTAGAACAGGGAGGAGAGGACAGATTTTGGGAGGAAAGTAGCAATCTCTGCCACAGACTCATGGTGGTGGGACAGGAGGAAAAGTCTTCAAAGGTATTGGTATTGTTCTGTTTCTTAAAGTAGGATGGTGAGTAGAGGTGTTTTTTAAACATTACTTTATGCTTTCCTTACAAATTATATGCTCTCTTGTATATATGAAATGTTTCATTGTTAAAGTTAAAACATGTAGTGGATGCTTTTCAGGCTTTACTTTGCTTGAATCTTATGCAGCATATGGTATTGTTGATCACACCCTCTAGACATTTGAATTTTTATTGGCAGGAATCTCTAGACTTTTCTCTTATTTCTCCAACCATTCCTTTTCAGCCTCCTGGGCTTCACTTTCTCTGCAGGGGAAAAAAGGCCTTTTCCTAGATGCCCCTCACTTGTCTCCATAATTATTTAGGATAGTTTCAAATTGGCTAATGGGTTTCCTGGATTTGGAAAAATTGCAAGAGAAAACTAATTATATGGTAAATATTCAGATTTTATCACCTTTTATTCATAATGTTCTAGCCATACATGGAAAAGGGGAGGTTAGCACATTTTTCTCTTTGTAATTTTAAATAATTGTTTCTTATATCTTTTTGAATGACATCACAAAAGAACAAATAATTCTAGAGTGATTCAAAAGTACCAGTGCATCTTGTAAAGGTAAGAAACAGGAACTGTTCCTATAGATAGATACCTATAGCAGCATTAGAATAAATCTTGGACATGACTCACATCCTTATAACCATGTATCCATATGTTCTGTCTTCTTATAAAAATCAACAATTTACTTGACCATCCAGAATAATGACTGCGTTTCTTAGCCTTCCTTGCAGCTAGGTATGACCGGCTGACCTAAGTCCTGGCCCGTGGATAATAAACAGAAGTCATTATGTGATAAATCTTAGCATATATTAACGGGACTGTTGTTTCCCCAATGAAATAGTGTCAGGCACACATGTATTTGAAAAGTTCTGTTCACTTCAATTTTTTCTAAAGCAAATAAAATAAAATTCATTTGGTGAGCATTCAAGTTTCAACCATATGTCAGGGCCATTGTAGTCGCACCCTTCAAGGAGCTCGCAGTCCAGAGGAGATCTATTGGAATGCTGTGGCAGAGAATGCTATGCCCAAGATGCTATGGAAACACAGAAAATGCCAGTTAGACAGAAAAAGAACTCAAGAACGTTGACAAACTTAATGTAAGCTTATAAAATAAAAAAAATTTTAAATGGCGTCTAAATATTTCAGTTACTATAAGCATTTTAAATATCAATACCATTAAAAATGAGTCTTAACTGTTATAGGAGGTAGAGGTATGAGAGATGGAGTACAAGTGAACTCTATTAATTTTTAAAATATTTGCTCTATTTTATGGATATTTTTCATTGGTTGTATACTAATTTTATAACCAGAAAGAATAATTTAAAGACCTAACATTTAACAGAATATGTATTTTTTAATGTAGCAACATAACCTTTTTGATTTAGCAACGTGATTTTCTTGAGATTTCTGGATTGAAATTTTTGTCTTAAATTCAAATTCATGAAACATATTACATGTTTATATATATCTTTTTTAAAATTTTACTGTAAATTTAATTTTACTTAATGTAAATATATGATACATATTACTTCATAGAACTTCACTGTTATTCCAGTGTAGATATTGTCTGGCATTTTAACTTAAGGCGGACTCTAATGTCACTCACTGGTTACAACAGACCGTAAGGAGAACAGACAGCTGACCCTTGAACAAGGCAGGGGTTAGGGGTGTCAACCCTAGTCAGATCTTATCACATTCACAGCCGCCAGTAACTTCTGTCACCTACTCCAGGTCATTGTAAAGCACCCCCTCCAAGGTGACTTTAGTAATGCAGGACTTCTTGCTGGTGTCAATCAGATACTGTACTATGTTACATTCTCTCTGATTCAGTTTTCAACAAAAATGTAGTCTTTTTTTTTTTTCTTGCAGACTTTGCCTTCAAAAGAAACAAGGTTTTTAAATACTACACAAATGCCTTGCCTGCAATCAGCTTCAACTTGGAGTAGCTGTGAGCACAATTCAAAGTCTCAAATATTGAGAGAACATGTATCAGAGTTAGATTCTTCTTTCCATTCTGTTCTGTCATTGCCGTCAGGTAAGCCTCCTTATAAAAATTTTCTAAGTAACTGAATATTTTTATGAAATATTAATGAAATTTAATCTTATAAATATGAGCCTAATAAGCTTTTATCAGTTATCACTGGATATTAGAACTAAAGCATTTTCACAGAGGAATTAATCTAGTCACATGCTGAGTTAATTTTCTATCTTTGTAAGTTGATTCTTTAATTCCTTGGAAACCATTTTGATTTGCTTTGGGAAATACCTAGCTTTTAATCTCCCTTTGAGTGTTAAATTTTTAGCATTTTATTGATAACATGGCAATGCCATTGAAATGTTTCTCAGTAAGTCAGTGTTCTTTTTCTAATGTGTTGTTTTGCATGGAGTTTTCTCTGCCATATAGTATTCCTCCATTTATAATCAGCATTAAATTTCCCTGAGAGAAGAAAATTGTCCGTCTTTAGGTATAGTCAACTTTTGAACCTCAGGAATCTCTATAATCTACAAGTGTACAAATGAGGCATTACATCAGTGCATCCCTAAGGTGGCTTTAAGTTTTTTTACAGTTCTTGGTTTCTGTTCAACTATTTCCAGTCTTATCTACACTGGAACTGAATGAATAGGGTTAAAAAGGAAACATTCTTCATACTGACTGTCTCAGGTTCATCTCTTTATGGGGAGACATATCAAATGGGCCTTTCTTTCCTTCAGCTTTCAGTTCTAATCATCCCAGAGACTGCTTGTCTTTGTAAAGCACCATTTTTTGTACCTATTCCTGCCCTGAACCTTAGCTTGGTTTTTCCCAGTATTACAGTGGTTTCTTGTCTACACCATAACTTTGAAGTAAGTTCCTGGCAGGAACTATTTTATGCCATCTTTGAGGAAACTTTACTAATAGAAACAAAAATAATACACGTAACAATAATGACACAGCTAACATTTGTTCTTAGCATACACTGGGTCCTATAAACACATTACATTTCCTTGTTTAATTCTTGCAGCAACCCCGTGAGAATAGGTACTGCTGTCTTCTTTATCTTACATAGGAGAAAATTAAGGCTTAGAGATGTTAAATTATTCATTCGAGATTACACAGCTAGTAAATGATGGAGACAGGATTTGACCTGAGGTAGTCCTTCTCCAGAGCCACACTCCTAGCCATATTCTTCAATGTGTTTCTGTGTTCTTATTAGTAAATCTGTTTCTTCGATGACGTATATCTGAGAGCTGGCATAAATAACTTTCATTCTATATGTCCCCTCAAATAAGATTGGCTTCCTCGCCTACTAGTTAGGGTTATCTGTTTCTTCTTGTGTTCTTTTAATAAAAATCCAAATATCTGCTATATGCTAGGTACTAAGTAGGTGCCAGGAGTATTAATACAAATATATCCCTCAAGGTACTTGCATTCTAACTTGACAACTGAAATGTAAACTAAGTGCAATAAAATGTTATGAAATATTTTAATAAAAGCCCACAGGTCACAATGTGGGTGCTAAGGAAAGTATATGGGTAGAACAGACATCTCCCTAGTTGCATCATGTTTTCCCACAACTCACAAAGAACAGTGGTAGAATTGGTGATACCCTTTATAAAAGTTAAGTGGCATTTCTTTAAAGAAACAAACTTCTGTTTTAGTAATTGGAAATATCACAATCCTGAAATATTCAAGCAGCATATTTAACCTGTCTTCTTATCTTCGTTTCATCATTTAGTTTTCATATGGTCATAGTAATCCATCCTACCTCTGCCCCTTGGGACAGCCTCCCTGATACTCATGAACCCATCTTTGTGTGTGCATATTTTCCTACATTTGAGTATGGATCTGCCATTAAAATACATCATTTGACGGAGAGATACTTTTTTGTTAAAATCCATACTCTTCTGGGTCTGTCCTGATTTATGCATTCATAATTAGTTTTCCTAAAAATAAGTACCTTCTTTCAGTAGCAAAACTTAGTAAATCAACCACTTTATAAAATATTTATGTTTCTTAGGAAAAAGTTTAGGTGTCTCTCTTGAATTTTTTAATATGATTGTTTTCGCATTCTTGATTGAAGAAAAACCCCTTTAGTTAATAAATGTGAAGCACATCTATTTTATTTACTTAGCTTCTCTTTTGGTTGTGAGCATATGGAGTTTAAATGTAGTGAATTGAATGCCTCTCCTAACTCTCTATTTAAAAGAAGAAAATTAGTTTGTCAACATGTTTGGTATTTGTAAAAGTAGATATCATTTTGTGATTCAAAATACTAGTAAAACTAAGACAATGTGAAACCTGACATTTTCATAAAAGGTTGCATCTGAATTATAGTGGTTTTCCCTCAAGTAATTAAAACCGTATAATTATGTCTTTTGGAAACCTCATTATTTCAAATGCAGAGTTCATAAGGGTAGGGTGGAATGAACTTAGTCAGCCAGGTTTTGCTGTAAAAAGGTCTTCTGGGAGCATTTATTTCATCTGTGAAATTTTGTTTATCTAATGTACTATTTTAGTTTATGAAATTGTTCATCGTTAGTGTTTTTGTTTGTTTAGTACATATAATCAGTAATTTCCAAAATACTGCTAACAACACACTTAGAAAGAATATTTTGCCACTTCTGTTAGTTCTGACTTTTCAAGCTTTTGCTTATTTTTCTAACCTTATGTACTACTCATAGGAAGAAAGCATTCTTAATATTGGAGTCTGTAAAGAGTGATGTTCACTGAAAATACTTTTTTTTCCCTTTATCTTTCAGATGTGCCTCTTCATTTTCACTTTGAAACATTGTTTAAAAAGACTGAAATAAAAGGAGATCTTGCTGAAAATAAATTTGTAGGAGACTGTATCATATCTCCATCACCTGGTATGTCATTTACAAATCTTGTACTTTATATACCTTTTACATCTTTCATATACTTATTACTTTTGCTAAGGAAATAAAATTTGAGAAAGGAATAAATGTAAATCCTTAATTTTTAATATTCGCTGTTCACAGATCACACACACACAAATAGAAAATGCACAGGAGTAATCCTTACAGGAAATGTGTGATAATGAAAATTATGAAATGTTATTGATAAGTATAAAAAGAAATTTAAACATGGGGAAACAGCAGTGCTGGTGACAAGAACAGTGATGATATCAGTTCTTCCTGTTGGTTTATGTTTAATGCAATGTAACTCAACGTTCTAATAGAATTCGGTTAACTTAACAAAATAATTGGAAGGCCCATTGGGAAGAACTAATGGGAAAATATAAAAAGAATTACTGGAAAAAATACTAAGAGAATCTAGCCCAACCACATATAAAAACAGCATAGATTCTATTTTGCTTACATTTAGGAGAGTAGATTCATGAAGCGGACTACATAGCTTATAGTTTATTATATAAGGGAAGGATTGTAAATCAATAAGCGGGGAACTATTCAATAAACAGCACTGTTAGTCTTTTGGGGGAAAGTTTGTTTATATACTCATTTCATATCATGTATCTGAATAAACTCTATTTGGTTCCAAGAATTGTAAATAAAACACTAAAATTTCAGAATAGAACTTGAAAAATTATAATGAAACTCTGAATAGGGGGTGGGGATATTGTCAGTGCTTGGAAGCAATCAGAAAAAGGAAGAAAACACATCAACGTGTTCTGACTCTCTACAAAGCTAAAATCTTCTCAACATCAAAAAAAGTCACACAAACTTAGATTATTTCTGGATGAAATAATCATCTATCTCAAAAACTCAAGAATCAACTGAATGCCTATTAGAATCGGAGTTCTGAAAGGTAGCAGATTTTTAAATAAATCTATAAAAATCAGTAACCTTTATAAATACCAGTAATAACCAGTTAGAATTTATAGAAGAATAAATTATCTATACATATTGACAATGAAAATATAAAATATCTAGGGTTAAACTTAACAAGGAATTACATGAAGAAAGCTTCAAATTTTACTGAGGAACACATTTTACCTGTTAGTTTATTCGAGATTCAAACTGACATATAAGTACTTATGACCTCTGGGATGTGCTTTAAAATACTCTAGCAAAAAAAAGTTGGTGGGAGAGAGCTAAAACAAGATTGGTCACCAGCATTCTTTTTCTTTTTTTAAAGGATAATTACACAAATAATGAACCTTTTATAAACAGTGAAGCTGGAAGTAGAATACATTCACATCAGTGTCACACTTTACATTAAGCAATTTTTTTGGTGAGAGGGAGGTAATTCAGTTTATTTATTACTATTGCTATTTTTAATGGAAGTACTGGGGATTGAACCCAGGACCTTGTGCATACTAAGCACTGCACTCTACCACTGAACTATACCCTCCCCTACACCAGCATTCTTGATGTTGAATGCCAGGTACAGGGGAGTTCATTATTCTTATTCCCATATGTGTTTCTTGAAATTTTTCCACAGTAAAAAGTTAGAGAAGAAAAAAAATAAAAGCACTAGGAACAAGGAACAATTGCCTGTGCTTAGGAAAAAAAGACTAAAGAAATTTAGGGAAATACAGGTTATGTTTACGTGATGTAACTCTACTTCTTGGAATCTGCCCTGAGACTAACATTTTTTAATTGAAAAAAATTTATGATGAAAAAAAGAAAAAAAAGTATGATGAAAATGATTATTTTAAGAGTGTCCATAATACTTGGAGATCATCATATTAAGTGAAGTAAGCCAGAAAGAGAAAGAAAAATACCATATGATATCACTTATATGTAGAATTTTAAAAAATGACACAAATGAACTTATTTACAAAACAGAAACAGACTCACAGACATAGAAAACAAACTCCTGGTTACCCGGGGGGACAGGGAGGGTGGAGGGATAGATCGGGAGTTTGGAATTTGCAGATACTAACTACTATATATAAAATAGATAAACAACAGGGTCTTCCTGTACAGCACAAGGAACTATATTCAATACCTTGTAATAGCCTATAATGAAAAAGAACATGAAAAGGAATATATATATGTATAACTGAAATACTCTGCTATATATCAGAAATTAGCACATTATTGTAAACCAACTATACTTCAATAAAAATAAAAAAGGAACGTCCACAATAGAAATAATATCAACAGCTAGCTAATAGTGAAGTGATACTGTCTCTAATCAGAGGAATGTTGGGCTGACATCTGAAAAAATAACAATGAGTTATCAGATTTAAAAAATGCAATAATACATATATGCAAATAAAAATGATTACATTTGAAATATGAAATATATGTATTTGAAAGGGAATATGCAAAAAATGAGGTTAGGTGATTATATTTCTTATGTTTTATTATTTATCTGACTTTGAAATATAGGGCAGTGTAAATGTTAGGCACAAAATTATTAGCAATGTATCAATAATGTAATGACATGTTGGTAATGGGAAATTAAAAGCTAAGAATGGAAGACATTTGAATTGAATGCTGCAATAACATTAGGCAAATCAATGTATTCTTTTGTATACTGATCTCTCCTCCCCTGTTTTCCTCATTCCCTTCCAAATAACTAAGCCTTAATTAGGTTTCATCCTATGTGTTTGTCTTATATGGATGGTCATTAATTTTTCTCTTGTACAGAATTAAGTAAAACTGGAGTTCAACATTTATTGAGCAACTACTCTGGGACAGAATATTAGGTGCTGAGAAAAAAGGTGAATCATAGGAAATCAAAGAAATTATAATGTAACGGGGGAAGCAGACACACACATGACTATTAAATAATGTTATGGGTACAGTCATGATAAAAACATTCTAAAAAGAGGAGGGAGTGTATAACTCTGCCTAGGGGAAGGCAGAGGAAGAGAGGTTAAGGGTGATGGGAAAAAGAGGAAGTCCAGAAAGATGGTGATGCCAAATACTTCACTGGAATTTGGAGGAAGAGTGAAGTGTTCCAGATCACTGTTTCTCAGACTTTAGTGTGCAGATTACTTGGTGGACATCTTACAGTGCAGATTCTGACTCAGCAAGTTTGGAATGGTTTCTAAGATTCTACATTTCAACAAGGTTCCAGGTGGTTCAAATCCTGTTGGCTTTGAAAATGGAAACAATCCCAAACCTCATCATGGAGACATGAAACAATGTGCTATGTTCACGTATATTCAAATGGCCAGGGGTTCTTGTAGGGTAGATTGTGTTAGGGTAGCTTTGCTCCAGAGCTTGGATTTACCCTGTACTTGTCCATCCGAGTTGTCAACTGTGACAGAACTGCTGACTTCAGGTAACAATAAAGTAGGGAAAAGTAAGCTGAAGAAGTGATTAGTTAGTTGCCGATTGTGAGAAAAAACCAAAGCCAACTTAAGGGCCTGTTCTCATCAGTATGTTCCAAGTCATGAAAGACAAAACAATGGAATTATCTGAGATATGATAGAACTTTAAAGAGACTTGTCAACTGAATGCAGAGTCAGCAGTATTTTCTATAAGGAACATTATAGGAATAATTGGTGAAATTTGAATAAGGTCTCTGTGTAGGTAATAGTGTTAACTTCTTGTTTTGATCATGGTGTGACTATATAAGAGAATGTTCTTGTTTTTGAAAAAAAATATATTGACATATTTAGAGAGGCATCATGTCAATAACTTAATTTCATTGGAGTTCAGAAAGATAAAGCAAATGTGCTAAAATGTTAACATCTGAGGACTCTGAGGAAAAGGTATATGGGACTTCTTTGTATTATTTCAAGTTTTCTCAAAGTCTGAAATTATGTCAAAACAGGAAGTTTGTTATTTTTTAGAGTGGATAGGTGAGAGAGGAACCAACAGCATCACAACCCACACAAGTGAGCCAGCAGCCTAGGGCTCAGCCTCCTCCCCCAACACTTCCTCATAGCTAACCCCACTGTCAGTGTGGTCTTACGCTTCAAACCTGCTTCTGTATCTTTATTTCTACCACTTTCAGTCCAACCTAATGATCCCTTATCTTTACTGTTGAAATAGCCCAATCAATGTTTACTTCCCTTCAATCACTGTAGCAAGTAATATTTTCAATCTAATTACATCACATATGCTTCCCAGCAGATCTTTTAAAATACATGACAGAGGAAGTATTATTTAATAGAGGGCCCCAAAAGCCCTACCTACATAGCTTGTCTACAACCTGTTCATGGTTCTTTTTCACCACGCTTCCTTATGCTGCATTACTTGACTGCTGTTCAGTTCCCAAATTTGTCCTGCTTCCTGGAGCCTTGGGCCTTTCTACCATTCTCTCTTCCTTCCCCTTACATTCATCAGCTGTTTCTGTTCGTATTTGAAATCTTATCACTCTATCTGGGGAAGCCTTTGCTAGAGCTCTCTTACTATCTAGATACACTCATTATCTTCTATCAGTAGTACTTCTTTTTCCTATCACACATTACTTGCAGTCTCTCAGAGTGCCTGTAAGCTACAGCACATGCAGGGACCATGCCTGTTTTTTGCTCACATTGTATCCCCAAGGTATAACACACTGCCTGGCACAAAATTGGCTCTCCAGAGTTACTGATTATATAAATGAAAGGGAAGAGAAGGCAGGAGACAGGAGAGATCTTGGATCAAGATGTAGTTTAGGATGGAATTTAGGGGAGGATTTGGGTAAGCAACAACTGAAAGGCTGAGAGGGTTATTATAATTAGAACAGGTGAAGAGAATGTGTGGCACTAGACTCTAGATTGCCATGTATTTCCTGCTATTTCAAGAGTCCACTGAAACCTTCAAAACACTGAAGAGTAAGAGGGGAAACATGTAAAGAAAACATTTAAGTAGAATTCAATATAAAGCATCACCTTAGAGAAGGTTAAAGTTTCTTCAAAATTTGTTGTGCTTTTAGGACAAGGAGGATGGTGAGTTCTTTTTAGAACAGATGGGTTGAATTGCCTGGGGTTTGCTTTAAAATACTCTAGAAATATTTCCATTGAAATGAGTGGACACAATTGGTACACCAACATGTGACAGACACATGTATGTTATAAAACCTAACTCTCACAATTCTAGTTACCCCTTTTTAGAAATGAGTTTACAATCATGCCTGCCATGTTACTGTACTTTGACATCTTTCTCTGCATTCTTCTTTTGGTGATGGTAAGAAATCTTGGGGGTCATCTTAGAATTGTTTACCCTTTTCCCTGAGTGCTTTAAAGTCGCTGTTTTCTCCTGCATCTGATTATGCTTTATGTCAATCTGATTCTCATTCCTTTGCAGTAATTTTTTTTATACCTTCACTGGTACTTTTAGGATGTCTTCATAGTGATATGCTGTACGATTTTTTTTTGACACAAATATTACTGAAATCTTAGGGTTCATAACATTGACTGTGGAAAAATTTTGGCAATTGTCTCTTCAAATATTGCCTCCCATTCATTCTACTCTCTCCTCTGTTACCCTGTTTTGGTTTATCCTCCTTTATTTTTTTTATTTTTTATTTTTTGTATTTCCATCACTCTATTTCCTTGAGTTGTGGAATTACTCTTCCAACCCACTCATTCTGATTTTTAGCTATGTCCGTTCTGTTATTCCGGAGGTGAGTAATAATCTTGTTTTTAAATATGAACAATTATACCTTCTACTTATGAAGTCTCTCCAGAGACTTCTGCCTCTTTCTCTTGGCAATATTAGTTATTTTGAAGACCTGTTAATCTGTATTCTGTATATATATTAACTATTTCTTGAGATGGTTCTACTATTTGTTGTTCCTACTTCCTTGATCTGTGCTGTTAGTATTGAGAGTTTCGGAGTCTTGATTGTGTTCTCATCTTTTTGATATTCACTGTTGAGACTGTTCTGCCACTGCTTTTTATAGGATCCTTTTCATGGAAGAGGTAGAAATTTGCACTCTATACTATTTTCAGAGGCAGTTAAGGATGGGCAGGACATTGTTTCAAAGTGGGGCATTTATACATTGCCGTACTATCCACTCATCCATTTCTGTGCTCAGGCCTCATCCAGGACCCTGGCTGAGGTGTTGGCATGCGTAGTCATTCTGTCAGTTGCTCCAGGTAATATTCCTGCCCAGTTTTTCTTCCAGGTCTAGAGCCCCTTTGATACTGATCACATTTTTTGTGGCGGTAATTTCCCACATGCTTTTGCAGTTTGCTCTTCGAATTTCACAAGGTATTAGTCTTTCAGAGAGTCCTCACACATTCTGCTCTACTTACAAGTTTCTTCTTTTGTCTGCTAGGGTGGATGTAAATGTGCAGACCTGTGCATGGTTTATGTATACAAATGCTGCCTATCATTTCTAGGGTGCTTTGTCATCTTAAAATCTCAGTCACTTTTGGTAGGCCATACTTTTTTTCAGTGTTGGTGAGAAATTGGCACTTCAGCCTACATTATTTCTTTCTCTGTTCCTTTCCATATTGCCCAGCATTTCAAAAAGAAGCCAATTTGGTTATTAATCCAGTACTGGAAATATGAGGTTCAGATAGAAACGGTAATCACGATGAAACTAACATGTACTGCATACTTATGTGAGATAGCCTTCTAGTGACTATTACAGGAATTAACTCACTTAATCCTCATAATCCCGCAATAGCTTTTATTATTCCTATCTTATAAATAAGGCAACTGAGGGACAGATATTAAGTGGCTTAAAGTTTTAAAAAAGTAATTGCTTTAAAAAAGTCAAAGACAAATATCCTATGATGTCACATATATATGGAATCTAAAAAAATGATACAAATGAACTTATTTACAAAACAGAAGTAGACTCAAATATAGAAGATGAATTTACGGATACTAAGAGGGAAAGGGGGGAGGGATAAATTAGGAGTTTGGAGTTAACAGATAACACAGTACTATATATGAAATAGATAATCAAGCTTCTACTGTATAGCACAGGGAACTGTACTCAGTATCTTATAATAACCTGTAATTTCCATAATCTGAAAAATCTGAATCACTATGCTGTACACTTGAAATTAACCCAATATTGGAAATCAATTATACTTCAGTTTAAAAACAAAGAATGGTGTTGGCAGTCAAGAGGCTGATGAAACTGGTTCTTGCTCTCAAGAGATCCCAGTCTATTGTGATTCTGCAATGTTACTTAGTCCTGAATTATCTCCAGATTTAAGGGATTTAAGAACTAAGGATTCAGATCCTATTCAGCAAAGATTTACAGATCTGAACAAGTCTTCTCCCAAAATGTGGTAATTTAGAAAAATGAGATCTCCTTTCCTCTTCATTCTCCTCAAAATAATGGAGCAACTATAGGAAACTGGGCACTTACTGAAGATGTTTTTAATGAATCTTATTCTGGGTATTTTCAGTTTAGGAGTATTTCATCTTGGTATGTACTTACTTCATTATATGTAATTTTGGACGGGTATATTAATATTCTGCAGTATTACCAAGTAAAAACAGATGAACATGTTCATTATCTGTTTCTGTTAAGGAACTAAAACTTCACATTTCCTTTCTTTCCATTTGTTTTAGTCCATAATACTTCTCTGAATCAATGGAGAAATGGATTTTCTCCTACATGCAAGCCTCAAATAAGGTCGGACTCTTCTGCACAGCTGTTACAGGGAAGAAAGAAAAGACACTTGAGTGAAACAGCACTAGGTAGGTTACAATGAGGACATGAGCTCTAGCACTAAAAACTGAAAATAACAAATTCTCATCTCCATCTGCTGCCTCATAGGAGTTCATAATCCAAGTCACTAATTACACAAAATATCCATGGTTTATGAACGTGATAACAGCATATTCAAGTAGTCAGTTCAGAATTATTTGTGGACTGGGAATCCATCCACTTCATGGCAATTAGGGATTTCCTTCCTATGTTTCCTAATTATTTTCTACTAACTGTCCTTCTGGACAAGACAGTCTCCAACCTTGTATTCTAGATTCAAAATATGTCAGGACAGGTTGCCTTTTAGAAATTCATTAATTACCATTTCTGGTGCCTATTGTGGAGATGTTGATTCACTGATGCTCCCTCAGAATTTTGAGAAATTGGATGAGATTCATCTAAAATAACTCAACCACCTAGTTCAGTTCCCCTGAGGAGCTTACAGTCACTACGGGTATCTCTGAAACCAGAACTCTGCAAATAATGCAAAGTGGGTTGGTTATGGGGACTTGGGACAAGATAGTGTCAATAATTATTGCAAATGATAAAATTAAAACGTAACTGGAAAGATATATATTAAATAACATATTATCTGTAGACCCTACCAGTTCTTGTTCATTGTCCTAGTGGAAATAGCGCTATATACGTTCATCAAGTATTTCCTAGGTGTAGTACATCAGTACACCCAATAAATTAGGAACTATTTATACCCAAGGTGTACTGGACTGTAATTATACATGAGGGATTTAACATATTTATCACTATTGCCTCTAGAAATCCCACCATAACAGACCAAGTCACTACCTGATACCACTACCTGATCAACTAATGTGGCACAAAATGAATAAACTCCCACCCACATCCAGAGATTTCATTATGCTTTTTGGTACCTTAATCTTAAGACAGCCAAGAGTCACCTAGCTTTCGAAGAACTTTCATTCATGTTTACTGAACTATAGGGAAACTTGTATCTTAACATAAAAATACATTATAAATGTAAAGTGTTTCCCTTGAATTGACAGACCTAACTTTGAGTTTGATAGAAACACAGGGATAGAAGAACAAGCAAATGCTATACTACAAAGAACTAGACAACTCTTGAAAGTGCAGGACACCTGCTCTAGTCTTTAACAAGTCAATGTCCTAAGAAATGAACTCTAGTTCTAAATTATAATAAACCTAAGAGACAACCAATTTCAATATGTAGATAATGATTTGAATAAGCTACCAGCCAGAAATGACGTCTTCAAACAACTGAAGCAATATGGACTGTATATTAAATTTTATGTTACACAGAAAATGATTAATATCTGTGCTAAAGCAAAACAAATAAGGGCTGTACATAAACTTATACTCACAAATAGGAGAGCAGAACAAATGGAAAAAAGGAACATGGAAGAAACAGAAAATAACAAAGTTGGAAGTAAGCTTCTAATCAATATCCTGAGAAAAGAGAAATTTCGTTCCTGAAATAGGGTCCTATAAAAAAATGAATAAAAAAGAAAAAGAACTTTTAGAATAAGTACTTCAATAGGAGAAAGTTTCAAAAATCAGTAGAACAGTCATAAGATCCAGATAAGGAAATCTCCCAAAAAGTAGAACGAAAGGTCAAAGATAACAAAAATATGAGAAAATAAAGAAGAAAATTAAGAGGGAAGTTTTAGAGGTTCAACTTCAGAAGAATTACAGAAAACACGAAGAGAGTAAAGGGAAATGAGGTTAAAGAAATGTAAGATGCATTGAATAAAAACTGTCACGACCCCAGAAAATGTAAATTGTGGCAAGGATTATGGGTAAGATTCTTTTCATTTCCTTTTTTTCTTTTTGATACATGAATTTAAAAAATAAGGAATAGCATGTTACCTAACTAGGAAAATAGAAATTCTAATACCTTCCAGTTACATTTAATGTATGACATTCTCAATGGTTCTTTCCATGGCAGGAGAAAGAACTAGATTTGAAGAATATGCTTTTCAACGCACAGAACCAGGATCTCATAGCAATTTTACTGCAGTTACTAATGTCAATGTACTATCAAGAACCCAGAATTCATCATCACAAGTAGGTTTTTTTGTACAGTGAACTTTAAAAGATGCATTATAGCCTTTTAAAAATCAGCTGACTGATGTTAAAAACTTTACAATGTATTCTAATCTGTAACAGCCATATTTACTAGCACATAATTAGCATATTTAGAATTATTAGGAAGCAATAAATTTGATTAAGGTTTTTTTACTAGGGAGCTAATTGTTCATTAATCCTTGGTTATGGCTTTTTTTGTGTTAAAAACTTCATAACCATCCTTACTCCATAACATGAAGCTAAACATAATCTTGCTACTAAGAATCTAGCATTTGTGTTGTTCTTACATTGTTTTGTTATTTGGTCAGGGAGTAGAGGTCAAAAAGTGGGAGAATTTAGAAAAAACAGCATGAAATTCAGGAACCAGGAACACATAAATGAAGACTGTAAAAATGATCTTTATTAAATGGCTTAAATTATTTCATTTTATAGCCTTTCCTAATTAGCAAGTTTGTTAAAAGATCATTTCATTGACATTTAGGGTCCTTTATGGTACTCTCTTCTGATAAGTTTTGCATCTTAAGGCATTCATATTTTTATGGTCTTAAAAATAGGCTTGTATGTGTGTACACACAAATGTACACTGCATACTTGCCAAAATGGATTCTATTAGTTTATAGAAAATAGGTATGCCTTGGTTTTCAGATGCACTGTCATACTGTCTTATATAATTTGTGGAAGGATCATCACAGGTAACCAAATACTACTGTAAAACTACTGTAATCCTGTTTTGCAGAATACTGCACGGAGGAGATTGCGAAGCGAGAGCTCTTATGACATAGATAATATTGTAATTCCCATGTCATTAGTGGCCCCAGCTAAGTTAGAGAAACTCCAATATAAGGAAATACTCACTCCAAGGTATGTATACTTCTTTTTTATTAAGAATTGGGAATTACTAAGGCTTACTCTGGCACTTTTTTCATTCAATATTTAGTTATCTATTATGTACACAGCACTAAAAGCTATGTTAGGGGTGTAAATAATTATAGTAACAAATAGTCCTTGCTCTTTAAAATGGAGGTTTGCACAAGGTTGTGAAAGTGTTCAAAGCAAGCAATTATCTGCACAGGGTATTTATTCACTGTAAGACAATAAACACCTGTGACAACAAAAATAGCATTTTGATGTATTTCCAGATCAGAAATAAACACATCAAAAAGCAAGATGAATGGGAAGACTGGGAAGACATCATGAAGGAGGGGAAGGTAGAGTGTATTCACATAGGGAGAGCACAACACAGGCACAGGGACAGACAGGTGTGCAAGGATAAGCTGGAGACTGGTTTTGTAGTGTGATAAAGGAAACACAGGCTCAAAAAGACCCAGATCGTGAAGGTTCTTAAATGCCATACACAGATGCTTCCTGCTGGCAGTGAAGTTAAGTCAGCAATGATGAAAGCAGTTTTTATAAATCTGGCACCAGAAGCAAGAGACAGAAAAGGATGGAAACAGATACATGAGCTGGGTGACAATTATATTAATTCCTCCCCATCTGTATTCTAGCTAATTTCTAATTCTCTTATTCATAATTACTTTGAGGTATGTAGAGAACTCTTAATACTTTAGGAAGCATTATGAGAGTTCCTACAGAGAACCTGCTGATATATTCCACGTAAGTAAGGAATACTTTCTGTGGTTATGATATTCTGTAGCAAGTGTTTTTCAATGGCAGTGGCAGGCTGGAGCTAGCTGGTTGAGCTGGTTGTTTTAATACATAGGAATCTGATCCAGTTGTTCAACCCACCAAAGGCCATGATGGAAGTCTTCACACAAAGAAATTGGCAACTACTACAAGTCAGAGCTTTTCCCTCTTTTTTGAGCCAGTTTATCAGCATACCACGGACTTATTTCAAAATTAGTACATTCTAAGGTATAAAAAGCAGCTTCGCAGAAGAGACTGTTGTAAGGCCTTATCTTCTCTGTCTTCTTTCTCATAATACAAATATTTTATCTTTTTAAAAAATGTACTAAAATAAAACCATTTGAATTATAGAAGTCCCAAGGAAAGAAAACATTACTGCATTAGCTGTGCTTAGAGAATAAAATTGCTACATTTAGATACACAAAAGCATTTGAAATTGGTTTCTATCTCTTCAACAGTTGGCGGATGGTTGTTCTTCAGCCTTTGGATGAATATAACTTAGGTGAAGAGGTAAGTGCCTTTCACTTATGGGGTAGTTGCACTTTACAGTATTATGAAGCCTCCTTAATTTAATATTTAAGGAAAAGGGAAATATAAGCCCTTTAACACAGTGATTTTTTTTCACTTATGAAAAGTGCCTCATTAAGGGTATCAATGTGATAAGAAATGGTTTTGTGCAGGTTTGACTGCTTACATGAATTGTTGAATTTATGAATATCTGTATTCATTCCCAATATTAGATTTAGTCTTCACAGTCAAGCCTACAATGCCATATTCAAAATCTTGGGAACAAACTGCTTTTGGATTTGGAAAATTTTAGACTTTAGAAAATTAATGTGGTGCATACATCATGTAATACATGCAGGCAGTCTAAGACAGCTCTCATAATCAAATATTCAGGTTTCTATAGTGAAATATTTATAGGAAATGGAATAGCTTCACATCTTTTCAGATCAGGCTGTCACCAAATGATTTATGAACACTTGTTTTTTTCAGATTTTTGTAACTGCAGAAAAGAGACTGTGGACCTGTATGGATAAAACTTACAATTAAGAAAAATTACAAGGAAAAATACTATAGAACCAAACTAATTCCAAAGTGGTAGTCTGACTGAATTACTGCATTCTGTTCTTATTTTGTAGTTGGCTTTATTCCTTTGATAACTATGTAAGTTTAAAAAGTTAAAGCTGTGTTCTTAGAAACAATGAATAGTACATACATGTAAACTTTAAAAACTTAAAAAACCAAAAAAACTTTGAAAAAACACCCCCAAAATAGTCTGTAGTAGCAGTATTATATAAGACATTGTTTCTAATAGTCTTTCTGTGCCAACCGATCATGTTTTTCAGCAACCAAAATTTATGTCTCTTTGATGCAGTTCCCTCTTTTAATGCACTCTTCCCTAGTTCTGAATGATCCTAGCCAGAAAACCCAAATTCAAAAACACCACAACCAACGCCTTAGAACTCCAGATAAGTAATTCAAATTCCCACTTATCTCAGACCGTTTTACTTTTGACATTACTATGTCAAAGTTTTGAACAAAGCATTAAGAATATTTTATGTAAATGGGAAGAAGCACTGTGAACCTATATTTAGTCTAGGCAGCTATTCATACTCTAGATAAGTCTTCAAATGTGACCCAATAGTGAAAAAAAGTTTTTAACTCCCTCTTCAATTTGTAACATTTGTTCTCATGACTTATACTGCATTTATTTTAGTTTTCTTCCTATTGTTCTCTTGATGAGGAACTTTGACACTTGTTTTCATATTTCAAAATGTTCCTGATAAAAGCAAAACTTTAATTTCTTATTTTTAATTCCAGATAGAAGATCTCTCTGATGAAGTTTTCTCCCTAAGACACAAAAAATATGAAGAGAGAGAGCAAGCCAGATGGTCACTGTGGGAGCAAAGCAAATGGCACAGAAGAAACAGCAGGCAGGTGTTGTCAATTGAAACCCAAACCGTTAGCTCCAGGTGGAATCTACAGTTCTGTATGAATGAGGGAGACCATTATAAAGGCAGGAAACACACATGTATAAACATGTAACATAAGCTGTCTGTGCACTAGAAGTGAAGCACTGCATATACTGAGCTTACATTTAAAACATATTCGGGCTAATTACATAAATGAGGAGGAGTTTTTCTATTTTATTCCACTGTTTCTCATGCTTATCGTCAGCTTCAGGAATAGAGTTAACTGAGCAAATAATGTGAAAACTGCCCCTAGATAAAGCAAATCAGTTCAGTGTACTGTAATAGTGGACCTAACACTAGGGGTTAAAATCTATAAACATAACCACTTCAAAATGTTTTCCTTAGAAAGAAACAAAAACTTCAAGAAAACTATCCAGTCTAAAAAGTAAATAGTCTAAAATACTTTGAACATGACTTTGAGGGAAGGTGGGATAAATCCTAAAAACATAATTAGTAATTATGTATTTGAGAAAATCCCTGGTATTTTATATTGTAACATTGGATGATTTTTTAATATATAGCCAAAACTCAAAGCAAGAGCATGTTGAAATCTGATAGTCACTTTAGTGTGGGGTGTCTCCAATTTATTCAGTACTATTATCCCAACATGCATCAGGTTCCATTCTCATCTTTTTCCATATTCCAGGGATATAACTTTCCAGAAGTATAGAAGAAAATGTAAATTTAGTCCTTCATGGATGACATTATAATAATAGAATACTCTTTGGAACTCAGACTGTAAGGGTCAATTAACTGTCTTTTTTTGCTTTCTGGAAAATAAAAAACACCTCAAACTTGTAACAAAACCACTATTATAATTTGCCTAAAGATTTCATAAAATACTATGTAACTCTTCGAGCTGTGAAGGTATTTAAATGAGGAAATTGTAAAAATCTTTTGTGCAGAACTGTTTAAAGACAAGCTACCAAGTTAAATTGACTTAGTGACATCTTGGGTTGTTTCTAAAATGTTAAGACCTCAACAAATTATCATCTTGATTTTCTTGCTAGAGCTTACAGTAAAAATGTTGAAGGACAAGACTTGCTTTTGAAAGAATACCCTAATGACTTCAGTGGTGGGCAGCACTGTGCTGCCGGGAGTCCCGTCGAGCCTCCGCCGTCAGAGAGCCAGGAGCCGAGTGCGCATGGCTCCCCCTCACTAAATGAAAGTCAAGAAATCAAGGCAAGTATAATACACATAACTAGCTAAACCGCCTTTTAATTGACTTTTAACTTTTACAATCTTGTTTATAGAATTGCTTGTTGCTAATTAAGGATTCATCGTTATGTAACACATTCAGTAGACAATCCAGTACAGAATGCTGGGAATCAGAGGATCTGCATTCCAGCATTCTAGTTACGTCACTAACTACACTTTCCTGTCTTTTTATAACATGTCATTACTAATTCCACCGATTCACTCATGTGTTAAAAAACGGGGATTCTATCAAAGCATCATTACAAACCAAATCAGATTAAAGAGAACAGCACCTGGCACATTGTAAATGTTATTAGGTATTTCTCTTCCCCTTATAAAAGATTTTTGTTTCCCCGTACGTCCAGTTCTAACCTCAACGGCAGTGTTTTCTAACACTACACCTATAAAGTGTACTTCTTGCCCTCTTCTTCATAAGTAGGTGTTGGAAAAGAACCACATCTAGAGAGAGCGGAGACTACAGAAATTAATAGGCAAGTCACAGAAAGCTCGGGGAAGGAAAGGTCAAAGGTGTCTGTAATAACGATGGGGTGAAAATGGAGATGCTGAAGTAGAAGAAGATGCAAACACTGTTAAAGGGCCTACCCAAAGTACTCCTGGGTTGAAAATGAAGACCAGTGTCCTAATGACAGCGGTTTTCTCTTCGTGGCAGAGGCAAAGTGAAAACTTAACTCCCAAGGGTCCCTAAGTAATCCTCAGTATGTACCATTTTGAGTTGCTAAATACATATGACCAAATGAAAATGTGTACATTTATGTGCTAAAGAACAGAACAATGGTTATGACAAAATTAACATCTATAGATTACTTGAGACAGGAATTTAAAAATAAATTAGTTGAAACTTAACTTGAAAATGTTTTGTCTTTCAGTCTTTGTGGTGGGAACGACGGGCTTTTCCACTGAAGGATGAAGACACACAAGCCTTATTATGCCAAGATGAAAAAAACGATCAGATTGAAAGATCAAGCCCAGCTTTCCATGGTGTAGCCTTTTGTACTAGTGCAGCAGAGAATGGCCACCATCCGAAAAGGCAGGCGGATGGGATGGAAGTGTACAAAACCTTTGGTCTAGGACTTACTCATGTTAAAAAAAATAGGTGACAGGGAACAGGTTAAGAAAACTATGTAACTGAATGGAAAACAGGAGAAAAAAATGAGCCCTGTTCTTCACCCTCCACCCCACCACAGCCACAATTCCAGAGTAAGAGCATGTAGTGCATGTATTAGCTTTTATGCTGTCCGTGAAACAGGCAAGTTATGTCTCATTTTCCTTCTTGAACCATAGGACTATCTAGCTTCTCACCCACAGACAAGTGCTAGTCATTTGTGTTTATGATACAAATCACAAGCACCAAAAAATTAACTGCTGCAATTTGTTATCAGATCACATTACTGGGTAAATAATACTTTTTAAACGACCTTATACCCACACATACACACATCCCTGTGCATCACTAACAGATCTTTTTTCTATACACATGGTAATTCTTTAAACTGACTCAGAAGTATATTAAGAATATACAAATGCATGTGTATAGACTATACATGCATACATATACACACATATGTAGTTTTAAAAAACACTGGCAGTGACCACTCTACTTGAAAATGCATGTATGAACTACCCCATGAAATATAAAATGCACTATAAATAAGGAAGCACAGGTTTCCAATGGTAATGGACATCTAAAAGTCTTGACTAAGGAAAAGAATTCTTTAAAAAAAAAAATGTTTAACCAATAGAAGTTATTTATGGAAATTTCTTTACCAAATAACAAATCTGAAATCACTGATACCTATTGGATTAAACATAAGTTATTTTCTATTCACTCCTAACAGAATAAGACAAGCAAAGTAGAGTTAAATATTGGTGTATTTTAAATACTATCATATCTTTTAAAACTCACCTTGAGTTTATCTATTTTCTGTATCTCATGAAGAGAAGACACCAACTTAAAATAAGCAACAAACAGGAAATTCCTGTTAGTTAGTATACTGTTGTACTTCTAGTTAATTTGGTCATTCCTTACCATAGTTTATCCAAATAAGCATCTATTCTTACTTGTATCCTAGAAAGAGGATTAAAATTTTTAAGAGGATAATGCTTCAATACTGGATATTGGAGTATGCATTAAGTAAAATTCCTTTTGAAGCTATTACATCATTTTTTCTATGTAAAAGTTGAGGACAATTTATATGAATTGCTTTTGCTCATGTAATTAATAAAAGGTTATTCAAGTTGTAGTACCCATATAACTGACAATCCTAGCCATTTGGCCAAATCTGGGGTATTTGACACCAAGTTTTTGTTAGGGATTAGAAATTATATTGGTCCCTGTAAAGAAGAAAAAGAATTTCCGGTTCAATACTGACAAATTTTTGCTTGTAGTTTTACTGTACATTTATTTTTTAAAAAAGAAAACAAAAGCCAGAACAGATCCAAGTTGTCCAGGCAAAAAAACTCAAATCTTTTTGTCATGTCTGATATTATAATCGTCTATGTAAGTTTTTTAATTAAAGTTATTTCTATATGCCTTGTGTTGTCTGATTTGATTAAATGCCATCCATCTATGGCACAAGCTTTTCCTAAGCCAAAATAAAAACAGTAAGAAACAAATTTTTACCTCACAACATAGAAGAAACCAAGCAAGCTCTGTTCTGTGCTTTAAGTGCTAACATTCTTATTTTTCAAACTTTATTTTCCAAAACCCATAGCAGCCTGAAAAAGCTTAATGACAGTGCTCCTGTTATTTCCTGCCATGTGTTTTACACAGCAAGAGCATTTACAACAATAAAGTGGCTAATATATATCCGCTGTCAAAATGTAATCTGGGACACAATTATAAATATTTAGCTTATGGATTAACTCTGTACCTTGTTATACCTTAGCCTACCTGGTCCTTCTTGGATTAATGAAATACATATCCTTGGGGTCAAAATCCATAGATGCAGAATATTCTCAGTCATCTGGTTCTGCTACAGGGTAAAGTTAGACTGAAAATAAGACAATGTTAAGTACAAGAAGCTTCCTTGTGTAATTCACCTCACAAGGGCTCCATCTGTAAAGAGTACAGACCAGAAATTCTATGCTCTACTGGGTCCTTTCCATGGTACCAGCCTGCTGACAAGCTTTAGCATCTTCATTTTTAAAATGGGGACAAAAATACCTGTCCTACCACTCACAGGACAGATTTAAAGGACTGATGAGATTGTATCAATGTACTTTATGATCTACAAACATAAAGTTATATAACGATAGCTATACTTCGTATTGCACATTCTCAAGTCTACTAGCCTACAATTCTAGGACTAGTAGTGGAAGCTTTACATATAAAATGCTCTTTTAATCCTCAATACAATCCTACATTGTTATTATAATTATATTCAATCTATAAATCAGTTAAGAGAAACTCAAAGAGGTTGATTAGTTTGATGTGCAAAGGTCAAATAATTGGAAAGGGGAAAGAGTCAGGATTCAACTTACTATTACCTCCAAAAAGGCTTCCATTCTTTTCAGTCCAGAGTAGCAAAACATTTTATGTCCCTTAGAATACAGGGTGTGATTAAGAGAAAGTGGGAATGGGGTGGAGGTGGGACAAGGAGGAGGACGGAACCACTGCATAACCTGCCCCTCCAGCAAAGCTAACAACCCTGGGAAAGCTTGTGCTTGCATTTCAGAACAGACCACGTGAGAATCCCTGGGCTTCACACTTTGTTTTTATATATCAAACATAAGGTGCAAAGTGAAAAATAGATGTTTTAGGAGTTAGAAGAATAAGGTATGCCAACCCAGCCAGATCCAAACTTAGTTGTCACGCACACACACAAATCAAAAATGACATGAAACAGGAAAAACATAGGGACTTCCTTTGCTTTTGGGAAACAGCCAGGACACAACAGAAAATTCTTTTTTAGAAATTCAGAAAAAAACATTTTTTTTCATAGTAGCTAATATGCCTTCCTTGGGCATTAAAACATTTCTGTTCATAACCTTAATACAGCCATATTTTTACTCTTTATAAAAAGTCTCCCAGTAAAAATGGTATTTTACCACACTAATTTTTAAATTCCATCACTAAAAAATGTAGTTTATACACACCAATTTCTAACGTCTTGGAACATTCTGCACAGTGGATTTTAGTCACTGGAATGAATAATTGCTCAGAAAAACAGCACTGCCTGAATTATGGTACGATTTGGTAGTCAATAGCTTGTTTTCCAGTAAAAAGGAGATCTCATGAGCAGAAAGACTGGACTCCTTGTGGTTTCATCGATCAAGAGAACGTTTCTGAGCAGCTTCTGAGCAAACATTTCTTAACAGGTTGATCACAGATCTGGGGTCTTCACTCCTCATAATGGCACTGCCAGACACAATCATGTTAGCTCCTGCCTGGAAGAAGTAAACACTTAGATTATGCCTCAAAGGAAGATGTAGAACAGCCTAAAACAGAATTCCTGGACTAGAGTTTATTTTTTGCCTTTGCAGCTGGTAGTTAGCACTGTAATTGTACAAAAGCAACTTCAACAAAGAAAGAAGTTAAAATGCTTAAATAAGGATATAAAATTATTTTTAAATACGTCTGAAAAATCACTGACTTTTTGGTAACCACCTCTAAAAAAAGCTAGACTGCATCTCTGCTAATACTTAGATAAGGTTTAAAAACCTTTCATCTTCAACTCTATTAAGGCTTTTCCTATACAACTCCTAAAAGATTCTCTTTATCTTTGACTTATGTATAGGAATTGGTAGGGAGTTTAAAAGGACAATTATTGCTAAAATGTGCAAGGACTCACAAAGCAAGGCAACATTAAATTTAAGTAATTTCTTGTTTTGAAGCCAGAAGCACCTTTTTATGTATACTTCACTGCATTCCAGATAGTTCTGAGGTGGCTTAAAAAAAGATTTTTAAGATTTTTTTCAATGTGAAAGCAAAGAAATGCAAGAGAAAAGCAAGTGAGATGAAGCCAAATTTATCTCAGAGCATCCTAGGATGTGACTCCAGCCTGTTATGTGATACATGGCTAGAAGAAAGGGCGGACTATTGGGAGAACTGCTGAAGCTGAGGAAAACCCCTCCCTGGGACACTGTCACTCTAGGAGGCAGAGTACCACACTCTAACAGTCCCCCACAAAACGAAAGAAGAAAAAATTGGTTTTATAGGGTTACAACTTAACATGTCTCATAATGTAAGCAGGAAGAGCGCTGATGACAAAGCACAGTTCAGTAAAAAGGAATTCCACAAGGAGTCAAAGGATATATGCTCACTAACCATTTGGCCAGCAACTCTTCCATTTTGATCACAGCCAAGCTTTTGATAATCATCAAGCTTTTGATAATCATCAAGCAGTGTGGCCATCTACACGAAAAACTGGAAGGGCAAATTAGACCATCCTACTTAATTAAAGCAGGCCACATAAACTTGAATCACCTGCAGGGCTGCCGCAGGGAGGGCTGGCATCCTCTTATGATGCTCAGGAGCCTAACTCAGCTTGGCTAGCTACGTGGAAAACAAAACACCCCACCTCTACAGAGAGGGCCAGAGGTCAGATCTAGATTTTCATCAGAAGTGGCTCCAGTCAGTTTTTGCAAGGCACAGTTTGGTAGCTAATACACCTAAGTTCTACAGAATAACAATGTTTTCCCTTTATGAGCAGGTATGTTTTCTTTCCCTATTTTGGAAAACTCTCTCACTCTACGGCCTGGGAACTTAATGATCTTCCACAGGCTGGCATTCTTTTTCAAAGAATTTTTTCATCATTACTATTTAATGATTATGTGATTTTAGAGTATTTATTTACTGCTCTTTATTCTCCTAGTTTTACATTTGAACCAAAAAGTACTTTTCCAAGAAAGAAAGGCTATTTAGGAAAGGTAGGGAAAGCCTCCGGCAGACAAGTCCTGTCCTGGTATTACATTTGTTAAGAAACCGGTCTAGGTCACATACAAGGAGCAGTCTCACCTCTGCACATTTATGGATGGTGTCAGGACCTACTCCACCATCAACCTCTATGTCCAAAGACGGGAACTGGGTCCTCAACCAGTGAACCTAGACATACACACGGAATAAGTGACTACTAAAGTGGATGTGTGAGGGCAAAACACCAAACAGACAAAAAAACCAGACAGCTAGTGTTAGCCACTAAAATAGGACTCCAAATGTCTCACACATAACTTTATACCAATACAAATTATGATTGCGGAAAACCTTTTTAATCATGGCTCTGTGGAAAATACACTTCATGGAAGCAAGACAAAGACAAAACTCTCAATATTCAATGAAAACTCCCAAGAGATTTAGAAGTTAGAGATAACGGTTTTGAAAGAAAATTTCAAGACTAAGGTATAGCATCTTTTCTGACTTCCAAATGTAAATGTCTCATGGCACTTCTCACACCGGGTTCCAATGATGTATAAGCACCCGCTTCTTCCCTTCAGACAGGATGTGTCTAAACATACAAGTAATTCAATATATGCTTACTGAAGGAACACACACAATAAAAGCCTCACCCCAGAACCAAATACTCCTTTTACCTTTGGCATCATATCTTCCATGAATTTCTGCCCTCCAAACCCAGGTTCCACTGTCATAACCAAGGCCATATCTATCTGATTAGCCCATGGTGCCAAATACTCAACTGTAGTTCCTGGTTTGATAGCAAGGCCAACCTGTAACAAGAGACAGATTTGCTATATCACATCAATAATTATTTCCATATTATATAATCATGGCAAATCAGGTCCAGGAGAAAGGTCTATTCTTAAAGATCTTGGATGTAAATAGAATACGTAAACTGTTTAGACTATAATTATTTTTTTAAAAGTCAACAAGGCCACCAAAAGTAAATGTTTCTAAAAGGAAGTAACTCTCAGAAAAGTCTCAAACTATATTATCTTATCTGACAAACAAGTTACACTTAAACTCTAGCTTCAAAGCTGAAGAATAGCTGCCTAAGTCTGTCTTCTCTACCTATCATTTCCCATTTTCCACCAAATCTTCCCAACTCTGAAAATGAATAGTGTAAAACACCACGTGTCACCGCTGACCTCTCACCTTCATTCCATTCTCCCGGATGTCTTTAATCAAAGCCCCTGGGTTCTCAGTAGCCTCAAGATGAAAGGTATACTGATTGGCTCCTGCTACAGCCATCGGCTTTACCCACTGTTCCGGCCTGGACACCATCATGTGCATGTCTAGAAAGAAAACACAGATGTCCTAAGTATTACTAGAAAGGAAACAGCTGGCTCATATTATCGAAGCCAGCTTGTAGTTTTTGCTATGTCAGATATGAACTCTTTCGGCATCACAGTAATTGTTAACAGCTACACTTGGGTATAGCTAGCCTCCCTTATCCCTTATCTTAGGGAAGATAAGGTTTTGGTTAAACTCATTTACCAAAAAAACATTTTCCCACAAAAAGCCTACGGTGCTGTTTATGAAAATAGCCAGAAACCAGGAAACCTAAGCCCAGGTCCAGGAAATGCCATTCTAAAAAACTTACAGAAGTCATAGTATCTATGTGGATTTGCTTCCTCATTTAAAAAGGAAGCTAAATTAAGCAATTCTCTCCACCAGTATTTAATTGAGCACGTGTCACACCATTAACCACTCTAGGCCCTAGGGACAGAGCAAAAAGCAGCCAGACAAAAATCTCTGCTGTCACAGCGATTACATTCGTAGCAGGGGAGACGAACCATAGAGAAAATGAGTAAATACAATACACATTAGGCTGGGAGGGAGGGAGGCCGGCGTGGCCAGGGCAGGAGGAGACAGCAGGGCTGCAGGCTGTCAGGTCTCTCCGCACAACACGGGGCCAACACTGCAAGATTTCAAGCAGAGAAGTGACAAGATCGGACTCAAAAGGCCAAGGCAATGACCTGGGTGAAAAGTGACAATGGCAGCAACTGAGGATGGTGAGCAGCGTGGGGAATCTGAGGGTGTCCCGATGTTTGGAAGGCAGAGTCAACGGGGCTGCTGTGGGTCAGGTGTGAAGAGTGACAGTAGAGTCAGGATGGGGCAAGGACTCGGGCCTCAGGGGCTGGAACAGAACTGCCATCATCTGAGAGGCAGGCAACTGCAGAGGAGGAAAAGACTCAGAGGGAAGGGCGTGTTAACCAGAGGAAGCCTGACGTGTGTCCCAATTCTAAAGATTGAATCACAGAAATATGTTTGGGAAGAAATGGGCATGGCCTTCTTAAAGATCTTGATCTAAAACATAATAGCATTTCATGAGTGGGTAGCTTAAAAGAAGCAGGATCAAGAAGGTATTAAGCCTGACTAATGAAGCCAGGATTAATATTTATATTGCTAAACTAATAAAAGGAGCAAAAATAGAACATATTTTAACAGGCAAAACTTTGTTTTGCAAAGATATACTCAATTTGGTGGGGGTTTTTCTCTCCTTTGTATTATAAACAAGGAAAATTCAATCCGGTTTAAAAGATCAAGTTTACTCATTCCTTAAGTTACTAGTCTGCTAAGTCATCCCTATTCAATCTCCAGCACGCAGTCACCACTGGCAGCCCTGGCTAGACGATCTCCTGTGCTCAGAGAGTCAGTGGTTCAGCAAATCTGTCTGTAAGTAAAACACCAAGATCAGCAGGTCTCCAGTGTTCTATTATCAGACTCCCTTTATGCTCTTAAAAATTACTAAGATCCCCAAAACCACTGTTGATGTGGGTTATATGTATCAATATTTAATATAATAGAAACTCAAGCTGAAAAAAATTTAAAGTGTCTACTTATTTGTTAAAAATAATAATTATTACATGTTAATGTAAGAGTGGCATTATTTTACATTGTTGTATGTCTCTAATGTCTGGCTTAACAGAAGACATCTGTATTCTCACATCTGCTCTGCATTCAATCTGTTGTTTTAGATGGACAGGAAAGAAAAAGTACATAGAAAAGGGAAGAGTACCTACATTCACAGTCTTTTCACACAAGTGTGGATATTTTTATTTCTTCCCAAATCTCGACAAGTGGTGCTTTCATTAGGTTAATGGCAACATGGAATCTGTAACCCCTACCAGTGATCTTTTTGTACTTCATTACACTAAAACCATTAGCCTATCTTATACTTTGAATGGATCTTTTAAGTACTGTTGGTTCACTCAGCTACACAGATCTTCCAAATACTGACACATTTCATTATGTAGCACCCCAAACTCACATTTGTTAATGTCGCTACAGATCTTATCAGAAAAGTTGTAAGTACTGGGAAGCTGTCAAGCTCATAGTAGCAGACACAAGTTTTCCAAAATTCTAATTTTCACATGTAAGCTCCAACTTTATTAGGGCAATGAAAACTAATGAGTTATTTTCCTTAAAGTGACAGGCTTTTCTATTAGTTAATTTTAAAGAAAACGCCAGTAAAATATGCAAGCCTGATAACCACAGCCCATCTGTCATTTTCAAGGGAAAATAGAGTTCATGAAAAGAGCAGCAGCACTCACAGCTCAACCCAAACAGCGCAAGAGGTTTTCTTTGACAAGACCATCACCCTCCAGTACAAGGCAGAAGCATTTGTGTGTACTTCCCACTTTGACATGCAAAATACTAAAAAGACAGGCACTGGAGGTCAAGGTCCACTAAATCAATCATCTATACCGACTCATCGAGGACACTTGCTATGGATGCAAGGTGATGAAGAACATGACAGCCACCTGTGTCACCAGGCTAAGGCACCAACAGACTAACTGACCATTGCTTGTGCACCATCAGGACAAATAAGGGCAAACAATGCCCTTACAAATAAAACTATCATCAGTTTTCACGGAGGGGAGGGTATAGCTCAGTGGTAAAGCATACACAACGTCCTGGGTTCAATCCCCAGTACCTCCTCTAAAAATAAACAAACACAATTACCTCCCCCCACCAAAAAAAAAAAAATCAGTTTTGACGTCAGGGACCGTCTGAAAAAGATTCCCATGGGTCCTCAGACACTACTTGAAGACCACTGATATAGTAAAAACAATTTTTCCTGCCACTTTACTTCTTAGGTGGTTACCTCTACCCAATACTGAGACTGGATAGTTAAGAACTTTAGCAGTCAGACATACAACTTGTGATCTAACTCCTAGGAAACAGTCATGTATCAAGTATTCAACAACCAATACCCAAGAATTAAACAAACAAAAACATGTCTCTTAATATAAAAATAAAACAAAACCCAAACATTAAAGCATATGGAGTCCATTCATCTTTACCCAAGACTCATGTCTAGAAAGACTGATTAGCATGCTGAACAGTAAAAAACAAACTAAAAACAGGAAAAAAGAAAATAAGCAGACTGTGGGGTAGAGTGCAGACAGGTGCAGCAGAACTGGTAGAAGAGACTCAGTTAGAAGAAAAAAAAAATTTTTTTTTAATCCACACAAAGCCAGAGTGGAGGACTCTGGCCATTGTACAAGCAGGAGCAAATAACACTATTTATTTCATCCATTTCTGATAGCCGTAAGAACAAATATAGCCTGGAAAGTTCATTTTCCAAAATGTAGTTTTAAAAAAAGTTCAGATAATCAGAGGATTATATTTCATTATTTGCAAATTTCAAAATGGCGACCATGTCATTCCCGGAACAGTTTCCCTTATGTCACATAAATCAGGTAATAATGTACATGTTCTTTGGTGCATTCTAAGTGGATGGAGCTACACAGAGGCTCTACAGAACCTCCTGCAATGAGAGCCGTGGTCCTTAGCTGCACCATGCCACATGGCTGCACATGGCTATCAAGACCTTGTGACGTGGTTAATGCCTCTAAGAAACAATTTTTAATTTTATGTAATTTTTACCAGTTTGAATAGCTACACATGGCTACCATACTGAACAGCACAGCTAGAGTCCTTCATAAAAACTGGTTCACAATATGCCAATTAAAAAAAAATCTAAATTTTACTAAATTCCAAGAGTCATATAAAAACACATATTTACAAAAACTCATTAAATTTCTCAAATACCAGAGGCGTAGCAAACGAGGCTTTGTTAACTTAGTTTAAAACAGCAGCAGCAACAACTTGTGGGCTGAATCTATGTTCCATAAGAATTAACTACTAGGTCATTGTGTGATCTTAGAAGTCTTAATCCGTATTATCCTACAACATTGGAGTGGAGCACACAGAGGCCCATCTGTAGAAAGCTCCAATTTCCATGAAATAATTGGCTTTGCATCTAGACTATAAACCAACCTATTCACTGATTCATTTAACAATTACACTGAGCTCCAACTGTGTGTCTATGCTCAAATCTAGGAAAACCTCAGTAAACAAAGTGGATGAAATCCTGCCCCTAAGGAGTTTAGAGTCTGGTAAAAGTAAAACTCAGATTGAAAGAAGCTCTAAGAACATGAACAAGGCGATATGAGAACCGGAAGAAGGTTAATTCAGGGGAGGGTGCTTAGAGAGGCTCTCTGAAGAAATGAAAAATGATCTGAGGCAGAGAGATGAGGCAGCACTGGCCAGGTGACCAGCCTTCCAGGCAGAGATTAGCCGAAGTGCCCAGGCCCTGAAGTGGAAAGAGTCTGGCTTCTTACAGGCGGCCAATGAAGCCCCAGCACAGTGAGGAGGGGAAAAGGGTAGAGATGAAACTGGAAGTTGAGAAATCAACCAGCCACTTTTCCTTTGCTTGAGCAACACACCCAGCTTCAGATGGCATCACACCCACTTACCAAAGAAAGGGTCCTGGCCTAGCTGCTTTCGGAGGCTTTCTACCACAGGGTGACCAAAGGTGATGTTGGGAACAAAATGCCTACAAGACAAACAAAATCTTACTCTGAAAATGTTTTCAATTCAGTTTCTGTATTTTTCTCAATATGTATTCTGATGCGGGTGGAGGAGATTGCTTGTGACTGCAAGTTGTTCAGTCTACTATTTAACATCATAAATTCAATAAACATCATAAGTTCAATACTCAAAATATGTGGGTAATTTTGGTCTTACAAAGCTGTGTCTCCTTGATATTTCAACAAATCATAATAATGTCATGTGATTTACTCTGTAATTCATAATCCCTGACAGGCAGAAATGGGAATATGAAAAAATCAAAACCCCAAAAGTTATATGACTTGCCCAAGTCACACACTAGTTAGGAAGTTCAGGACTCTGGTAAGGGTCTTTCAAATCTTAGCCTATCACAGGCCACTTGTGCCTACTTCTAATCCATCTCTACTACAGGGCACGAAATGACAATTTATTTAAACTTTTTAAAAGATCATCAATAATCTGATGTGTATTAACCACCACCACTTACTGAGGCTTTACAACATACCAGGTATTGTTTCTTAGTTCATTTCATCTTCACAACAGCCCTATGAAGTAGACGCTGTTATTACCTCCATTTTATGATCTCAGGATATAAAACTTCCTTAAGTCACTCAGTTCATGATTTGTTGGTGCAGGATTCAAGTGAAGTCTTCCTGATATCAGAGCCAAAGCAGTCAACCATTATCCCACTCCAGCCAGTCCTTCTGTTTTATCACCACCTCACTTCAATATTTAACAAAACCTCCTCTATGTAAGTACCAGGCTGGGTGTTTCAGAGAATACTGTATTTTATAAAGAAATATGTGAGAGTTCCTGCTCACCCCAGAAAAGTTTACAATCTCACGGGCAAAAGATGGCTAACGACTCACCAGAATTCACGACCTACTGTTACAGCAGAGTTGTTGGCAGGAAGTCAGCTCAGCCAAGAAGCACACATCCCAACTGCCTTCACATCCAGGTGGCTCAGGTGACTCGTTCTCACTAGTGGACTGTGCATGTAGGTGAGGTGGGCCACTGCAGAGCCCAGGAGGTTAAGCAGTATGCCTGTTCTGCTCTCACTTCACCCCTCTGCCAGGAAAGAAGCCCTTAAGGAATTGGCAGAGCCACGGGATGGAAGGAGGCCATGTCCCTGCATTTCTGCACGGGAGGACAGTCACACCGAACTATCACATGAATGAGAAATAAACTTGATAACATTAAGCCACTGAAATCTGGGCTTTATTTATTGAAGTAGTAGGTATGACCGTATATAAGGATTGTAAGAAAAGCTAAACAAGAACAAGGGAAACCAGTCCAGGGGCAAGCAGTATCGCTTTAAAAGAGGGGAAGATCATGAATTTACAGAACAAACACAAACGAAATGAAGCAAAGGCAGAAAAAACTAAGTTATGCCCAAAGAAGAGGGGAGATGGCATGGCCCACCTTAGCTAATGTGGAAAGGCAGGAGGTAGACTGTGTCACATTAAGGTATCAAATGCCAGGACTTTATCCTATTGTAAATATTAAGTGAGATTTTAAAGAAAGAAGCAAATAAGAAACAAGGTGTAAGTAATCAAGTAGGAAGATGGACTGTAAACTGGAAGGAGGAAGGTAAGAGGTGTTGTTAATGGGAAGAAGCAATAAGAATGGAAACAAGGACAGGCAGACAGGCAAGTGACAGGATTTGCTAACTGATGAGATGGGGGGGTGGAAGAGAAAGAACAAACCATGACTAAAGTCTTGAGCTTAGATGACAGGCAGAATGAATGTTAGTAAAAAAAAAAAAAATAAAACAGCCCAGGCACCATTCTGAACACTTTCAATATATTAACTTATTAAAATCTCACAAAAATCCAGTGAGATAGGTACCACTATTATCTGTATTTTACAGGTGAGAAAAGAGGCCCGAGATCACACAGGAGGTAAGGGCTGGAGGCAGGAGTTAAACACAGGCAATCCAGTTCCAAAGTTCAAGCTCTTAACTACTATGCTTATCTGCCCCTCCACCAACAACTAATAACTAACACAAGTAGAAGTGGGGAGGAGAGCCTTAAGAGAGAGAGGTCAGGATTCAGGACACACGTGAGAGGGATGGGTGAGGTGGATGGGTTCAAACACATTTACTCTCCAGCACCGTGGTCCTTGGCGGCTGGATTTCCAGTATCTTGGAAACCATTCTCTCATTTGCCTAAAAGCAATGACTAATTGCCAGGGTTATGGATAAGATGTTTACTATGTTTACTCAGAACCTGAGGTAAGAGTCACATAAGCAGGCAGTAAGGCCTACTGGGTATTCCACAACTCTGGGATCGAAAGACCTGGATTTCATTCACTGTTCTTTCAATTTGCTGGTAGCCTTGGAAGTACTTTTGTTGTCTTACATTTCATTTATCATGAAAATAAACATAATAACCACATCTTGAGAACATATGAGAATAAAACAAATACGCTTTTACTTCATTGGGAAATAGAAGCTATAATGGCATTTTGCAGTAGATTGCCAAAAATAAAATGCAATAAAAATGCTCCCAAAGAACTTCTCAAGATGAAACTATAGTTGTCTAGAATACAGGGATAAGGGATACAATTATTTTGATCTCCTATCACATTCCACCATCAATCCCAAGCTTTGTTTATAATTGTCATACAAAGCAAAACTTTATTACATCTCCCAACAGGGCAAAGACAGTTAAAAGGAGGATCAAGGCTGATATGTAACTGGAACACACTTCCTATGAACCAGGAGTCACACCCTCATAAGCCTATACAGGGGTTGGCAGATAACATGGAGGAGCGAACCAGGCCAGATGGAGACAGGAGACAAACGGGGAGCACGTGGCCAGGCTGACAGTGACTGTCATTTAGCTCCTCCCCATTGTGGCCTGTGAGGCTGTGGGCCCAGTACTGGAAATCTTTGGAAGTTCAAATCTAGTGCTAATCTGAGATCTCCCCAGTTTTTAAATCGTCATAACGAATTTAGAATTTGCTTATTTGCTCTGTTCCTACACTTAGGACCAACACGTTGCCAGTCAACAGCCTGTCATGACGTGTTTATGCTCACATGCTTTCAGTTTTTCTTTTCCAGAAAATCCACTTGTCCTTTATTTCAAATATCCAACCATACTAGTGCCCCCCTACCCGCCCCCCTGCAGTGTTCCCAGAACTCGGTCCTGACTTACAAGATGAAGATGGTCAGTTTTAATCATACTGGGGGCCTCAGTGGGGGACAAGGAGACTAGAAAATGACAAGTGTATCCATGCTCAGTGTGACAGTGGAGTTCTGAAGGGGGCCGGGAAAAGAAGTGTGGAGGCAGTACCTGGAGGGAAGGTCAGTAGTGGCTGGCCACCTTGGGAAAGGGTGTTCATAGCCCCTCTTTCAAACCCCTGGCCTAGGAGACACTGCAGCTCAGCCAGGCTCTGCCTCTTCCAGTGGGACACTGGGGAAAGGGCTGAACCTCCCTAAAATGATTTCCTCCTTTGCAAAAGGGGAATGAAAATGGCTCTTAGGTTAGAAAACTGTGAAGCCTAAAAGGGAAAGTTTTTAAAATGGTGTATGCAGAATTTAGTTTTTTTCAAAGCAAAATGTTCCTGGCAAGGGGGGAGAGAAGTCATTTTAAAACTAATACTTTTATCTTAATAAGCTCAGTATGCCACAGGGCTGGGAGGGGCAAAAGGGATTCCTTAGAGATCCCTCCACTGTGATAAAGCATTTATCCAACCAATAGTAACTAAGCTTGCCATAGTGCTTTTCCTGCAGATAATTCAGAGGCGAGCCAAAGAGATACACCCAGCTTTCAGGAAGCTTACAGTGCAGCAGAAGAGATAGGAAATAAATTTAAAATGTAAATTAGTTACTCTTTGAAGACAGAGAATGTCTTGATCATTCTCTGTAAGCTGGGTACCCAGAGAAAACATTAATTTCTGAGACAAAACAAGTTTTGCACGCTTCCAGTCTGGACTCCACCATTTCCTAGCTATGAGGTGACTCGCGGAACCTCTCTTGATGTCTGGCTCCTCTCTGTCAAAAGTTAGTGCTGACAACAGCACTGAGTTCATAAGGTTGTGTGAGATACTTCATAAAAAGTATCAGAACTGAAGTAGTTAAGTGCTCATAAATACTACCTGTTGTTGTTTCTGGTATTTCTGATTGGTGAACTGAAACCATGCTTTCTCCATTCATTCACTTAAATGTGGCACAAAACCAAATTACTCTCTGTGTCAAATAGGCTACACACATACACATAGTCCATTCTATCCTGAAACGCTAAGTGTTTCAGACACAAAATTTTCCCACTTTGTGTCTCAGACACAAAAATGTAGCTACTCATCTCTGAGAAACACGTTCCAGTAATATTATCTGAAAGTTTAGGGCTTTCAAGTAAAGACGTCATAAAACAGTATGTAAGCAGAATTACATATGACAGCAAACTAAACAAACAAAAAAAGCCACCATCCCCCCACCAAGTTTTTGTAAGAGGTAATATTTACTAACCTTCTTCCACACTTAGACTAGAGTTCATAGCACTCTAAGGTCAAGATTTTGCCATTATTGGTTGGGCAGTGTTGAGTGGAATGCAAAAGAGAAAAAACAGATTTAACCAGACAGAACAAAGGAAGACAAAACTCTCGTAAGAGGAGTGACATTAAAAACAAAGGGAAGTGACCAATCATCTTTTGTAAAACAACAAACAAACAAACAAAAAAACTTGCAAACTTGCTTAAGAGCACACAGAGATCAAACCTATTTAAAATAAATCTATTTTTCTACCCTGAACCAAGGTAATGGCTCTTACGATTTTATGACCTGTTATCAGTGGGGCTCAGAGAACTACTTGGCAAACCCAAGAGACACACGTTGCAACACCGTCACAATGTGTGTAACCTTGAAGGAGTCAACTGTTTTCTCTAGGTTTGTTTCCTCATTTTATAACCAATTTAAGAAACTAGCACCACCCTTACTCAAACAATATTAATTATGGGCGATAACTACAGTGCTTAAAAATTACTTACAAAAAACTGACCTCCCTGAAGAGCAGGGTGCCTGAAGAGAAAATAGACAGGAAAATCAAAATTCGAACAATGATACAACAACTAACAACTATAGCGTTTATTATATGCCAGGCACTGTAAACTTCACGCGTCCTAGCTCATTTTGTTTTCCAGAAATGCCGAAGCGGTAGGGCCTGTTATTACTCCCATTTCTCACAGAATGAAACTGAAGCTCAATGAGGTTAAATGGCTTGTCCCAAGTAATCCAGCAAGTGGCAGAACTCGGCGTTTTCACGCCAGGTGCCAAGCTCGTCATCGTTACACACGTCTGTCTCCCCAGCTTTGCCCCTAACTAGCTATATGAGCTTGGGCAAGTCATGCCTATCCCCTTGGGCCTCAGTTTCTCTAACTGAAAATGAGAGACGAGTTCTAGAGATTCAAGGTCGCTTCCGGGCTCTAAGTGCTAGAAGACCACTCGTTACGTGGGGGGAGGGGGAGGTTTGGGACGCGGCCGCAGCCCCGGGTGCCGCCTCAGGTCGGCTCCAGGCAGGGCTTCCAGAGCTCCCACCCCAGGGCTCCCACCCCTGGCCCCCCCTCAGAACCGCGTTCGGAGTGAGGCGCTCCGCGGTACCGAGACGCCGTGCACCCAACAGGCTCTCAGTGAAGGTGCGCCCATCCCGCCCCGCGCGCGCGGCAACCCTGACCCGAGCCCCGCGGAGTTACCCGTCCATTACATCCAGGTGCAGATAATCGGCCCCAGAGTCCAGCATCCGGAGGCACTCGGCCCCTAAATTGGCCAGGTCACTGTTGAGGATGGATGGGCCAATCTTGCAGCCGGACGCCATGGTGCTGGTTCTGTAGAGCAAGTTGCCCCACGAGAGCCCTGGCAAACGAAGGCTTCCTCCCGATTGGTCGTCCAGTTTTGGCCCCGCCTCTTCCCCGTAGCATCTTCCGGACTCCGCCGGAAGCTGCTTCCCTGAGGGAAGGAAGTCCCGCCTTCCCCTGAGGAGAGGGGCCGCCACTCCGAGAGCCTAGGGGCGGGGCCTCACAGAGAGGCCCCTTCCTCCTTCCTCTGACCTTGGTTCTTAAAAGAGGCGTTTCAAGCTTCCGGGCCCCTCCGAGGAGTTTCTTAATCTTTTTTTAGCTTTACTTCTGCCGTTCCCTCGAGACTCTTGCCCGCTCTTTACTTTTTTGTTTCTCCATTATTTGCATGTGCGATCCTTCCCTCTTCACTCCTGGACTTGTCTATTAAAAAATTCTTTGTTCTTATTTCACTCTTTGAATTCTTAAGAGCCGTGGGAGTCAAATTTAGGACGAGTCCTGGCCATACCAGATACTAGCTGGGTGACCTACAAGTCACTTCTCACTGCCTCCAGTTTTCTCACCTGTTAAGACAGTGGCCAGTGTTTGGGGTTTGGGAATCCAAGGTTGTGTCCAGCAGATGATGCCTGGTGCTCAGTGTAGAATGCTGGTTGTCGTTATTATTACTCTGCTCTGTTCTGGCCCGCATCCCTCTTCTCTTTGTTTTCGCTCTCACAGGAATGCTTATTGACAAGTTATACGTCTATTTACTGTTCAGACAAAATCCGAAACAATGTAAGGGTGGCTCTTCATCTGCCAAATGTGTCTAGGGTTGTTGGGTCAGGAAAAGAAAGGTAGTAAAACTAATCAGATAAGGTAGGGGGTTCTCTGGAGAAAGAAAACCAAGTATGGCTTTCTTAATATAAGATAAGCCTAAGCCATTTTGTAATCTAAGCCTGGCCATAATGCTTTCACTTCAATAGGTCTTAGTAATTCATGATCTTAAGGGGACACAAGAACGCAGGGGAAAAAATGACTGTTACCAGTTGGGCAAGAGAAGTAAACAGAGCAAAGATAATGTATCAGTTGTCAGCTCCCAGTTCTATCTCAGTATTTCAGATTAGCCTGAAGTGCTCAACCACTACATTGACAGGAACCTGAGGGATGATGATGTTGACCTTTTCTGACCCTCGTGACTTCAGTCAACTAAAGCTTGGACTCTGTCCACCACCCAAGCCCCTTAACTTAAAACTTCCCCAGTTTTGCTATTTGGGGACACACTGCTTTTGGAAAGATCCCTTGTGTTCTCCTTACTTGCTGCAAATAATAAATCCTTCCTTCTCCTGATCTTTGGCTTTGTTGTATCTTTTGGCTCGACACCCATCAAGAGGCAAACCTAATTTTTCAGGTAACAAATTCACATGAGGAAAAAAATGGATTTAGCAGGAGCATACCTTAGAGGGTAAGGATGGGACACTTTGCATAAAAGATAGGACTTGTGGTAACTTGGATCCCGTGGTGATCCTGGTTACATTCAGAGAATAACTGGGTCCTTAACATTCCTCCTAAAAAACCTACCAGTCATAATGTTAAGTAGTTTAGATAGAAATGAACACTGTGCAGGGGGAAAGGAACAACCCAGAAAATGGCAGTGTGTCTGCATTCAGGAAAAGGGATTCCAGAAATTTTTTACTTTCTCTAAATGAGGGCCAGTAAAAGAAGCCAGTTAAAATCAAAGTGATGCAGCTGCATATGAGAGGGGGCCCTGGTATAACTTGACCCAATGAACCTGCCGAAAAGGGGATGGGCATGCTAGAGTGCAGGGAACCTGAGTTGTCAATCAATCAATCAATCACGAAACCAGGATATAAAAACAGGAAAAACAAAGAAACAGTGCCATTTTTCCTCTCTGGGATTGGCCAGCTTCCAATTCTCAGGAGTGTACTTTTACTATTTTTTTACTTCACTAATAAAAATCTTCCTTATATCACACTTTTCTGTCTCTCATCAAAAATTCTTTTTATTTGAATTGACTAAGAACCGAGGTAATTCTTATTTTCCTTTTCCCAGTAACAATTCCAGTAGGTCATAACCTGAGCGGAGAAGTCAAACTGGGGTACTTGTCTCCCAATAGGCCCATTCTGCTTTATTTTCCAAGTTAGGTGTGGAGAGCATGAGTAGAATGGAGCTCATCTGGGGTTGGAGGGAGGAATTGGGGGTGTCCAACTAAAGGGTAACCTCACGCCGGACTATGAAGGTTGAAGACAGATATCAAGGCATGTTCCATGGACCCAAAACAAGAGCAGACCCCAAGGATCTAAAATGAACATGTTCCTATATGAGTGAAAACTATTCCCTGTGAAGAAAAATGAGAACTGAAAGTCAATCAGGCATCTTAATATTTTTAGATTTATTTTATTATATGTGCATATTCAAACACAGAAGTCTAATCTTTCATAAATATCTTTCATAAACGTTTCAGTATTTATTCATATGCATTTTTTCCATGCTCTTTGGTCATTCAGTATTCATAACAAACTTCATAGTCATCTGAGGGAAGTTGGCTGTGTAGTCAATCTTTTGTTTTTTAACCTATAAAATGGCTAATAAAGGATTTTCATCCTGCAGTCACAGTGACTATTGAAAAATATGGAGGTACATTGATCTGTAATCCTAAAAGATCCTAAAACAACATAAGTAAATTTGTCTTAAGTTTTTCCAAACACATTCTGCCCTAAACTTGTTTTTATTCTCCTGAGTGTCAAACCAAACTTTGTTTCTGAAATGCTGCAGTTGAGACCCACTAAAATAAATGAGGAGGTGGGACTTTCTATTCACTGCCAAGACAAGGCCATGGAATTGGAAGTGTGAGGTCACGGGGCATGACTCAGTGTGATAGCAGCAAATTCCGGAGACTATTCAAGTCTCCTGTTCAATCTGAGGAAGGGTATTTAATTTCTGTTTTGGACTGTCATTCTATTTATGACCCTTTCTTCCCTGTAGGTCCCTGTATACACTCTTTTCCTGTCTCAGATACTCTCGGAGCCAGACAGCAGAGTGAGAATGTTTTTAATTGACTAAAGGGACAGCTACTAAAGAAGGAAGGAGATATCCTGCCTAAGGTAAGCTTGGAGGCTTGAAATAGCAAACCAGCTACTCCCAGCCAGACCCCTAAACTCCACAGATTTTTTCCCCCAGCATTGCTAAGCCCATTTATACCTTTTGACACTATAGTTCTCAGTGCCTTGTCCCAATGCACTCAATAACTCAGTGTCTTTTTGGGGGAAAAAAACATAATTAATCTAATAGAATTATAGAAAGCAACAAATACTGAAAAATGAAAGTAAAATGTTTTGCTATATAAAGTACTGTATCCAGAATTTGAACTGCTTGAATTGGATCTGAGTAGCATAAATCTCCACCCACTATCATGGATATACACGCTTATTCTAAGATCTCTCAAAAGTTAATTTCAGAAGAAGCAGCCTCTTGGTGGAGCTCAATTTTTTATATATGGGAAGTGAGTGTCTGTTTTAATTTTCCTCTGAACAAGATAAATATTATTAAATATCACAGCTTAAGAAATGATCTAGTATTACCAGTACTGTATTTATCATATGTAATAATTAACTTTTAGTTATCTATGCAATAATACTTGAATTACAAAAAATTGTAACTTATCTTGAACTTTTTCTAATCTTCCCCGACTTTTTTTTTTTAATAATTATTCCTTCAAACTCCAGGTAACAGTATTCCTGAGAATACATCTTGTAACAATCTTATGCACATACATGTATTTTATCAATTACACATAAACATTTAACACATTACATTCAACACATTTAAGGGCACCTTAAATGGAACAGATGCACACATCTGCAAAATCTCCACAGTCCCAGTATGAAAACATTTCCACTCTATAAGGCCCTGTTTGTCAGAGTGGAGGCTTTTTTGCAAGGTACAACATTACTTAGCTTATTGAAAAAGTTTCCAACAGACTTCCATAACACTAGAGTGAAGGAGTCAGGCTAAAAGGCAAATGGGCCAGCATAGTCATGTTCAAAACAGCCCAATACTTTTTAAACACATAGAAAGGTATATAGGATTCTGATTGGATATTTAACAATCTTCTTCGACCCTTTTATTTTTAAATATTTGATACGACTATACACAGAGAATCTGAATCAAGAATCAAGAAACTGGAACAAAGCACACACATATATAGAGACTCATATAGCCCAGACACTGGTAATTACCAAACATAAGGCCTCTAGCACTAATGGAGCAGCATAATTTTTAACAGGCGAAATATATAGCTTAGAAAAAAATCACAAAACCACTCATATATGTATATTTTTGCACTTGAGAATTAATTCAGCATTAAGTGTAAATGTCCTGAAAATATTGTGAAACATAGAAGAGGTCATTTACCACCTCTATTTTCTGAAGTTTTAGATTTGAAATTTTTAGTTTTGTCCTTTAATCTTTAACACAGAGATAACTTTCATTCTATCAGTGAATGAGACCAAAACCTCAAATTATATTTGAACGTGTAGATCACAGTAAAAACAAGGCCTACTTAATAAGCAATTCTAACAGAAAAATCATTTTCCTTTGTGATTTGGGTGGGTTTAATAGGTCTCCTTTATATGTACATATTCATTTCATAGCCAATGTAGTCAGAGTTTAAATGTATAGGTTTTAAATTCACTGCAATGTAATCAATGTCTGAACTTCAACTTGAGGACTAGAAACCACACACACCACCACCAGCATTCCAATTTAGGTATGTGTGTGTGTTTTTGTATGCTTAGAAGTTATGTAACAGTTTTCAAATAAAAACTGTTAAAGTTTTGAAATTTAATTTTGAACTGTATGAGGCCAAGCCCCACTATAGGATCAATAACACTAGATATGGCCTCACAAACCTTCTAAGTTTCATACTTTTCTTGAAGTAATTGAACTTCAAGTTAAAGTAAAATAAACAAGCTGACTGTGTCTATAAAGAAATTGCTCACTTTGTATTTTCTCCTCATAAACTTTGATGACTAAAGGATCATATGAATATTCTTAACACTAAGAAAAAGTTATTTTATCGAACCAATTCTAATAACACTAACCTTAACATCTGAAAATACGCCCTCAAGGGCAGGCACAGGATGCAGTGAGGGAACGTAGTCACGGTTCCCAATATCTCCCAGTCTTGGCATTGATGTAGTCAGGGCTAGAAGGAGGAATGCCATCTCTTTCTAGCTATTATATTTACATTTAATTTTTGTCATAGTATAGGCTGTTTAGGTTCTTCTTAATTCAGAATTATGTCTGATAATTTCTAGAATATTCTCTACTGTGACTAATTATGAAATGGAATTATCTTATATGGTATGAGCATTTTGATTTACAATATGCAATGAAATTGACAATTAAAAAATAAATATTGAAAAGTCCACAGCTCTAAAAATAGTATTTTTTTTCTTCTTCTAAATAGCTGCATTGTTGATCAAAACAAAAATGGCTGCAAGCTTACTTACTATTTAGTTTCCCCAAACTTATATTTCCTTATTATTTTTACGTAAATTTCTACTTATATAGCCACCTGATTTAATATTCTTGAAATTATAAAAATAAACATTTGCATGAGATGTATAATGTAACCTCAAAAATTGCATTCTCCTTTTAGAAGACATTATTTGTTAATATTTCTAAGTAAGCAGCTCTGTAATAGTATATATTTTTAACTGCTCAAGGCTTCTTGAATCATAAACAATGTGCAGTGAAATGGCTCTTTCCCTTTATTCCTCCCTGGTTTTTATAGTCTTCACACAACCAGACCATCTTAGCCATTGATTTTTAAAGATGTTTATGAAACAATATGCACACTGGCAGCAAAATCTACTGGGATCTGTGCTAACCATTGGGTGTAAAGTGCTGTGTTTTCATCTTTTCCAAGCAAAGGTTTTTCAACTTTTAGCCACATGAGCCCTTGCACATCCTGTCTACACCTTCAGCTCTTAAAAGGTGCAGAGTTAAACGTGAGACTCATCTAGGTCTACATCACTCTCCCCCAGCCCCTGCCCAGTGGGTGCAAAAGGGAACTGGCTGGCCAGCAGGGGGTTCTCCATGCCATTTTCCTCACTGATGTGAAGGACAGTGTCTCCGTGCTGAAGGAGGATGGATGTCTCAAGGCCTGTGAAGTCATCAGGGTCTGAGAGTTGAGCAGAGAGGGGGCTGTGTGCTGCAGCACCTTGTACTTCTGTGTCCTCCTTCTTTTCTCCTTCTTCAGCTGGGAGGGTCTCACCCTGAGATTGAAAGGATCGTAACATCATGGAAAGACAGGGAGGAACATCAGTGTTGTTGTCTAGCTGTAACTAGACAAGGAATCACAAGGCTGGACCCAGTTTTAGCCTCTGTTATATATGAGATCTTATATTGGCCCTTCCAACTTTCTAAGCCTCAGTTTTCTAACCTGTAGCATAAGCATCAGTTTTTGCCCCACTTACCTTGTAGACTGTGAGTATACAAATGAGGTAATGGTATTACAATGCTTTTTACCCATTAAAGATTTTATAAATGTATATAGCATATTGTCCCTTAGCTTTCTTTAAATACCACAAGAAGAATGTGGGACCTATAGGAACTTATTTCTAAAAATCAATAGCAGAAAAAAAAATCAAAACAAGAAAAATATTAAAACCATAAGGAAAAAGAACCAAACGTTCCTCTCACAGGATACAGAAGGCTGTATGTTTAAAGGCTTCCTCTAAATTGATAACATTTTTTTCAATTGAACTGTCTTTCAACTATGTATTATATATTAGTTTTCAATGGTTATTTTAGCTATGAAATATTTCCTCCGGTTTTTCATTACAAAGAGCATGAAGACTTCTCTCATTCCTTCTTAAGTATATGTAGTCTTGGCCATGTACTTTATATAGATTTTCTTTTTCCAGGGTCTGTCTGACTAACAAAGCTTTACAAACTCAGACTTAATTTATATGGGATACATATGCATACCCTACTGGTTTCCAGACAAAGGTGCGCCGGGAGCAAGGCATGCCTGTTTCTCTAGCGCCCTCACCTGCTTGGGAGACAGGCTGTGAAGATCAGCGACGACAGTGGTGGGGGAAGACGTGAGGACCGGTTTGTCCATCCCTTCTGGTTTCCTGGACGGGGCTGGGCTGCAGCCCTGTGGCTGGGCTGTAGCAGGAAGTGTGTCTGCTGGGGCACCTGCTGGCTCCGGCTGAGCCTCAGTGAAGGTCACAGATCGTTTCTGATCCGCTGTAGGTCAGAAGTAAAGCAGTAAATAGGAACAGTGGGGGGAAGTATGTTGTTGATGCTTAATTAGCTTTAATCAGCGTCTCCTGACTTTTCTTAGTAAAGACATTCCTAGTTTATCAATAAATGAGAGCATATTTGACTATTATGTACATGTTTTGATTTTACCTTCTTACAAACAGTAGGACTTGGGTAGAAAAATCATTTTTACATAAATAGCCTTTTCACATAAGTAGTTTTTACATAAAAACAAGATTGGCAAAGAGCATTAAGTGAACTTGGTCATCGCTCAGAACGACTGCCAACAGCATTTAAAAGTCCCTACTATTCATCGTTCCTCTTTCTTCAGTGAGACATATGACAATCCTAGTTCCTGGCTTGGGTAAGGAAAACACAACCCTTACAGTCAAACTTCATAGCATTTGCGCTTTCCATTTTCCTAGGTTCAGGAGGGGAGGGATGGGGTTGGGGAAGGTGAGAAAAATAAAGGCACTCCAGTTTCCTGGGAAACTTCTTCCCTTTTCCTAGTGGCTCTCCAAAGGTGTGCTTATCTGCATGAGCTCAGTCTCAGCTGTGTGGCATGTCAGCGTGTCAATGGTGCGTCAGAAGGGACACAGGAGGCCTCACCAGATGGCTTTGTTTTAGGTTGAATGCTCCTGCCAGTGGTGGACAGCCGAGCCCCGTGGCGGTTTCTGGGTTCAGTTTGAGTCTTCTGACGTGACAGTAGAGGACGTCTTAGCTAAAGAGAAGAGACAGAAGAAGGGTAGCGCGAACAATCCAACTACCTGGGAGGAAAAACTGAGCTCAGAGGATTCCGCCTATGGTTTGTCCCCTTCTTTGTGGGTTTCTGTAGAGTCCTATGGTTGTTCCTCACATTCATCGCTAATGAAATAAACTTCTTTCTGCATATCTAAATGCAAGTACGTATTTGGCATCCCCTTTAACCAATTCTGTCTTCCGATTATTACTCATTTATATATTCTAAGAACATTAACCATAATTTAAAACAGTCAATGTGAGAATTTCAATGAATTTTAGGATACAAAACTAGTAATTCTTACTTAGCAATCAGCCTTTGCTCATCTAAAAGCTGTCACTGAACTTAAGCTAACTCTCAGGGGGAGGCTGATGAAAAAAAATATCAGATGCTGGGAAAATGTCTGGTCTCCAAATCAGTGTTGGGACGCTCCCATCAAAGCAGCAATGCAAAGCCTCATTTAGATTTTTATTTAGACAGTAATGTAAAGGAATCGCACCCACGGAAATTTGTACAGGTGATCTTTACTTCGATATCAGTTTGAAATTGAATCATTAATCTTGAAATGAGGAAGAAAGGATGACTGTGCCTCTGCTTCTGGAAGGGATAACTGTATCTCTGCCCCTATGCAGAAATAGACTTTAAATCAACTTTATAACAAATCTTGCACAGTCAGTGGTTTGGCTGGCAAAGGTTTCTGGATAGGGGGCAAATAAAAGCATAGGCTCATTTATTCTAAGCAATCAGCTTGGTTAATAAGAAACTTCAGAGCTAAAATAGAAGCCCCAAACTCTCACCTTGCCTAAGCACTTACCATGTTTTAAAGTTGTTCTGTCCTGCTTATTTCAGGTGGGGAGAAGGCAAATTATAGTCTTAATATACATCTGAATTCAAAATTGAATACAGCTTCCATTTCCTAAAAGGACTCTCCTGCTCTTACAGGGTCGGCTTACCTGCCTTAGGCCCCTCTTTCTCCCCAGCGGCTGCTGAATGAGGAGGTTCTGCTGGCCAGGCTCACTCTGTACACTTGCCACCCTGCCAAGCATCAACAGCGTTAGTGTCCCCAGGAGGGAGTACAGAAGACCTTCCTCTGGTGGGCGTTAGCCAAAACCACGTATGTCCAACAGTCACTTCAAAGATGCCATAATCTTTGAAGGAAGGTTGAGAAAGAATCCCTGGGATGGGACTTTTCAAAGGTTTGGGAGGAAGGACAAGGCTTTGTAGCCCCAAGCTGCCAAAATTGAGATTCTGTTTTCAATGACTGATGCTGGATCTACTATTCAGCAAAACATCAATTTGATCACACCCCTGGATTGGAAGCCACCAAAAAGGCTTAAGACGCCATATTCTAATCTCAATTTTTTTTTTTTCCGAGGGTAAGGGAAAAGGTGGTGACGAACAAACACGAACAACTCTATCACATGGATGGGAACACCTCTTTTAAAATTTCAATTTAAATGAAAAAGATGGACGAATATCAAACACATCAGACACAGAATCCATTTGGGTGAAGGGTCACATTCAACACATGTTTGCAGCCGGAAGTCTCTGTGACTACTGAGTACATGAATAGTCACGCAGGTAGACAATTAAATGTCTTGGGAAAGTGATTTTAGATTTAAAAGGCTGGCAAAATAATTAAGCTATCATTACAACTTAGAAGTTTAATTAATTAATATAGAATTGCTGCACCCAAACATAGTACGTAATTTATAAAAGCAACAACCTGCTCCCCCCAAATTTACTGTGTATGTGTGTCTTTTATATGCAAAAATGACTACAGGCAGTGGTCCCTATTTCAGTGTTGGGTGAAGCTGAAAACACGGTCATGGGCCCCATGATCCTTTTTCATTCTGCATGCATGTGTAACAGGTATTTATAATGGGAGTGGAGGTGAAAAAAGGAAATGTATTGTGCCCCAGAGAACACTGTAATCCTGTGGATGATGCCAATGTGATTATTTGGTTAATGGGTAATTAATTTCTGCTTTGCCTTTGCAAAAGGAGAGTCATCTACAAATAGTTTTTACAGTAAAATATTCCACAGAGGAATGCAGAGTCAGCAACTGTCCATGAAAAGGAAAGACTGTATTCATTCATTGCCATTTTTAGAAAAAAGAGCTACCTAAATACAGTCTCCCTGCACTTGTAGGGAGAGAAATTGGTGGCAAGACAATCAAATGTTTCCCCTGTTGTATTAACAACTAGTCAATCATTGCCATGGCTGGCACAACCACATCTGTCATTTTTTTTAGTTTTAAAAGTCTTACTTCTATTTCCACTAGAAGAAAATGAATGATTCCCAAATGGAGTTCATCACAGTTTTTCTGAAATAAGGATGGAATTATACCATAATGTATTACACCATTTGGGATGCACAATACAAAATTCCAGACAGAGTCTCAAAAACAGATGTTTTTACACTTTCTTGTCCTCCTGAACATCAAGTTCAAAAAAATCGATGTTCATTATTTTTATACATATATGACCTTGTTCCATATACGACTTTTCTATGAAGATGGAAAATCATCCCAAAGGAACAATGCAATAAATTCTGATAAGCAATCCAAACTAAGTTGCTGGCATGTTTGAAATGACATCTCCTTATTAATTATACATTTTAACATGTGTCTTAAATTGGAAAGGTGTTCAATTATCATATGCACAAAAGTAGAAACAAGTTTCTCCCAAATACTTAGCAAAGCTTTCACTAGAATGGATTCTTCATTGACATCTAAGTGTTACCTCAGTTCCCTCGGCCGTAAAGGGAGGTTAATACTTACCACCTACCTCCCATTAAGGTAGAGAAAAGAAGTTAGTTGATGTAAAATGGTTTGAACATGAAGAGTGATGTAATATAGCATGCTTCCTTGTTTTACTTTGTAATGAGTTTACTGCTTCTAGAACACTAGAAGGAAGTAGGCAATAAAATGTCTTAAGAATAATTGGGCAGAGAAAATGAAATAGAGGCAGTCCACTTGTCTCATTTTTATTCAGTAATCAGAGATTGTGAGGAAAAAAAATGGTGCAAGAAACAAAAAGAAATACACGCCACTCAAGGATTTAAATGTCAAAACATAATGGTAATTTCACGATGATTATTCCAAGGGAGGATCATAAGCATCAAAATTTTCTCTATGGATAGAGAGGCTTATCTCTAAGAAATGGATCAAGTTTACAGCCTTAGTAATTATCTGTTCTGTGTAAGTGATATAGCATTTCATCAATGGAATGCACATATCAGTGATGAAATTCTAGAACATGTCCTTGGAATTACAGTCCAGCTAATATATTATATTCTCCCTAAAAATGTGATGCTAACATGCTTATATTTGGAACATCAAAGTCTAGCTTTACTGTGTGCAGAGGACATGTTAATAAAAAACAGAGAAATTAACAATAGAAGTAACACACAGAACGTGTTTCTTTTTCTCAGGTCTGTATTAAACTGGAGTTGCGTATAAAAAGTGATCCCAATTTAGCTTCTCCCCATGTCATGTAATATTTCCATCATGTGTAGGATTTGTGATGTGTGACCATCAGGTGTGCAATACTAACACCAACCAGAAGACCATGGTGCTTGCCCTAAGCACCTCTCAGAAAAACTGATTTCCTAAAAATTTAATCTTGGGGATGAGAAATGACTGATTTCCACTGTTTTGCCAAATAAAAGAGTATACAATAAGTATAAAAGCAATACAACTTTCTGAATTGAAGCTAAAATCATCCTTTGTATTTTTACATCACTGAACAACATTACTATGGCAAATGATCTAGATCTTAGGGAAGTAAATGTACTTGCGTCTTGGCAGAACCACTGTGACTCAACTGTATGCAAAAACCAAAAACACCTATCTCAAAATACAAGGAAGTCATTGATAAGCTAGAGAAACTTAGACAACGTTAGAAGACAATTCTGGCACAAATTACCTCTTTTCCCTTACTTCAGCACGAAAGCCTGTTTTGTGGAGTATAAATACGTATGTATCTCCTGATGGAATATATGTTTAATGGTATTTCTTAAAGGATAGGGGAACAAAGGGCCATTCAGTAATGCAATAAAAATTTGTATCATTCATTTCAATTACCAAAAAAAAAAAGATTTCAATCTAGAAACAGATTTCATAAATAAAAATTATGAGTAGAAGCACTGGGTGAGACTAGCACACAGAAAATGAATTCGTATTTTCATTGCTTTTATCTATAGTTTTAGTTTCAATTTTAATATGGTTAGAGAATCTCGAGGTGCAGTGCCAGACCACGAGCAGAGCCACTTTCCCTGGGGGATGGCCTTGTGCTGGGAGTGCATGAAGCCAGCACTAAAGGAGCCATAAAGCATTTATAGAGAAGAGGGATATAGGGATATAAACAGACAAAATCCTACTCTTCCCTTTCCCAGTAGAAGATTACTGTTTAAAATTTACTTAGCCTCCACAACAACCAAGAAAATGTATCTTTCAAATGCCATGGAATTTTGATATTAGAGGCTGGAATCAGATTTAAAAGCTGGCGGGGGTGGGGATAATCTGGATCTTCGCTCTCCTGGAAGAACTGACTTAGCATGGGCAGAATATCCTTATCCCATATCACAACACACGTTTTCTTAACTATTAATTCTCAGCTACACAAAAAGCTTGCTTTAATTTTTCTCTTGTACTTTAGAGTACTTGCCAAGTTTTCATACTTTGAAAAATATGTATGATCATGAGATGGATAGGTTATTTTTATTTTGTCTTACCCAGACTGCATGTCTTGTTCAAACTTGAGCCACATTTTTATTTGCCAGGTGATTAAAATTACCCTTGCAGAATCAAATAACATTGTAATCACTCTCTTCTTTTTAAGGTTAGAGTTGATTGTCAATTCCTTCCTTTCAAAATGTCCTAACATGTCCAAAGAAAATTTAATCCTCAAGTATAAACTTCCAGGCTTATGTGCTTGGATAACTTTCTGTGTCTATATTCTTCTGGAGAGAAAATATGGTCCCTAGTGTGTGTGTTTGGGGGCGGGCACTGGGAGGGAACATTCACAATGAGTTTCTGTACTTCGAAGGGCAACACTCTCAAAGCAGAGAATTCTTCCATGGAACATTATTATAATTTATTAATTTCCAAAAGAAAGAATCTTTTCTCCATAGCATAGTGCTTCCAACAAGCTTATATTCCTTGTCATGAATGTTTATAAGAAACCAGTTAGCACAGGTTAAAAAAAATCCTGGAGGAAATTTTCTAAAGGTCTGCAAGAATTGTGTTAATTTCCATCTATTCATCAGATTATCCGATTATCCTAGTTTTTTCCTTTATTTTTTTAGCCCTCAGACCAACTTGCCCACTTTGCCTAAAACAAGTGCTTTTTCAAAAGCAATTTCTCAGAAAGTTTATCAAAATATGGGTTGGCTGGAGGAGTCAAGTTTATTACTTTCCGTTAGGCATGCTTCCTGATATTCTTTAAGCTTTGGTGCCAGATTTTCCTTAAGACTACTTTGGATGGATTTTAGGTCCTGAGTACTCGGGTGTGTGCTAAATGTAACTTACATGGTTCATGCCTCACTGCTTTCTTGAGGATTTTAAGAGCCTGCAGCATAAAGAAGTTTCATGCCCCAAAGAAGAAAGCCCAGAAACCAAATATAAAAAGTATATAGCCTATTTTATAAACCCACCTCTTAGTAAATGCCAAAAGTTCCTCTCCTCCAAAGAGAACTTGGTAACATGATGGAGTTCAAGAGATATGATTTGCAGTGTATGGCAAAGGTGGATGTGCTACTGGCCGGTGGAATGCCTCTGCATCACTAGAATTATTTAGAATCCAAAGTAAACACCTCACCTTCTGGTTTCTTAATGACCGTAACTGAATCCGGGTGACTGACACCCAGAACTGAAACACCCCAGTTACAGGAACAACAAACCAACAACAGTTGATTTAAAACAGTCATCAAAGCCCTCACAGCAATGACTAGTTCAACTGCAGATAAAACCTACAGGTTTGGCTCTGAACCACTGTCACACAGCAAGAATTTTGGGTTTACTCCCATTGACACTGGACCCAGGGCAGACTGAATTGGCTTAGATAACTCCAGATCAGAGTCATCTGAACCCTAAGCCTGCCAAAGAAGGCCAAGTCCCTGGGAGAATTTATAAAAATCAACACAAACTCCTTCCTTCTCCCACCAACCCCAGACTGGTATTTACTCAGCAAGAGTAGAATAGAACATGGCCTAATTAGAAGAGCTGGCCAAATGAAAGTCTGATTTAATAGTTTCTACCCTCAGTAGGACATTGAAATTATCTTTCTGATCCAGCTTCTCCTGTTTCGTATGTTAATATTAAACTTTAAACAAATGTATGCCTTAAAGCCACTGGTCACAGTGCTAAACTTGGTTCAAAGCTCTTCAAATACAACGAACAATGAAGGGAAAACATCTAGAGGACTGTTTTGTACTTCCGGCCCCAAAACCCTCAGTAGTGGTACTAAAGCCTTCACTCTACGGCACTTCCACATTTACCACCAGTAAGAGACTGGTCTGTCACGGCAAGGGCTCGCAAACACAAATGAATGTCATGAATTATGAGGCCAGTGGAAAAAAAAAGATACACCTGATGATGGAGTAAGTTTCCCATTTTCAATGGCAGAAGAAAATGTGAAATCTGAACGAGATGCAAAGAAAACAAAGGACAGCCTTTCTCAGGAACGGCCTCTCAACATTTCCTCATCTTTGTGATAGAGCAATAAACATGGGTGTATTGCACTCACTCTACAATGCAAACTTGAAAGGGAATGTTTTCTCTTGAGATGGAACAAAGGCACTCTTAGAATGAACAAGAAGCATTGCCCCTAATGAGGATTAGTTGAGAGGTGTGAATCAACAGCACAAGATTAGGAATGTTTGATGTGGGTTATCTGAGTGTTAAAGGTGCAGTCCCCCTCTCTGAAGCCTTAAGCCAGAAGCCAAACCATTATATGGTTTGCATCATAAGGCTTCTCTTAACGAGAAAGGTTTGTGTCTGATATTTCATGGCAAATTTGGGAGTCCTCTTTGCACTGGGATAGGCATTCTTTATACAAGTGTTGTTTGAACAGGCTACTATGATAGCCTGCCTCAAAGCATGCATTAGAGAGCGGATGACATAATTGTATCAACACTTATTACAGCATCACTGTTTGTTTTCTTACCATCCATGCAATTAGCTAAAAGGCCTGTCTGGAATTTATAAGGGGCTTCTCGATGATGGAGAGTTGTATTAAAAGGCTTCTGAAAGAACAGTTCTTATGGAATATCAAGGGATATTGGGGGGGAAATGATTAGATGGGATAAATGTAACATTTGGCATGTTAAACTCTTTAGATGGTCCATGGGATAAGCCCTAAAAGAACTCCAGGGATTTTTTTTTTAAAGTAAGCTTTTTAGGCCATTTTTGATTGAGCTCTGAAGCTGAAAATGAAGGAGGCTACACCTTTGACTTCCAGGCTCGTGTGTTCATGAGCAACAAAGGGCAAGGAATGAAAATCGTTATCGAGACGGGGCGAGAGGAGACAGAGAGACAGAGAGACAGAGGAGACAGGGAACAGCTAGTTCCTCAGCACAGACACCAATAGACAGGTAGCGTTGACACTGTACCTAGAGAGGCTGCCCTCAGCGGCCAGGCCCTGGGAGTCATCGAGGACATTAGGTTCACTGCAGGAGGGGTAGGGAGATGAAGCATTTAGGGAAAGAAAATGCAAACAAATAAAAGAAAAAGAAAAAAGGCATGCGATTTTCTGCTTCCAAGAACCAAAAAAAAAAAAAAATCAATTTAACAGAACAAGGAAGGAAAAGGAGACAGTCAACCATTTCACCTTGTGCTGGGTCTGTCAAGACATAGGACTCAAGGCAATGGGGGAGGAGGGACTTTGGGGGGACACGACTCTCAGTGGAGTGACCTACTTATTGGTCAAGAGTTGGGACTTAAAATGAGCTCCGAATGGACACATGAGCTCTGAAACGCATCGCAGAATGAATCTGGAGAAGACGAAACTGTCATTCCTCTGGTAACTATTTGGTTGGGTGGTGATGATCTTTCACCTGTTTCATGGACATGACGCTTCACTGACCAGGATCCTGCTTCTTTCTGGTGTACTGTGACGTTATCACACAGAAACCACTTACCATGAACTGCTACAACCCAACTCTCGGAACAGATGCCATTAAGAAAAGCAAAGAAAGAATCCAACTTCACCTGCTAATTTTGCAATGAAAATGCAAGTACACGAATGGAAGGAAGATAACCCTGGGAAATTCACCCGGAACTCGCATTTACCTCCTCGCTCCATCCTCTAGTGACTGAATTGTAAATGCCAAAAGAAAAAGCCTATCAGGCTGGTGAGAGAATAATTAAATAGTTTATTGATATATTTGGATGCCGCTGATTTGGGGATTTGTGAACAGAAACTGTCACACTTTTTCTCTCTTTCCCTCAGTGCCCAGCATTGAGCAAAGCACCTACAAGGCACTCAATAAATAGTTGCTAAATTGGATGGAATTAAACTATTCAGAAAACTGGAATGCCTGCCCCCAAAGAATTGTGGTTCACCTGCTTACTGTAAAAATAGCGTCTGTCCTCAGGAGGCTTTCCCTACACACATAGACATCATTATCTTCACTAGCCTTCCAAAGTATGACTTAAGCCCAAAGGGGTCACCTACATTATTTTTCTGGATTTCTAGTATATCCATAATAGAACCAATTTTCTCCCCAGAAATGAGATAACCTCTGAAAGGATATGGACAAGGGGAATTGATGGCCGAGTTGTTTTAGGTAAATAACAAAAAGATCCTCCATTTAAAATTCCTAAAATTCTCTAATTTAAATAAAACTTTCAAGTAGATGGCTAGATAGTTTTTATTCATTCTTGAGAGAAGTGTGCACATTACTAGCAATTAAAAATAAATCACTAAAAAAGTCACTAGTTGCCAATGTTAACTGCTTGTATGATTTTACATCTTTTTTGGACATTATAGTTTGGCCCTGATTTTGTTCATTTATTTTATTTATAAGACTGCCTTTTCAAAGATAAATTATCAAATGGTGGGTAAAACAATTTCTTACAATGATCGTTACCCTTATATATTATCAATTTTTGTAATAACTAAATAGTACATAAATATTGCTTTCTGTATAAGCATGTAATTTACTTACTAATCTTTTATAATCTCCCCCTTTTAAAAATATTCTCCAAAGTTTGGCTTTATTTCACAAATTTTATTTCATCCATGCAGGTCAGGAATGATTTGCTAAAGGATTTGGGTACAAGGTAATTATTTCTGCATGTAAACTAATTTTACCTGAACATTAGAATGTGCTCTTATCATTATTATTTTCCATGTATAAATTATACCACAATGGTTCTATAGGTAATAAAAGTGAAAAGGGCCATATTCTTTGAAATAATTCAGTTCCTGAAGTAAAAATTTTATTGACTCTGGAATAGAAAAATTTTTTATTAAAGTATAGTTGATTTACAATGTGTTAATTCTCTTATGTCAGATCATTTTCTATACTACCATATATATGGCAAACTATATGTATATGAAGTTTTTAATCGATATTCTGAGAGGGCAGAGAACATCAAAGAAAATGTCTTAAAGGATTTAGTTATGGAATCATAGAACTATAGATAGAGAAGTTACCTTGAAGACCAACTTCAACTAATCTTCTCATTTCACAGAGGAGAAAACTGTGGGCTCTTGTTAAATGATTGCCCAAGGTCAGACATAGTGGCATAGGTCCTTTTCTGCTTGGTTCAGTATCACTACTGACCACTAAATACTGATCATATACCAGAGGTCTAAACTTTACCAAATACATCAAGCAAGTCTTATACACTTGGCGAGACACTAATTATTAGCTTAGCTGATGATATATCTGAAATTCAAGAATATCATTTGAAAGAAGACCATGAACAAAGATCTTATATATATTTATAGAAAAATTCTGAAGAGAAATAATGCTAGGATCAGAAACTAAGATCCCTTCTACTGGCCTGGCTTAGAAAACTCTCTGCAAATTGTTGCCTGTGGAACCCTAGTTGAAAAATCGCTTGAATGGTCTACTTCAAAACATTGTTTGCTTCTTTTTAGCTTTTTAGAATAACAGGAGAGAATTCTCAGAATTTCTGCCTTTGCCCTCAAATACAGAGTATAACATACCCGGGGCTCTTTACCTTTGGCTGGGTAACATGCCCACCTCAGCCTGAGGTGCAGACATGCTGGAGACGTGGCTGGAGAACCGTCTCCTTCCAATGGCGCTCAGGAGGTAAGCTTCCTGTTCACTTACCACACTGGGCATGCTGACAGAGTCATCTGAAAGGGCCAGAGAAGGGAGCGTTACCAACTATGAAGTGGATCAGAAAACCCAAACCAACTTTGTGCTTGGGTTCTGTCCTTGGCTTAAATACAATCTTAGGGCAGTCTCTAAAGCTAAAGTATCATTTATCACTTTGTACAGATTCAAAACTGAGACCTCTGGGGTCTGAAGAAACATCTTCACTATTTGTACAAAAATGGAGAATTTGACAGCTGAGCCAGAGTTAATGAACATTGTCATTTTGAGAATATGAACAGAACGTCGAGTTAAAGTGACCAGTTACATCATTTGGGTGAGGGAAACAGCCTCAATAAATCTTCATGACTGTAATTCCATCTTGGAAAAAAAAAATGACCTTTGGGGGCTTAGTTTTTAATCTGTAAACAAAGGGATGAAGGATAATTCTTCACATCTACACATCTCCCACCTTTGAACAGCCTTCATGAAATAAATGTAACTCCTTGTCCATTACTACAAGTAGGTTATTTGTAAAAGTCAAGGGGCATCTGCAAATTAAAGATTTCAGAAAAGCTGGACTATACACTTTTAAACCTTCCAGCAGTAGTCCAATAAGGGACTTTGTTATTAAACAAGTCAAGCATGTTTCTTCGACATTCAAACACTACATTCAGTACATTTTATTAATGATTTTTAGACTGCTGAGGGAAAGATTATTTCAAGTATTTTTTGGAAAAATATTTAAAAACCTATAAATTCGTTAACAAATGCTTATTTTAACCTAAATTTAAAATTTGATGCATGCAGTTTTGTTTTCTTCATAGAAGCAGAAATGAATGTATCCAAATGCATATGAAAATTAACGTTAGTACAATATTTATGATGAGGTGACCTCATTCTAAGTGAGCTAGTATTGTTTCTTACTGAACAGGAAACATATTCTGATTAACATTAGAGTTTTGGTGAAACGTTACCATATAAGGTCATCTGACAGCATTTATTTAAAATATCTCCAAGTAGTCCTATTTCGAGTGAAATTTATTTCAAACCAAACAGGTGAAAAGAAAAAGTGCTAAACATTTTAATTTGCTATATAATGACTGGCTGGAAGTTGATTCTTGGTATAGAATGGTATTTTCTTTTTAGGTGTGTTCATAGAGAAGAGAATAACCAGATGTGCCTTAAAAAACATGAAAACATGGTCAGGTAGATTGAGCTATTCTTACTGAGAACTTTCTGGGATTCCACTAATTTTTTTCACTCTGTTCAAACTCGTATATCATGTAACACTTACTCCTTCAATGTTTGTTTGGTGATTAATTGTGTGTTGCCTTCCATTCACTCTTTTGTTAAGTGTTCTTTATCAAAAATGTCCGTCATCTCCTCTGCAGGACTATATTGAAGACTTTAGAGAGCACAGAACATATCTTTCTCATACTTTCTTGTTCCTGCTAGGTCTTGATACAGGTTTGATGACTGAATAGGAAAATTGTTTAATTCAAAGATGTCAACCTTCTAGCTTTCATACCCCACCTAGTAAATGAATACACACCCACATCACAATCACACCACACCATGTGTTAGCAACCTTTCGTTCATTGGGACGGCTGTAATGTCTGAGAGCAGAGATAGTAGCAAAAACTTCCATGTGTCAGTGTGTGTGTGCATGTGTGTGTGTTGGCATTTGGTAAATGATATCTCTGTTTATTTCTTCTGTACTTTCCTTCCCTAGCTCTTTCTACTGGCTAGGTCATCTACGTATTTATAAAGTTACCTGCAAAATATATTTAGCTCTATTAAAGAGAGGTTGTTATCATTTGTCATCATTTAAAAAAATTGCTAGGAGAGATTACTTGAAGCATTAAAGGAAAATGGATATTACTTTAAGTTCTAGATTATTACGAGGACTTAATAAATATTCTAACTGCTGATCCTTGTCTGTCTCATTTTGTTTTTCTTTTGGTCAAGATTTTTCAAGATTTTCCTAATTACAATTTTAGGGTTATTTCCATGAGCAATGACCAGGGTGATTTAGAAACAAGTGCGTAAGTCAGGTGCAGAACAATATGATTATCATTTTGTTATCTACTTAGTTCTGAAGCTAAATCCGGAAATATAATTGATGTGCATTTTGACAAAGCAGTTATTTCTTTCCCTCTCCTACACATCCAACTGCAGTAGGGTGTTAAAATACCTTCATTCATCCTAGTTAATTAAAATTCCAACCTCAACTCTATTTAATTTAGTTCAGAGTGGGGCTTTTTGTTGTTATTTCGTATGGAGAGGCTCTGAGTGAAGATCCAGATTTTGTTTTCATAAGGCATTGACAGCACACTTTGCTATAAATCTTATACCAGAGTGTCCTTAATTAGGTCTTTAAAATTTTTTTAAATAAAATATTTTAAAAACACAATCGGAAAATAATTGATACAATTAAGAAAACATTATACGACAGTGGTGTTTAATGGACACTTTCTTTTAAAACTATTATGCATATATATGGAAGTGTGTTCTTGACAGGATTTCCCCTCATTTCATTACATCAAATCTTAAGCATATGCATTAGAAGCTCCTGGGCTGTTACTGGGGACATTTTAAACTCAAATTGGGTTATATGCCCCGAGACAGTCTTCTGGTTTACATTCTAGATAATACAGACGACTAGTCTTTTCCAAGTCATGAGCATACGCATTGCTCACTTTTCTTGCCCAACTGGGTCATTAAGTGTTGACTGACCTAAGCAAGATGGTCTACCCAACTCCTACTAAATGACCAAGGATATCAAAGAATTTATAGAAAAGCAGGCATTAGAAATCATGGGATCTGTCACAATTCCATTTTAAATCCTTTTTGTAAAAATGACCAGGGGGGATCAGAACCAAAAAGGTCACAAAAGCAGAAATCCTTCCCAAGTCCTCATTCACATGGCCAAGCTATATCACACACGACCTCCCCAGCCCCTAACCATCCCTCCCTGCCCCCGCCAAATTCTGCAGGATGACCTACTTTCCTCATCTTCCTCATCGGTTCGACTCAGGGTGTCCTGTGAAGCCTGCTGGGACGGCTCACTGTCCTGCTCCCAGACAGTGCCGGTGCCCGTGTTGGAGCGGGACATGGTGGCCAGGCTCAGGCGGTAAGCGGAGGTGGAGGTGCCCACAGTGCTGATGGATGTCTTCCCTTGGTAGGCTAGTGGGATGGAGAGACCAAAGGAAATCTATGGTAAGGATCTTGAAAGAAAACAAGTGCAAGCTTCAAACTTCTCTCTGACAACGTGTATTTTTCTTAAGGAAAGGTCAGCAAAAGAGTGTGTCCCAGATAGATGATCTTCAGAACAAAATAGCAAATAGAAGTGAAAACGTTAAAAAAAAAAAATTGGCCACTAATGTACTTATAATTTAATAGTTTTATTGCAAGGAGCGTATCTCTAACAATGTAAAATGCTTGGATGTTGCTCCCTCTCTCTGTTTTCAATTTCATTTTCCAAGGCTGGCGAAATGCAAATTAATTTTGACCTGAATTGTAGCTTCCAACTTGGTCAATTTCACTGAGAAATATACTTTACCTGACAAAAGCATAAAGAAGTAATAAATTCATTGTCTGATAGGAACCTCACAATCAGAATCAGAATACATACTTCAAACTGAGTTCTTATTCCCCTTTTCTGGAAATTACAACTTATAAAATACCCCCTTGGTTCTATGTTAGATAATTTTATTATAAGGCAGAGTACTTGAATGGCACTGTATAGATTACACCAAGATTATACTTGTCAATTTCTTTGTCTTTACTTCATTGCAAACAACAATAAAAGTTTTAGACAAAAAAAAAGCCATCAGATAATAATATTCTACTTATGGGTAATGACTGCCCTCTAATGGCAGATAATGATTTATTTTTTTTCATCAGTAGCCTGCAGTTAGTGTTAATTATAAAAGTAAACAATGCACTCCCAAAGAAAATTTTTTGAACAATGTAAAGGAAGTACCTCCTAGCTTGCCAGTTTTGATTCAACCCTCTCTCCCTCCAATTTGTGTGAAGTCAAGGACTTTATAATCAGTCATACAGACCTGGTTTTAAGTCCCATCACTGGTGCCACTGTCTATGTGTGTAAGTTATTAATCCTCTATTGAGCCTCAATTTCCTCATTCTATAAGTAGACGTTCAGTTATGCATCTTGCAGGTATTAGTGTGGGTTAAATTAAATAACATCTATGAAATAATCTATCCTATAATAGATGTTCACTGAATTTGAGTCCCCTTTTCGAAAAGGAAATGAAGTAAGAATTTAAGTATTTTTTTACAATTAAATATTTGAGAAAAAGCTTAACCACTGACATGATTAAAAAATGTTTAGAAAAGGAGTAAATTAAACTCTTATGATACTCCTTTGATGTGTTTTGTTGTTGACAGCGATGAAATCTACCAGTTGTACTGAAGTGGCTAACTCACACTTGGTTCCAAAGAGAGCAGTGACCTGGACAGAAACATTGGTAGGTTGTAAGTTCTATTAGTCAAACAGATTCAAAATACCCCACGCATACTCACCTGACCCACTGTGAACTGCCTCTTTTAGAATTTTGAGTTCATTGTTGAACTCAGCAATGAGGGAGCTCTTACACAGAGGGCGTGGGATGAAACGCCGCTCCAGCTGGTCAGCAATATGTTGTCGGGCAGAAAGCTCTTCATGATTTTCTGCTGGTTGGGCCAGAAGCTGAAAGGAAGGCATAGATTCTCAGGTCCTCAGTTTTCCTGTCTGTAAAATGGGCTGATTATTGCATCATTTCATAGTTGGTTGTGAGGATTTGATAAAGTAGTGCTTATGAAGTTCTTAGAACAGTGCTTAGAAAGTGCTTACCCAATACACTGTTTTGAATCACTGCCCCAGGAAATTAGAGCATGGAAAGAATGAAAGTAGATGAATACTTAGGAATCCCAGGGAAAAACATGCTTTAACTATCCCATTTTTTTCAAGTTTATTTAAAATCCGATCTCAGTCATACCACTAAAGAAAGGAGACCATTCTTCAGATCATTCCATTGGGTCAATCTCTTTTTCTGGGTTGGGGGAAAAATGGGAAGAGGGCAAAGTTCCATAGACTTTAGTTAAGCTCTTACTGTGAGGGTTTTTTTTTTTTTTGTCTTTTTGTTTGTTTTTTAAATGGAGGTACTGGTGATTGAACCCAGGATCTTGTGCATGCTAAGCATGTGTTCTACCACTGAGCTATACCCACTCCCCTAAGTGAAAGTTCTTCTAACATGAAGTTTTATCCCCTGGGACACTTGTTTGGGCTGTCTTTTTCATCAAGCATGGTATTAGCTGGTCCTACTGACTAGCTGTAACACGTTCCCCCCAGCAATGCTGCTGTAATCCTGCCTTAATCTGGACAGCAGCACGTTCCCGGGACGTGTCACTCCCCGGAGGAGAAGCACACACCACACCTTGCACTGGATAAAAGGGCGCAGGAGCACGAAGATGGGGATTCGGGTCCGCACGATGAAGTCGAGGAAGTCCCACAGGGCCAGGCCTCCCACCTTCCGCAGGGCCATCTCCTTCACCTGGAGACTCAGCCAGTACCACTGGCTTCCGAGCTGCCTCTCAAAGCAGACGAGAATCACCTTGAGGGCTTCATACCAGGAAAAGAGACAGGTGAGCCCGTCCAACTGGTGCTTGGGAGGAACCCCGCCCACATCCTGCCGCCCGCATCCACTGCCCTTCAACGCATCAATTTTGACATTTCTAAACTCTCTCTCTGTTTCCATAAACTTTCATGTACTCTTCAGTGAGACTGTTCTGACATCAAGACAGACATTCGTGTGGTAACATGTTTTGATTCTGATTAAGACAGTACATAGATCTTTCTTAAGTGCCTTTAAATAGTATTTTGGAAAATACAGACCCAAGCATTTCGCAGAATTGAAAGGGGAAGGCGTTACACGATGTGTGGCTAATGTTTTGCTTTCTAAAACTTCTGTCATAGTGGCTTTATGGTTATACTAACATACCACCCATATCCTAAGCGAAAACACGGGCGTTTTAAAATATTTTTTTTTACTTTTAAACTTAGGCATAATATATTCTTATCAAAATATAAAATCAAACCATGCAGAAATGCATAAAGTTTAAAAAAAAGTCCTTCCCCTTCCCACACCCTTTCTGACTCCAACCTAAACTGCTCCCCAAGTAAGCAGTAAATGTGTGTGTGTGCGCATCCTTCCAGAAAAGAAGACTCCATCGTCCCTGCCTCCCCCGCCTCCATTTTGCACATCATGTCTACTACCAAACCCTGCTGGATTTCTTTTACAACATCTCTTTCCTCCCAGATTCAGCAGCCACGTCACAATCTGCATTTATGTATTTATTTTCAGGAAGCAAAATTTCCCAACAGTGTGTCAGGAACAAACCAGAATATTGTAAAGATGTGGAAGATTGTGGTGGGGGCTTCCTCTGCCCCCAACCCCACCAGCTCTGCCCACAGGGTCTCCCATGGGGCAGTCAGGGGAACCTGGAGTTTCTTCATCCTGCCTGAAGGCCCATCTCAGCATCTAGAAGACACACAGAAATCCAGCTCCCTAAAGCCCTGAGGAATCACGTACACGTTTACCATTAATTTAGGGCATCTCTAGGGGAAAACCATGCCATATCACACAGACAGAGATGTTGTAAGATTCTTCCTTCCCCATCTTCCTCCTCAAAATCTCACTTTTTCAGCAGTCGCTAGTCTCAATTCCTCTCCCTCAACGAAACAAACAAACAGATGAACAAAAAGCAACATTCCTCTATCCCTACCCTGACCCTGGTGACATTTCTACTGTTATGTGCCTGTTTGCCTTCTTTGGGTGTCTGCCTTTCTGCTTTCCACCTTCCTCTCCATCATAAGTAGAATAGCAAAGGGCTCATGAGCAGGGATTCTGGTGCTGGATGGTTAAGGTCTGAAATTGGGCTCTGCCACTTACTAACTGTGTGACCTTAGGCAAGTTACTCAACCTTTCTGGGCCTTGGCCTTGTCCCTTCTAAAATGAGAACATTTACTTCTTAGAGTTGTGAGGATTCCAAGTGATGATAGTGTAAAGTCCAGAAAACACTGCCTTCTGCACACTAAATGCTCAAAATGAATGTAGAAATAAATTTAAAATAGCCTGGCCAAGTAACCAAAGGATCCGCCTTCATTAGAAAGGCAGAGCGTGTAGAGAACTGAAGATAGTTACTCCCTAGTGTTTCCTCCAATCCCTGTCTTACATGCTAAGACCTCTTTCTCTGTCATCCTTTCTGTAGTCTCAAACCTCATGCAAGGCTCTGTGCTAGAGTCTAGATTTCATTTGAACCCTAGATTCTCTTGACTCTGGCAACCAAACCCCACGTGGGTAGGTCCTGTGCACAAGTGGCCTTGTTTCTTTTTTTCCATTTTTCATTCTCCTTGCAATCACATCATTTTCAGATGCATCCCTTATAATGCAGTCCAAACATCCCACTACACTCCAAACCCCAAGGACCTGTTTTTTTTTCCATTGTGTATACTCCCCACACCAAGGTCTGCTTTGGTGAATTGAACAACGTCCTACAAGATTTTTTCAACTTCCTCCTTTTGAGATTTTCTGCTATAGTGCTCCTGAGTGTCAGTGCTGTGGCGGGGGTGGTCTTTTCTCCCTGGCTGAGTTCTTTCTGGCCAAGGAGCAACTTCTACCATTACATGGGTCAGAACCCAGTTACAGCAGGGATAGGGTAATGGGAAAGGAGAGGTGGAGGGTGATGCTTCATCCTTGCTCAAGAGGCTTCTTTAAATACTCTCTGAATTGAGGTCTTAAAAAATACTTTTTGAGTCTAGGTGGAACATAACTAAATAAATACATATGCATATACATATACACACACATATATAAGGGTGTATATATACATATATGTGTGTATATATATATACATACATTTATACATATATGGAGAGAGAGAGAGAGAAAGGAAGAAGTACCCACCCAAGTATGCTGCTTGGCTGGTGGACTCTGCCAGCCCTTCCCTGCGCAAGTCCTTCCCTGCATCCCCGGGGGTGGAGCAGTGGGCGGGGGAGCTCTCCAACATGAAGTTCTTGCTCCTGGACGTGCTGATGATCCGTGGAGGCAAGAGCACGTTAATGACCGTCTGTAGCAGCAGCTGCACCTCAGGCTGCTCCAGCCACGGGCTATCTGAGGGGCAGAGTTTGGAAGAGGGAAGTGGAAAGAAAAACAAGTCACAAGGTAGACTTTCCACATTAGACACAGAAGAATTCAGCTCTCTTTCCAATTCCAAACTAGAAAACCCTAGAAATTCGAGTGTCTTCCCCACCAAGTAGAGCTCCTCCTATGAGTGGAAGCCGTGCTTCTGGTCCTGGGTGTCTCCTCCGTGGTCAGCACCCAAGGGTCCCTGTTCTCAGCCAAATCTCTGCTTTATCACTTCAATGTCTGCTCAAATACTCATAATGCACTCTCTTTACATTTGAGATAAACTTGTCCTAAAAGAAAAATCCCCCAAGAAGGAAGAGGAATGAAAACATACTGGAATTTAATAACAGTGGAAGGATTTCTGCTAAACCTAGTGTCAGCAGGTTATAAAGTCCATTCACCTGTCAATGCACATCATACTGTACTTCAGTTAATACCATTTTCTTACTCAAAACAATGCTCTCCTGGTTTTTAATGTACTGAAATGATTTTAAATAGGATGTATCTTCTAAGAAGCAGAGCAGAGGAAAGCTTTGCCCCAGGGTAGCTAAAATGAAAAGAAAGAAAAGCTCTATTTTCTAAGATAACCCTGTTTATATCATTCAGATCGATTTCAGTGATGACCTTCATGGGAAAAGGAGAAATAATAGCTTGACATTTAAGAAAACACAACAACAATGATAAGTTTCCTTTAGTTAAATTAATCAGACCTTTGCTTCCAGATCCTACTGTGAGCACAAATGGGATGAGCAGATTTAAAAGCATCCCTTCCCTTCGCTCTTGATTGGTGAATGGGGAGATCACATGGCTTAAGGGGAAATCTTCTTTTAAAGCCTGTGCAGCAATAATAGAAGAAAAGATTAATTGACCCCCTCACCCATTCAGTCTGTTTTTTTTCACACAGCATGGCAGGACTCCCTGCTGGCTGCACCTGCAAACTAGGAGTTCAGTTGTCATCTGTGCAGCATACAAGATTCACCCCAAACTGATACTTTACCATTTGCTTGACATAACTGAGTGCTATATACCTAAAAAAACCAGTAACATCTTGAATATAAAATAAAAATTTATTATACTTATAGTCTGGTATTAAAATAGCCACATTTCCCCATTTTCAGTTTCTCCATATGTCCCCTAATAAATATTTTAGCAACCAAAAAAAAGGAAGAACTTGCCACCTGCTCCATTTGAAAATTATTTAAAAGTCCTCTGACCCCTGAATAAGGCCTTCTCCAAGCCAGAAAGCAATAGACAATAAAGAAAGAGATAAATGATCTTTGTACACGTGTTATTAAAATGTTATCACTTTAGGGATTTCATTGTTTCCCTTTTGTGTGGTACCCACAGTGCTTGCTTAATCTCTTTTCCATCATCTTACCCGTTCTCCGGATGATGGACCATCGAGCTTGGTTGTCAGAGAATAGATGGGTCAGTTTATATACCTCCCATTGGTCACAGAGCTTCCTGGTGATTTACAACTCTTAAAATTAGTGACACACAGAAATAGGCAGGGAAATTGGCATTCTGCACATTTTTGCCCTGGGAATGATTATTTTAATTTTAAGACATAAAAGAAGGGGGAGAGTAATAATTTTAAAAGCACCTGCAATATTCAACCCACAATCATTAAAGAAAATTAAGATATTCAAAGTCTGGTGATACCATTTGAAAGAATTTTTTATGGCAATTCTTTCTGCAAATAATTTAAAGCCAGACTTTGAATATTACTGCCTCTTTTAATTAACAATTGTGGGCTGATTATCTGTGAACCACTATTTCCCTAACAAATCTGCATACATTTTAAATGACTGAAGTGGTTGCTGAGGTCGTGGTAGGACTAAATGACTCTGCTATTTTTGAGATCTCAAGAAGAATTACAGAAGCACAACTTTAGGACCAAGCTCAGTGCTGAAGCTCCAAACCGGTAAAAGTTTGGAGATGTTTACACTTTCGTTTCACAGATTTTGCCCAGCCATTGCAGGAAAAAAGAAAAGAGGACACCATGATCTGGTGCCTCAACCAGCAACTTAAAAGAGCGTGACAAACAGGTAAGGCAGTCACACCTGTATCTGCAACGCTACAAGCCGGACAACAGCTGTGCTGAAGGGCAGAGGTGGTGAGAGATAAGGGCTGAGATGAAGAAGGGGTAATCCATCAGCAACACTGGAGGGTCCTACCACTCCCATCACCTGAAATACAAACAGAGCACATGACCAGCCTTGACTATTGCAATTTCATGCAACTGTAGTAAGGGAGTCTCATTCAGTAATAATAATAATAATAATAATAATAATAATAATAATAATAATGATAATGATGATAATAATAATAATAATAATAATAATAATTTGAAGGTTGGACATGTTACTTTTAATCTGTCCGTGCTGCCTCCTCTTGAAGGCATGTAATGTCTGGAGTCAGATCAAATGTTTACACTGGATTCAGGCAAGGTTTTGTATAATGTTGTTTATAACTAACTATGTAAATAATGAGAGATGAACCAAAAATTGCTCTAATCAGGAGACTGGATATACTTACTTGTGGACTCAAAGGAATGCAGTCAACATTCTTTGATGGAGCAAATACTGAGGACAATGATGATGGCAAGAGCTCTATTTGCACTAGGCATTCCAACTACAGGTTAATTGCCCAACTAGTTAAGCAGCAGATTCTAGTCAATGAAATGCTCTACCATGGTTTCCACATTGTACAAAACCTTGTCGGGACCAGACTCTAGAGATTACATAAATGATTAAAAATTTTTTTCTTTCTTCCCATAAATCCTAGACTGGCCAACTCAGTGTCATTTTGCACTAAAAAGAAAAAAAATTCTCTTTGTATTTTAAACTCCCCCACCCGAGACTACCTCAACATCTAGCCAATTGTGCAGTCTCCACCACCCCACTCTCCAACTGGCAGCCCTCAACTCTCAGCGCAACTTGAAGAGGTCGACTGTCAAAGTAGTGTGTGGGAAGCAGCGCACCAAAATCCCATCTGTGCAGGGGTGGGCCCCTGGATCTCCCCACACACCACCTTGAAATGTGCCTCACTATTTTCAGTGTCACCTGAGCCGTCTGTTTTCATGGATAGGTAGGTATGTAGGTTGACCTGTAAATCTTCAATTCAGAGAAGTCAATAGCAGAGTTACATTTTGCAAAGTTTCAGAAGATTGCCACTTGGCTACTCACCAGATTGACACAGACATTGATCAGTGACCTAAGGTGAGGCAGGAAGGATATGATTGGCTGCCTCTGAAGTGTCAAACAAACCCCTTCAATCAAATTGCTGGCAGGCTCCCACTCAACCTGTCGCCTGGAATACAATATAGGAGCCATTAGCGGCATGGCTCCCTTCTGGAGACTGTCTGAAAAGAGTGAATGAGACGGTGATTCTGACGCCATCTAAGACAGGATGGATGTCTGAGACAACAAAGTGCTTCACAGAGGATGAAGTTTACCCATGTTTTTCCAAAAGTACAGAGCACAGTGGGGAGGGAAGAGGATACTGAAAACGTAGCATAGGCACTCCTGCCCCACTCGACTAATGAGACAAAATCTATTGAAGAAAAAACAGAGATGATGAATGGGTGGCATTTCACGTTTCCTGGGTTTAGCTCTGAGAGGGAGCATGAGGCTACGATTGTAGGGACGCCATCGTCGGGGTCACCACCCCCAACAGAACTAATCTGACTACAGGCTGTGTTTCTGAAAACTTCCAATCAGACTACAGTTGATCTCATCAGCGTTTACACCAGATTACAACTAATTAGATTTATATGGCTTAACTCCTGCCAAAAAGATGACATTAGAGGAAAATAGTCTATCTATTTATTTTTGAAAATAGTCTATTTAAAAAGTGTTCTTTCTTGTCTTCCTAAACAGTGATATTTGGGGGCTGCTTTCTATGGTAGTATAAATGGTGGTATACCTAACCAACTAGATGAACACAGGATTTTCTGTAATAAAAGACAGTTTAGTAAGTATTTGTCTCAGTAGCAAAAGGGTCATTTCTGTGGCCCCCTAAATAAACAGGTTGGGCTTTACTGAGATCAACACTATTTCCAATTATCCTGGAAATAATTTCTAAGCTTATATTGCCTACCTAATTGAAATTTCTATAGTGACAAAGTGGAAATGCTCATAAATGAGGACATAGTGACATCCCTGATGCCCAAGGAACTCACAGGACAGGTTCAGTCCACATTTCTCTTGTGGAATTGAGATCACCTGAAGAAATTAAATCCATGGCTACTCTAAATTCACAGCCTGCATCCCAAGAAAACTGCCTACCACTGACCGAGTCGATGCATTAATCCAGAAGTCTACTTTTAGGAAGCATGCTGTTCTTTAAAAATGGTCTTAGTTATATGACAAATGAGTCAGCCTATGAAGATGCTTAACATTTTTAGATACAGAGTTATTCTGACACATCCCTGTAAGATTTATAAGCTCGTGGCCGTTTGCCAATAGGCACGAGTGTTTCATTGGGACCACTAAAGAAAACAGGAGTCCTTTAAGGACAGACATTTCCGTGCCCATGAAATAAATAACCTTGAAATAGTGTATAGGCATTTGTCCTCACAATACAAAAGAATATAGCATCAAACCATCAATTATTAGAATGAAATCTTTCAATTTCTTTTTTTCCCCCTGATGACTACATAAATAAAGACAGGCACAGGATGAAACTTGCAAAAGTTCTAACAAATCGAACAGTAAGCTCTACAAACTCTTGGGCAAGAGCTGCACTGACTTTAGGTTTTGTTTAAAAGGACAGGAAGTGCCCATCCTAACCCAAACTTGAAATTTCCAAGTATGTGGGTTTATTAGCATTTATCAATTGAACTATCTGCTCATGGTGCCTATAGGTTTCCAAACTGGGCTCAGATCTCCAGGTAGACTGGTTCAGAGGCATCTGCTCATAGAAAGGTTACTAATGGGTATTTCAGGCCACTGAGTGGAGATCAAGTGGTAATAACATTCATTTAGTACCACTTGAATTAAGTAAAAAGGTGAAAATGAGTCATCTGTTACCAACCCTGAGATCCCTTTAGCTGCTGCTTGGCTGATTATTGTAAAGCCTGGCATTTCTCTAAACTGGTACCTAAAATACTATGTTAAATACCTGTTTTCTGAACATGAAATTAATTTTTCTTCTCTCCTTATTTGTGTAATGTAGAAGGTATGTCCTGGAATTGAAGGGTTCACACTGAATTTCTGATGTGTGTCAGATAAGAAATATGATAGCTAAGAAATGAACAGATTTTTCAAGATACATATTTTTAAAGAATATGTTATTTCCTCAAAATATAGACGTTGCTGCTTATGCATTTGTACACCTGACTATCTATGCATACGTAACAGAACACTCGCAAGTCATTCATTCAACTCCAGATTGATCCACCACCTTAAAAAATGACAAACTTTAAGTCTGAGGCTTGTAATATCAACAGCTGACTAGGAGGCCTCCTCACCTCAAAGTAGGCATCTTATGAATTTTGTTGAACATTCTATCCAATCTCTTTAGAATGAGGATGAGGGCCGGCCTCACTGCCTCGGCCGTCCAGTCAGTAATGGGCAGCATCTCCATGATGTAGCGCCGCAGCCCCCGGCTCTCCATGGTCTGGGTGTCGTATGGTGCCAGCTTCAGAAGGGAGTGGGCTATTTCCGCCAACCTAAAACATTTTGTTTGGTTTTTAAAGAATAAGCTTAGAATGCCACCATGGGAATTGTCCCACACAGCATCATGCTAATCACTCTCCTTCCAACACACCAACTCCCTGAACTACAAACATTCTGACACATTATCTCGTAATTTTAAAATAAATGTTTAAAAAAAAAGCAAATTAGGACAAACTAAGTCCCACATATTTCAATTGACTGATATCTCTCTTAAGTCTTTTCAATTGGTAGTTTCCCCCCTCCCCCTCTTCTGTTTTTGGTTTTTTTCTTTTTTGACATCTAGTAATTTATTTGTTGGAGAAATTTAGCTGTTTAATGTGTAGCATTTCCCACATTCTGGATTTTGCTGATTGGATCTCCATGGTGTCTTTTATTTATTTATCCCATTGCCCCTATATCTAATTCAGCTGGTAGTCATGTTCAGGGGTTCGATCAGATTAGATCTGATTTTCTGGCACGTGCACTTCATAGGTGATACGTACTTTCATCAGCAGGCACGTGATTCCTAGTTGTCACTCTTTTTAGGATGTCAGCCACCACTAGCGATCACTGTGGCAGATTCATTAACTCACTGGGAAGTAGTACAGTGGAAATAGTGTATCACTCCTTTTTTCATGTTTTAACTATTAACTATAGCATTTCAATAAGGAGAAATTGTCTTTTGATTATTCCAAAAGAGACAGGATAAATGCTTGAAAAGATCTACAGTTTAAGAGCTGCCCGGGTGATTCTGACAGGCACTCTGGTTTAGGAATCAGAGCCAAGCCCCCTCCTCTCTAATACTTAGATTGCTCCACAATTGCTCCATCTGACCAGCGCCACGGATGGAGAATTTGCCACTGCACAAGGTGGCTCATTCCATCTATGGGGGTCCACACTGTGAAAAGCTCTCCTTGTATTAGGTCCCCCAATTCCCAGAGCTTTTTCCTACGAGGCTTCATCTGGAAGCCTGAATTCAATCCGTCTTCTCCCTGGCAACCCTTCATTATCAAGTAACACTTGTTGTCTCCTCATCCCCCCTTATCCTCCCTCCAGACCCAACGTTTACATTGTCCTTCTGGAAATTGTGTGTGTGTGTGTGTGTGTGTGTGTGTTTGTGTGTTTCACAGTCTTTTGTTTATCTTTCTCACAAATGTGCCCTGCGGAAAATAATTCTTCACTTCTCAGGCTGCTTGACAGATAAATCTACACACACGTATTTCTTTTCCCTTATTAGTTTGTAGGTAACCTTAAGAAGTGCTGGAGAAATGACTGATCCATTTTAAGCTTGAAAACAATACTTAAGAGTCATTTTATGGATTACTAACCGAATTTCTCTCATCCCTGGTCATGTTACAAAATGAATTTGCTTTGGGCATAACACAAAAAGTTCCTTTAATACAGTCTTTGCTGTACTAGCACATGAATAATCGTGAGAACACAGGGATTTTTCCCACTGAGAAGGAGAGGGAGAAAGAGAAAATAAATTTGCAGATCTTGCTACCCTGCTATACTGCTGCTTTGGCAGCTCTGGGTGGGGCAAATGCGCCAATAAATTCCCTTAGGGTAGAAACTATCTAATCAAGAATATCTTCCTTGAGAGCCTTGCAGTCAACCATATATTCTGCAAATGCAGGGGTACAGATTTCTTCAACACTCCTTCTTGGCTCTTTGACTCAAATCAAGTAGTCCTTGCAAATATCTCTTCTATCTTTTATATCATCCCATTTCTTTTTTTTTTAAATCAGTCCTCTCTCCTTGATTAATATTGTCCATTCCTATGGCTTTAAATACCACCCATATGCCCACAGTTCTAAAATTTATATATTTAGCTCTGACTTCTACATATATCCAAATGTGTACTTAATTTATAAAAGAAAACCTTAATTATACCCTTTGCTTGGCATAGGATAAAAGTATTTGGAACTGTCCGCACTCAGCAAACTGTTTGGAAAGAGAACATGGCAGGTCTATTTTTACTGAAAGCTTACTGAAAGAAATTGCATGAATAGAGGGCATTTAGTCTTAATATCCCTGGCAGTAAAAATTTTGCCTACCTCCCTATAGCTCCAGGCCATGAAATAACTGTTCTATAGAAAGACATTATCCTGTCTCTGTAGAGGCTCCTCTTGCTGAATTGCATTATGACATCTGGAACTCTCAGCAGTGACAGGCATCAGCCATGTGACACTGGCCCTTGATCTCTATGGGGACGTTGTTGAGGGTGCTGTTTGTCACACTCCTCTTTCCTTTTAACCAATGCCAACTAGGAGATATTTCTTTTTCTTCATATTTAAAAACGGTAATGGTTTACCAAAAAACTAGTTGTTTTTATCTTCTCAATACTATGATTTTGTTATTGGTCCTTTCCCCCTCATTGCTTTGATAACTCAAAAGCTCAAAGTAAAATTTATAGTTCATGAATAGCATCCATAATGATTAAATCATATAGATTTCCTGTGCTCTCACCATAAACAAAATTACTTTCCTGCTAAGTTTTTTCACATTGTTCCGACTCTTAATTTGTAAATTGCATTCCTTTGTATCATACAATTTTCTAAGTTGCCTCAAGTAACTTGGTGAAATAATAAATACATATATACACATGTGATATATAGTACTTGCAACACGGCATTATATTCTTCAAAAATTTTTTTTTACTGAGTGGTAGCTGATTTACAATGTTAGTTTCAGGTGTACAGCAAAGTGATGCAGTTATGCATACACATACATACATATTTTCAGATTCTTTTCCATTCTATGTTATTAGAAGAAATTGAATATAGTTCCCTGTACTATACATTAGGTCCTCTTTGTTTATCCATTTTATGTATAGTAATGTGTGTCTGTTAATCCCCAACCCCTAATGTATCCTTCCTGGCCCTTTGTTTGTTACCATAGTTTGTCTTCTATATCTGTAAGTTATAGTTATATTCTCATGTATGCTTCTTGTATTGGGCTGTGATCATGTTGAGGACCAGAGTTTTATTTTACATCCCCAGTGTCATCATAGTATTTGGGTATTTCTCATTAGCATTAGTATCTATTGAGCCCTAGACCAGTGCCAGGCACAGAGCTCAATCATTTAAACTACATGGGCTCATTTAACCTTTACAGGGTTTGACCTCTAGAGGGACCTCCAGGCCCCTCTGACATGCTCTCCCCTCCCTCCAAATGCCTTAAGGATGGTAGATACAGATGGACAAGTTGTAGGACAGTTACTAACTCATGATCATGATCTCTCTCTCTCTCTCTGACTCTCCTTCTCTCTCTCTCTCTCTCCCGTCTTTTAGAAATCTCTCCCCCTTTCTCCTACAAAATGTCTGTTGGTAGTAGTGATTCTCTGACTCTGGGTGACTTAGGTCAGCTAGCCATGATCATCAGTAGGAAAGGAGAGGAGATGGCCTGAACAGAGCACTGAGTTACTATGGCAACAGGAGCGTAATACTCCAAACTTTCCTCCCCTTCCCCAGTGTAGGAACTGAGATTCTCAGGGTAAAATAAGCTCTCCCCCATCACAGCACGGCAGGGAGTGTGAACACATGCGAAGCCCTGGAGCTCTGGCTGTGTGCCAACAACTCAGAGGATGTGAAATCAGTCTGGAAGAGAAAAAGCCTGTGTTTTCCACACATTTTCCCTCACTTAGTATTTTCTAAATTTTTCAAGAGATAATTTTAAGGGGAAAAAAAAGAGAGTTAATAATTAGGAAACTGGTGTCTTTAAATTGCAATGTAATTTCTGAAAGGCTAGAACCTAAGCCTACCTTTAGCTTTACAGTTACACTAAACTCTCCAAGTGAACATTTTGATGCCCATGGAATTTTCCTTTCAAGGAATTTTTATGACCTTTTACAGACGGTTACAAAGCTAAATAGAAGATCCTCTGGAATCATGTTCCTTTTAGGAATTTGAAAATACAGACACAGACTTTATAGTTGGAATAACAAGTGAAATAACGTCTCCATAGGAAGAAGGAAATATGAGTGCACAGAGATGTAATTCTGGGGCCTCTCCCTGACACACCAGGAGTAAAAAATTTTAAATTCATGACTGGCCTCATCTAGGGCAGAATTTTTACCAGGACACTGTTTTGAGACATTGGAAGGCTGTTACATCCAGTGCATGTAAAAGGGAGCTCAGACTCGAGCAAAATGTGGCTTCAAGTTAAAACTGTTCCTTTCCTGCCAACTTAATCAGAGCATCCTTGGGTCATGTAGAGGCAGGGGAAGCCCTCGAGCAGAAAGTAGCAGTGCATTTTTAGTGTAAAATAAGAGAAAGGAGACATTGGATTCTTTCGAAAAATTAGAATCTGGGCAGGAAATAGAACTTGGAAGAAGGCTACTTCCCCAAGAATTAGGTGATGGAATTTCCCTTTCACTCTCTTTTATTGAGGAGCAAATACATTGCCTGGGCTTTTCCGTCTTTAAGAGCATTGCCCCCTGTCCATGCTGAGATCCTTTTTCACAGACTTAACATACTTTCCCAGAGGGCCCTGCATCCAAGCCACAGGAAACCAGTCAATTTCAACCAACTCCATGTTCTTATTCTGCCCCATCTCTACTCCACTGCCCCCCACCACACCCCAACCTCCTTCAGACATCCAGCCCAAGCTGTGTCCACACTTAGAGGCAGAGAAAATGAGGGCAGTACCTCATGTGGGACTTCACATCCAGCAACTCCAGGGCAGTGACCCGTGGCTCCCCGGCCAAGTTTTGCAAGATCTTCAGCCTGGGCCCGCAGTGCTTGTAGAACTCCGTGCAGATGTTCAGCAGCGACTCCCGGGGTCTTCGGAACTCCTCCCGAGCAATCCTTTCATCCAGTTCCTCTCTGGGAAGGCCCTGCCCTTCCTCCAGTAAGTGCAGGTTTTCTCTGGGGATTTACAGAAGGTTAACTGGGGGTCTGGAAAGGTGCGTGGGGGGGCAACTGTGAGAGGAGAGTACCACACGGCAGAGAAATATGATTCCTTATATTATATATAAGTTAGCAAATCAGCACTGGGTGGGGCCTAGGAGAACCTCATTAGAAAGCTGAAGAAAGTGCATCACCCTAGAAGAGATGGTCACCCCAAATGGTAGTGGCTTTACATTAGCCATTTCTTGAGGATGTACCCCAAAGTAGAACGACATGTGGGGATGAAATGCAATCTAATGGAACCATAACCCAGCTCACAAGGCAAATCATCACAAGATAGCAGAATTAGTATGAAATTAGGGCTGTCTTTCAGTACCTGATAAAGTGCAGTTTGGCGCCCTGTTCCTGGTACCTGGGAGTCAGAAAAAAGTCTGCATGACTATCAGAGCGAGAACAGGGGCCCTGTGGTGGGGTCTCTTAAAGATTTTTCCTAGCAAAAGCCTTTGAAGCTACACATTTTGATAAGCTCACCAATCCACACATGCTAATCCTGAAATACAAAATCTTACTCTTTCATTTGGCAACCACATACGCTGAAATTATAGCTGCCATGAACGCTGTTCCATTGCCACTTAATTTGTAGAAAGAAAGGCATTGTAAAAACATCCACAAACCCATGGGATGTGGTCAAATGAGGGAAATTTTTGAAAACTTCAAAGGCAAAGTGAATCTAAGTTATAGTTTTTACATCATGTCCTACATTTTGGGTGATCAGAGGAAGAACTATGGCTGACTTCCTTTTAGTTCTAGAGACTGGCTGCTTTATGACTGATTTGATAACAGGACTTTAGAAGCCCACTTTCTCTCTGCATCTTTCATCTCGTAGTTGAACCTGGCCCCATGTGCTTAGAGAAGACCCTAAATATCACTTACATTCATTATTTAAGACCCACATAGTCATTTTTCCTTAACGTGAGAAATTGAGGCCTGAGTTAACACTATCGTACCAGATAATTTATAGTCAGGAATTTATTTTATTATATAGATATGTGATAAGCAGGGAATTTACTTTACACAATTAACAATACACACTTAAAAGTATGCTTCAGAGAGAGTAGAAAATTACTTAGTTTTTTCTTATCATCTCCCTACTAACTACTCCATACCAGGAAAGGAGAACTTTCTCTCAAGCTGATCTTGGGTTTGCCCTAAATCTTCCTTGGAGGAAGAAGCTAATTAAACTTTTTGTTTGTTTTTGTCTTAGACTGTTTAGGAGTTAACCCAGGCAGAAGAAAGCAGGTGAAGTATTAACTAGTATAGCTGGTGTCTGAGTTACACCAAAACAGGGAAGGCGATGAAGTCAATGACCGTGAAAGCATCATTTAAGGACTTAAGTCAAAATGTGGATGAAATGTCTGCAAAAAATCTGTCCAGATGAAAGAAAGCTGACTTGGCACAGCTGCCCTGGAATGAGAAACCACCTCCTGATTATTACTGTTTCATTTGGCTTTTTCTTGGAGGCCAGTGAAACAACACTGGAATGGTTCAAAGACCACCCAGGAGGCAGAGAACATCTTGCATGTTTGTGCAAACAAACAGACACAAATGCCAGTTTTTGAAGGTGGCTTAGTTCTCTTCATTTATGAAGGTGAGAATTTCAAAGAAGCCTCAGTATTTTCCTGTCACTCTAAACTCTCCCCTTCTTTTCTTTTCCTTGGAGATTTTCACACTCAGTGTTGACTATTTTCAGGATTCGTTTCATTCCCAACAGCTGAGATTCAGGCTGCATGAAACTGAGAGACCACGGAAGAACAAGGCCAGTGAATTACCTGGTGTTCACCCCAGACGACATGGTGTGGTTGGCTGCGGTGGCCCCTTTATGGCCTTGGTCACACCTGCTCATCTGTGGTGCTGTCATGGGCCTGTGACAATGACAGTAACAAAACAACAACACAAGTGGAAACACTGATGAAATCCTCAAGCTACTGCAGCTCACACAAGTTTTAAGTTAGTCTTAGAGTCTTATAAAGATAGACTTTGGGTTTTTCTGTCACACTTTTCTGCTGTCTCTGTTCTGGGAAGCACTTTTAAGGGAACACTGATTCGTAAGGGTTTATAAGCTCAGCATGATTTAAGTCCTCCCATTTCTTGGTTTATTCATAGAAATAAACTATGACTCTTCAAACCAGACATTTATGAAATCAGACTTCTAAGTCTGTAGTAATTGAGAGTTAAGAGTTCATTTTTCAAATTCTACAGTTACCAGGAAGTTAGCCACTCCAGACAGTAAGAGAAAGATAGGGGTGTGTACCATTCAGGTAACCTTCTCCATAACCAGCCACTCTGTTTTTCTGAGAAACTATCAAAGAGTAAAAGAATTTTTCTAGACAAAACTATACCTAAAACTGCCCAGGGAAGGTAGTAAATTAGTATCTATTATAAGTCAGTAATTGACACACTAAGAAATAGATTTGAACCATCTCATTTTATATCTGCAGGGTTCACTTTAAATATTAGGCAAACTTAGCCTCTGCATCAGCGTCTGCAACATGGTACGGATGATAAAGCTTTTCAAAGCCATTGCTTGTGTGAGCTCTTTAAGGCTTGCTTTTGTTGTGCTCATCTTCTGGATGCTGGTTGTGGCTGGAAAGGGAGAAAGGCTTTAAAAATCACACCATGTTAGCTATCTTGATTGTGGTAGTGGCTTCATGGGTACATACTTCTGTCAAAACTCATCAAATTGTACATCTGAAATATGTGTAGTTCACTGTACAGGAACCATTCCACAATTAAGGTGTTGAAAAAGTATCAATTAAAAAAAAAATCACACCAGACCTTCCCTTCCTGTGCCTTCGTGGTGGTAGGCGGCATTTAAAGATGGCCCTGAGAACTTCCCACCCTGGCATTGCTCCCGTGATTAAGCTACATTATATTGGCAGAAAGGAGATGATCCGGGCAGACCTCATCTCATTTCCAACCCTTAAAAAGCACAGAGCTGACTCTCACTAGGGGCAGACAGATGTGAAGTCTGAGAGGGACTCAGGGCACCACTGCTGGTAGATCTGGAGCCGTGTGAGAAGGGAAACAGGTGTCTTCTGGCAGCAGAGTGGCCCCTGGCTGACTGCCAGGAAGGAAAGGGAACCTCAGACCTGAATCTGACTGGTGTTGGATTCTGCCCCAAACCTGAATGATCTCGGAAGTGGATTTTTCCCCAGGAACTTCAGATAAGAGCCCAGACTGAATGACATCTTGATTTTGACCTTGTGAGACCCTGTCAGAGGAACCAGCTGAGCTTGCTCGATTTCTGGCCTACAGACCTCTGAGATAATAAATGTGTTCTGTTTTGAGTCTCTCAGTTTATGGGAATGTGTTATGCAACAATAGAAACTCATACTGAGACACTTGAAATATAATTATTTATTTATAAGTAGGTTTTTTTTTTTTCCGTGAGCTACATAAATTAGGGCTGTGAAAGTGAAGTGGTATTCTCTTCTTTTTGTAAAAACAACGAAGCCAATTTTGTTGTGAATAATTATAACCAAATAATGAGACTAGTCTTCCCCTCCATCAAAAGAGTATTAAATAGGCTGGAATATTTAAGGCTACAGAATTTTAAATGCCAGAGCTCCCTCCATAACTCTTTGTGGAATTTTGGGTAAGTCAATTTTGGATAAGCTAATTGACTTACTGTACAAGGGAGTAGAAAGCATCAATATTGTGTCTATAAATAGAAATATCAAGTGACATTTAGGAGAATGGTCTGCTCTTCTCTCCTCTGGTCACAGGAAGGCACTAGTGATGTAACCAGGTGGATGAGAAGAAAGAGTGAAAGTCACGTGTTTCTCTTTAGGATCTTCTCCTACCTCGGACTCTCAGGAAATCATCGTCAATGTACTGGGGACTGTTTCCCATTGGATGAGGCAATTCATCATGGCTCCCTGTCCCACTGCTTCCCATTTCTTCAGTTTAGATGCACTCGGGCACTTCAATAGATAGTTGACCCAAGGCTTTGGGGCTGTATTCTACTTGCCGAGGTTGGCAATGTAGCTCAAGATTAGAAACTAAACATACATTGAATTTAATGAGCGACAGTCTCACTCCCTGTCTAACTGCTGCTGCATGCTGAAACAGTCCTCCCTGAACCAACGGATTTCACCTAGCCCCCTCACCGGCAGAGCAAGATGGGGCTGAGGAAGTGGGCACCTTTGGTGGGAGTAAATCATGGAATTGTAGGCTAAGGATATGGCCAAACAGGATGGACACCAGGGCAGAAAGAAGGCTTCCCCATGTCCACCCCTGTGGAGGAATGTCACCTTCCAGCTAATTTTAGATGAGAACGGAGAAGGAAAGGCAACCATTTACATAGTTTCCTGCATCTACTGTCCCGACTCCTCTCACTCCATCTTTTGTACATGCCTCCTGTACATGCCTTCCCTGGCAGTTTAATTCCCCCACTTCTCCACCCAAGAATCTTGTGACAGGACTAACTAAATTCCTGGAACTTTGTTCAGGGCTGAACCCTGGTGTCAACTGACCTTTCCATTCCCAAATCCCTCAGCCCTCTGTCTCAGCACTCCTGAGCCTGGTCCCAAGGAAAATCTGTTAATTACAGCATTAGAACAAAATTCTGTAGTTTATCTTTGTTACATAGCTTCTGAAATGAAAGTAAGAAACCCCAACTCCTTACAGACAGTAAAATAACAAAAGAATGCTGAGTTGGAATGGCAGACATTTCATGTCTCATAAAAGAGCTTATTTTATTAAAATCTGGATCACATTTTCATATTCACTAAATTGGCCTTTTTACAAAAGATTTGCTCACTGCTGGCACAGAAGCTGCCACAGAAGCTCAGCAAATTACATGCAAATGTGTGATTAGTAATCATGGTAGAAAAATAATAATAGTTACTATTATTATTATTATTACTCAGAGTACTTAGCACTATTTATGTAACTAACATAGGGAATGTTTGTAGTTTTAAGCTATAAAGGGCTGAGTTTGGGTAAGTTATCCGTAAATAAAAACTGGGTTTTAGAAATTTTTTTTGCCACTCCATTTTTTTCTGCTTTTTGGTGGGTACATACAGTTTCTGGCTGTGGATATTTCTGCCAGTGGGATTACCTGGTGAGGACCTCCACACTGTATAAAAGAGCCTGCAGGGACGTCGCAAGGGCAGCCGTGGCCGCGATCTCCTCCCGGGCAGCAGGTACCGTCTCCACTTGTGATGTCTGCCTCTTTAGCTTTTGGAGGTAACATGGCACTAAAGCTTCCAAGACCATCAGCATCTGAAGACTTTAATCAACAGAAAGAAAACCAAGGTGACATTTTACATCCTACTTTTGTGGATCATATCACATTTAGGGGTACAACAGAGACTTGGTGTTACAAATATTGAATCTTGTAAGAGTTGAACTTATTCCTGTAAAAGCTATCAGGGAACAACTGTTTAAGAGCCTCCAACTCCACCCGGGAATTAAGAACGCCTCTGGCTTACAGCAGAATAGGGTATTAGGGAAGACTCTTCAAAAATTTCAATTTAACAGTATTGACTTTGGCTTTTAACTCACAACGACAGGGGAATTTCGTTGTGAATTCTAATTTCTTTTGATTCCAATGTGTTTGATTTTCACTTGAAAGAGTCTTTTGTGTCTCATTGGGAATTTGATAATGGGAGGACTTTTTAGTCAAATTTGGGGGTTCTGTGTCATTAGCATTTTAATATTAGAGGATCTTTATGCATTTTATTATTGCATCATCTTAGTATTACCCCTTAATCTCAGTGCAGAATCTCTGATACACCCTATTAACGTGGCACTGGACACACTTGGAAGGGAAAATAGGATAGGGACTATTTTGTATGTGTGTGTGTTTTATTTTATTTTTTTATTTTAACATTTTTTATTGAGTAGTAGTCATTTTACAATGTTGTGTCAAATTCCAATGTAGAGCATAATTTTTCAGTTATACATGAACATACATATATTCATTGTCACATTTTTTTTCTCTGTGAGCTACCACAAGATCTTGTATATATTTCCCTGTGCTACACAGTATTGTTTATCTATTCTACATTTTAAAATCCCAATCTGTCCCTTCCCACCCCCTGCCTAGGGACTATTTTTATATTCAGGAATTGAGTGGACATGGAGTTAATGCAGAGTTTCAATCCATTTTTGAGTCTTTTATGAGCTGTGATATTGTAGGAGGAGCCTAGGGAAAGCGGGACGAGGAACATCATGATAGAGGGTAGATTCGGTCTCCTGAGGGCTGAAGTCACACTCCTGGTTGACCACAGGCATAACGTATAATCCTCATTGTTTAAGACAAAAAGAACTGGAAACGTTGGGGGTGCAGGTGGCATTTTTCACTCATTCCTCATGTTTCCTTCCAGGAGAGAGAGTTCAGTTCATATAAATCCTGGTTCCTGTTCGCCCTTTTACTCATTCTGCTCTGGAGGAGTGGGAAGGACTTACCTGAGGGGCAAATTGATAAAGATATATACAATCAGCTCAGCCCTTTCCTTTTTCCTGGAAAGGCTTGCCAACAGGGCTTTCCTCCGCCATGCTGTGAGTTTTCAGGGAGGTCCTGTTTCAAGCTTGATTCTGCTACTTAGGCTTTCTCAGTAATAAAGGTGATATGACCAACCTCCCTTTTGCCTCGCTCCTTGTCTTCCTTCATTTTTTTAGAACATGGGCAAGAGAGAGGGGACTCATCATTGGCTCCTCTCAGAAACCTCAACACTTAAAAGACTAACACCATCTCAGGAGTTTCTGAGAAAGAATAAATAAAATCCTCAAGAAGCCTGCGGTGTGCAGCTCAGGAAGGAGAGCAGGGAATTGCACCAGAGGTTGTGGCCAAAAGAAACATTATGTATCTTCTTCAGGTGACTCCTTCTGTTTACACACATGGTGGTAAGAGGCAGGATGAGGTAAGGTGAATTGACCTAGCACCTCAAGACAGCTAAACAACAAAATTTCAGAAGTAAAAACTACAAAAATTAATTGCTATAGAAGCAGAGGCAGGAGAGATTATTTGTCATGGGCAGATGGGGAAATGTACTGTGAAGATGGTGCAGAGGTCACTCTACTCAAGATCAGGATGATCTGACCCTACCATTTGCTATCTCCCAGTGGTGTGTGCAGAGATGGTACATTATATGCAAACTGATGGAAGACTATTAACAACGGTGTTACAGCATAAGATTGATCCTTAATAATAAAGCAGTCTGGGAATATCTAACAGGCTGTCCATTGCTTTTTTCATAGATTACTTTAAAAAATACAAAATCCCAGTCTTTTGTTCAATTCATAATAACTAAGAGAATTTTCAGCATCAAATAAAACTGACAATGGTTAAAACATCACTGAGGAGAATTTGTTACTGAATAAATTGATCTAATAGAGAAACTATATCTTGCAGGCAACACTGAAATACGACTTGGGGAACCAGGCAGGTATAATGATCAAAACCCAAAACACAAAAGCTCAAAATGACAGAAACTCTAATTGGCAAAGTTTGATATAGACCAAAACAAAATCAGTCCTTCCCCAAAACCTAATTGATGACTTTAATCTTTATTATAAATTTTACATGGAAAGAAAATAATCTCAGTGAAAAGAACTTTGGTTTTTGTTTTTGGGGGGTTTTTTAGTTTTTTTGTTTGTTTGTTTTTAGATTAGGGGAAAGTGCAAAAGTAGTCCCCCACTAGCACAAGTCATGCAGTCAAGTTTCCTGCATTTGGGGAAATCGCAGGGGTCAGTACACCCAGAGTGCAATGGATAAGCCTCACCCTGGGAAAGCCACCTTCATGATCATGGTGACTCCCCTGCCAGGTTAAGTATCAATGAAAAGAATTTTGATAAAATGAAAATAAAAAGTTGAAAATGGCTTATTTGCAACATAAAATAACTGATCAAGGAATTAAAGTGGCATAGAGAAATTAGACAATTACCCCTTAATGAACATTGATCACTGTAGGCATAATTATGATTAAGGTTTTTATATTTATAAAGTCATAGTCAACATATCCTTAGAGTTAAAATACCCACTGGATTAAAATAGTATAGTTGCAATATGGGTCAATGTTTTTCTACACTAATTGAAAACCAAAAGTAGAATTAAGGAGGAATGTGAAAAATTGATGATGAGATTTGATCAGAAAGAGAATTAAGAATTCTAAGTAATGTGTAAATCTGTAAGCCCAATCTTTACACCCCAAGTATGTCACTATATCTTATTTTCAGGGTTAGATCAGGGTCAGCATCCTGGAACTGACGTAATACTCAGAAAAGATTTATATTCTTGTTCTTTATGTGACAGGAATCTGTAGTCTCAATTTCTTGAATTTATATCAGGAAGATGCTAACCTGCTTAGATAAGGCAGTCTTAATAAGGAGCAATACTCTGGAACAATTTATCAACCCATCTTTCTCTGTAAAGTGAGAAAGTTGAGGCAAAAGCTGTGAGATGTTTATGACTAATCTTTATTTTCTTTCAAAATATTTTCTGACCACAAAGGACTATGCATAAAGAAATAACAAATGAGAGAAATAGGAAAATGGAAACAGTTGGCTGTTATCTGATTTGTTCATTCTATACATTTTTACTGTTATATCTTCTATGGACTACAGCATTATATTGGACATTGGAAGATATATACAGATATACCAAGAATAAGGCAAAATGTACTGCTTTGTTTCTAGGTTATGTATTATGAGAAAAAAATCAGACTAGATTGAGAAGTTGTAAGAGAGAGATTGTCTATTGTTGATGTAACTGGAGAAAAGAAGGGAAGGCCAAAGGGTTAGTTAGGCCAGAATTATGGAACATTTTGAAGGAATGCAATTCTTATTTTTAAGCATGTACATTACATAAAAGGGGGCTATTCACAATTCATTTGAATTATTGTCTCTGCCTTTAGAAGACCTATTTTCATAGAGAGATGAGACTGATTTTCATTCTGCATATCACTGTACACATATATCAGATGAGAGCCAACGTCCTAGAACTGGAATGACACTCTCTATGTGAGACCTTTGGATTCCTTGCACTTGGCAAAATGACAAACATGACTTATCTTCCTGCTCTTTGGCAGAAGTTCTTACTGCTCCTTGAAAGGAGTTTTCTCAAATAGTTTAAATGTCTGTCCTAAAATTTTATTTGCTATTAATTTATATCACATGTGAGGATGATATTTTCTAAACAAGACTAAACATCTTAGCTGCTGCACAAATTCCAAATCAGGGGATTTCAAATTAATAAAGATATACTATATTTTTCATAATCTCTGCTATGACAGATTTCCCAGATTTAGTTTTTGCAAACATACTTGCCAGAAAGTTACAGGTTAATATTAGCACACATAACCCTTTGTGGTCAATTTTATTTTCTTCACCATATTTACTCATTTCAAGGCACAGAAGAAAAGGCTGCAGTTACCTTCTGAATGACTCAGGAGCGTAGGCCACCACGGTAACGCAAAGCTTAATGGCTTCGCTTATAGAGAAAGTCAGGTCTTCATTTCCATAGCAGAAATCTGAAGGGACAGACGGTCAAGGCCAGGGAGAAGAATTTGTCACTGTTAATACTGACTTTCCAGTTATATTTTGTAGCCATTTCTTTCTTAGACTTTATTCCTAAACTGTGAGCACTATCAATTTCCTCATCTAAAGGGACTGAAAACTCTGTTCTACTTTTGAATAAACTGGATGATTAAATAAAAGTGCTTTTTCTGGGGTAGCTTAAAAAAATCTTACCTAATAGAAGGGCATCTGGATGGTCTAAGGTAAGACACGAGACTTCTCTGAATCTTTGAATACCTCTACTTATACACAGTCCATGACAATAAAAAAACTATCTTAAAGTATTACCCACTTCGAATCGCCCATGAAAACCCAATTTTCTGAAAACTGCAGTGGTCTACTGAGCCCCCTTTTTTAATACAAACTTCATGGCAGAGAATTCTTTACACTTCAAGATTTACAAGAAATTTAAGAAAAATAGGAGCTAGGAAAATGTTCTCACCATTATTCTATTTGTTTTTGCTGTTCTGATTTAGTTCAAAATACTCAGTATAGAGTCATTCAGAAAGATTACCAAGAGAACAAGAATGTCAAGACAAATTTTGCTTTTACCTAGTGACTTCAGAGGCTTCTCAGCTTTGACCAGCTCTAAGATGTCTAGGATGTCTGTGGTCTCTCCTTCCAGTGACTGTAGCAAGTCAAACAGGCACTGAGCTGACACACCTTTGCTGGACCCAGTGTTGGCAGCATCCTGTATAAAGAAAAGCCATTTTAGATGATTAATTCCTACCTGAGTACTGATGTCATTTGATCAGGAATTCAAGTTTCATAAACTTTGCCACTGATAACAATTACAATATCTTCAGTTTACAGAATTCTGCATCCAACCATGCTGCTGTGTGACTTTGGAACGCCTGATCTTTCAAGAAATCTATTAAATGTTAATCTAGTACAAAAAAGATATTTGTGGAAACTCATTAAAATGCAGCAATATGTGAACTGCCAGAAGAGCTCATGCCACTCGTTCCGCTGGTCTATGCTAGTAGGACTCAGCATTCCCAAAGGAAATGCCCATGGTGGATTAGCTGAGTACTTCCAAAATGTTTGGAGAACAGATGCTTATTTTGACAACTCTGGGAATTTTATAGGTCCTATATGATAATATATCTCCAGAATGGAAATACTTGCCATCTCAAATCTCTTTAAAATGGCTTTAATTCATTCATTAAAACAACAAATCTTCATTAAATGCCTACTATGTACCAGGTTCCATTTTGTGCACTGAGGTTATAGCAAAACAAAAACAAAAACAAAACAACTCCATAAAAATTAAACAACTAAAGACAACAAAAGGCAAATGAAACCCAGGTAAAGGTCTGGCTTTAATGGAGCTTATATTCTGTTCTGGGGTGTGGCAGAGATACCTATTGGTGAGACAAATATATGTGTGACATGTGATATGGTATAAATGTCCTGCAGAAAAAGAAAAATAAAGCAGGGTAAGTGCTAGAGAGTGATAGAAAGAAATGAGAATCAGGGACTACCCCTTTTATCATTTTTTATTTTCCATCCTTTTATTAATTGAGTATAAAAAAACCTGGAGAGTTGGTCCATCTACATCCTAGGGGCTGAGATGAGAACTGAAGATGAATGTTGAAGAGACATTATTCACTTGTTGAAAGAGAAATGATTTGCGGTGCTCATGGTCCAGTGGCTGAAGGAAGGGAGCTGAGAGACTGGTCACACAATGGAACAATGACCAGGCCAACGTAAAAACAGAACTCTGATCCTCAGCCTGTGGTAACCAGCCCAGGAAACCAGCCTGCTATAAGTAGACCTGTAGAAGTTAGACTGCTGGCTCTAGTGTAAACAAATTAACCCCTGGAACAATTAGCCCCCTAATGGCCAGGACCTGATTAATTACTCCCAGCTTCCCTAATCCTTATCCCCGTATCCAACTTAGGACCAACCAGAGAAAGCCAAATATGCGCCCGTAACCAACGGCAAAGAGAGACCTCACTTCTTGTTAGCCTGTGTACAGCCTCCCCACGCCAATGGCCTCCAATCAGGGTATCCCTGAAGCCTTCCCTTTTCTCCACTATACTGTCTGCATTCGAATTTTTTCCCAAACACAGGTGATGGTGGCTAACTCCCTTGCTCCAGTGAGCTCCAAATAAAGAACCTTTACTTTTCTCGTTTGGTTGGTCTTTATTTCCACAGAGCTGACTCACAGGAAACTCCAAGAGAGGGGCCACACTTGCAAACAGCTGGAGCACAAAGGGCTTCCGGTGTAGAATGTAGAACTGGTGGCAGGCAAATTCAATGGCTTGACGCAGCTGGGGGTTACTTTCGTAGTCAGAGTACACCTGTGGGAAAATGCTGCATAGTCAGAAAATGCCTAAACAGCCTATTATGGGAAGCATGGAGGGCAATGGCGAATTTCATAAACTGGTAGATGGGAGGGTAAAATGGTATATCCTTTCTTGAGGGAAATTTGGCAATATATGTAACAATCCTAAAAATACCAATATACTTTTTTCCCCAGGAAATTTGTGACTTCGGAATTTATCTTAAGACAACAATTGGACAAATATACAAAGATGTATATACGAGAATGCCTGCTGCGAGGTTGCTTAAAATAGAAGAAAATTTGAAACAACTTTCGCTATTTGTAAATTGGGGTTGTTTAAGTGAATTATGGTATATGCATACAACCGAATACTATACAATTATTTTTTTTAAAAGATGCCATAGTGCTAAATGGAGCTACATGAGAAAATGCCCACAATATTCCTAGTATTACATTTTTGAATAGATGGTATGACCCAACTTCTGTTTTTAAGAAAAGTAGGAAAGAGTATCAGGATTTTGAAGATTTAAACCAAGGCTATCTAGGAGGGAGGATTACAGGTGATCTTTATTTTCTTGTTTTAAACTTTTATCTTCTGAATTTCATAATGAGCATTTACTGTTTTTGATAATCAGTCAAAAAAGTTATAAAAAGGGGAAAATTCCAACTATTTAAAAATCAGAGAGCCCTGATGACATTAAAAGTCAATTTCTTGCCCCTGCAGGTTGAACAAAGCCCGCTTTACACAAGTGTGTATTACTTCCATAATTTTTATGAAAATGTCCATGAAGGTAGAGAACTAGGGTGATCCCCCAGGCCCTGTCTGAACTTTACTCAGCACTCCTAAATGCACCCACATACACATCAGACTTGTGTAAGTGGAAACTGTTCCTGCTCCATTCACCTCCTCCAACCCCGTCATATGCCAAATTTAATGGCAATGAAAATCTCTATTCAGAGAGAGGGCAGAGACTCTCTTGGGAGAAACATCCACTTGCCATACATTTGAATAATGGTTCTCACACTTCCGAGGGCATCAGTATCACCTGGAGGTCTTGTAAAAACAGATTACCAGGCCCTGCCCCCAGAGTTTCTGATCAAGTAGGTCTGGGATGGGGCCCACCCAAGAATGGGCATTTCTAACAAAGTCCCAGGTGATACTGATGCTACCAGTGCAGAGATTACACTTGGAGGACCACTGGCCTAGAAGAAACAGGAAAGCACAGCCCAGATCTGGGAGATCTCAGGATAAAATGGAATATCGTGACCTTTTGGAAATTTCTAATGGAGGGAGGGTTTCACTTGGTGCCTTCTGGGGTCACAAAAGAAGATAATTCCATCATTTAAAAGTTTCCTTAATAGATCCTGTGGAAGTGCAAGATGGGCAGTTAATCTCCCAGTTAGGAGAGGCGAGCCAGCGCACCTGCAGCATGGTGGGCAGAATCCACTGGTAGCCACTGAGAGAGAACAGGTGATTGAAGTGCACAGCGCTGTTGATGACGGTGGCTGCATACTGCCTGAGCAGGGCGCTGTCTTCCGGGTGGAGGATCAGAGCCCCATTAAACACGTTGAGGAAAAGCATGATTTCATCTCCCCAGGGAAACTCGCTTGGCATGCCCAGGAACATCTCCTCCAGGAGCTGGATCCACAAGCTCTTCTGAAGTGTGTCGAGGCCAAACAGCTCCTTGCCAGCTGCGAGAACATGAAACAGCACAGACAGCATGAGCCCCATGCCAATCCGGTCAGTGTGGGATGACCACCAAAGCCCAGGGCACCGCTGTTTCCCATTCGTTCCAACTCGGGGAGTGTGGAGATCGACTGCTGACCCACTTCCCAGCACAACACTGCTGGCACAGCTGTAACACCACCTAGTCGACTCTCCAGAGACTTTCATCACCTCTTTGATTCAGCTCTGTGGGCAAGACGGGGTAGGTATGCGCAGCGTGTTGCTGCTGCATAAGTCATGGCTTTGAGAGAAAATAAGTCATTACAGAAAGAAAATGGCAGGGATATGGCTAATTCTTGGTCTTTAAAATCCTGGTCAGACTAGAGCTCTGTCTACTACTGCTCTGGAGCTTCTGGATGAAGACACAGAGCATAGCGATGCTGATTTAAGTAAATTGTCCCAAATTTAAAACTGAGTAGTAGAGTGAGGTTTCAGAATGGTCTCTTTCTATTTCTGTTTCAGGCTCCTTTCCCCTCACCCCTGTCTCTCTCTCTCAAATCGGGTATAATTTAGATAGAGTAAAATACACAGATCGTAAATGTAGAATTCAATGAGTTTTGACAAAAAATACCCACTCATGCAACCAAATTTCCATCAATACATAGACCATTTTCACCACCTTAGAAAGATCCCTCCTGCCCCTTTCCAGGAAATCCATTCCTCCCAAACCAGAGGCCACCACTGTTCTGATTTCTGTTACAATAGATTCATTTTTCCGCCTCTTAAACTTCGTATAAATACCTGTTCTTCACTTAGTCAGGAACTCCTCTACCACCACCATACTACTTCATTCAATTGCTCATGATTAGCTCAGAGCAGTGGTCTCGGAGTTTGGTCCTTGGGAGAGCAGCATCAGTATCACCTGACAGCTTGTTAGAAATGCAGGCTCCTAGGCCCCATTCCAGAGATACTACATCAGAAACTCAGGGATGAAGAGTAGGGCCCGGCGATCTGTGGTTTATCAAGTTCTCCAGGTGATTCTGATGCCCACTCAGGGCTGAGAGCCACTGGCTTAGGGAACTGTCTGCTGATTCAGATGCTCTCCAGCTGAGGACAAAACAAGGGCATGAGAAGAAGCCCAAGAGAGGAAGTGCTTCTTTGCTGATACCTTGAGGATCACTGAAGAGTGAAAACTCCGCATCGATAGCACTTCGAGGGAAGGAGGGCAGTCGGAGGAGGTCTTCCTGGAGCATGGAGACGTGGGACTGCTTGTGGGCTGTGGGGATCTTCTGGGTAAGGGAGATGAGAAACAAAACCCGCCCGACTTCCTCCAGCTTCCGGGTGAACACCTAGCAGCAGACAAGAGCAGGGGCAGATGACAAGTAGAACTGGCAACCCGGGAATCACTAATTTGAAGAAATTGAAGCAAAATCTTTAATGGCAAAACAGGCTGATTAAAAATTAAGGGGTGGAGGAAGTGAAATGAGGAAGAAATTTCTTTTTTTCTTCACCACATAGAGAGAGCAAACAATGTTTAATTGACCCCAACTTCCTGCATCTGTCTGCTCCACAGAAGGAAGTGTCCTGCCGAGTTTGCAGGCTGGGGGCGGAGCACAAGGCGAGCATTGTCAAGAACCATTCAATGTTAAACAGAGCCCGTTTGTTGGATGACCTTCTGTGACAGGAGCCAGTCAGTTCCAATTGCTTCTATCTTTTCCACTGATGCCTTAAGCTGTTTTCTATCAGTTCTGGGTTTGCCTCTTAAAGACTGAAATGGGATCCAGGAAAAACCTACCTTGGGACAAAAGCTGATGGGACTTAGATTTGTACCCATTTGGCCCTGAGTTCAGATGCCTCGGACACAGGGCTTGTGGCCCTTCTCTTAATGCCTTTTCTGTTGCTGCCGAGGGGGCAGGCGGGTGAGATGAGGAGGATGATAAGCAGGGAGCTGCTGTTGAGGAACTTCAGAGCCAGAACCACAGGTCTGCAAATGACTACGTCCCTGAGGAACTCAGAAAGAAGCCTTAAGATTCCAATTTGGAGAATACAGACAGCGGGAATCCCATTTTATGCTATGTTTTTTAGAAACATGTTCTTAAACATGATTTAAAAAACGACAATTGTGAAGTGCTGCTGTTGATCATGGTTTTAATTATTTTGCTGCTATATCAGAGGCTGGGATCTTTTGGGGGAATTGTTTTAGAAGTTATTTGCATTTATGATCTTAGTTTTGCCTAGCACCTCACCCTTTGTAACCCATTCACTATTTTCTTTCTTTCAAATGTAGTTTAGGTCATAGTACTAACTGTGTTTTTAATTACTTAAGTGGTCAAATTCTAGGCCATCTCATTCATCTCATGAAGATATTTTTGAATACTTTGATGCCAAATTAGCATTCTTGCTATGTGCAGAAAAATTGAAATGATAAAGTTTCATGCTTAGACATTTTATTAAAAATAAATGAATGTAACACACAGACCACATTAAAATTATATCATTAGAATCATGTACTACAGCTATATTTCACATGCAAAATACTGTGAATTTCCTTAAGCTCGAAGTCTGATTTGTGATGAGATGTGTGAACATTATTCTGCTCTTTGATCTTAAATCTAAATACAGCTGCTTGACTCTGTCTCCTCCTGTTTCAGGAGAAGTTAGTAACATGCCCAAGGTCAGATCTCCAGTCAGTGGCAGAGCTGGGACTGAGTCCAAATCTCTGGACCTTGGTTCAGTGCCCTTTTTCAGGCATATTACATTGATCCCTTTTATTTTTTTTCCAGCTAGCATAAATTTCTGGGACAACTTTCTAATAGCTATATTATGTGTACTTCCAATCCTGCTTTACAAAAATGTGTAATGAAAATCCATACTTAGACACTAATAGGTAAATAAATTAGATTTTTATTATTTATACCCAGTGATTCATCCTAGCATTACTCCAAGAGTGTTCCTTAATATCTTCGCATTATGATCTAATTTATAAAACTTAGCTCACACACTATTTTGGGGTATTATCTATTGACCAAGGGCCCATCCATCTACTCTCTCTAGAGAGGATCATGACAGAATCACAGAATCTCAGGGCTGCCAACCATTTTCAGATCATCTGTCCCAATGACATGACAAAATCATACAATAAAACTGTGGTGGTCAGTCACCTGTTTCTGAATCAGCTCCTGTCCTTTCTCTGGATGCATATGTACAAGGTTCAGTTGTGGAGACACTGATCTCCTGAAAGGATAAATATCTCGAACGTAGGTCTGTGGTGGGATCATACAAAGATAAAAAAGAATTCAAGTGATTAACTTGGACTCTCATTTCCTCTTTACCCAAAGGTCAGACAAACATAAGTTGTGTATTTTCTAGTGTTTAGATTCTTACTACTTTATGCTCCCCAGTTCTACAAAATCCCAGGGAAGATAAACTCCCCTTCCCTTCAGGAAAGCATCAAACCTCTCAGTACCCTTTCCAAACACCAGGGTGCTCGGTCAAGGGCAAAGGAGCCAGAGGCAATTTACTAAAGGACATTCCAGAAGAAGAGAATCACTGGAAAGTGATGTCACTGGTCTTCTTCTGGGTTATTTTTGCTCATTAGATCATTACCACATTCATGCTTAACATAATAGAAAGAGGAACAAGAACAATATTAAAATTCCAAATAGAAAACCTAGTTATGATATAGGGAACCTAATTTTTCATCTAGATGTAATAATAATGAGCAACTAAGTGCTTTACTTGAATTTACCTCCTTTAATCATTACGACTCTACAGTGGATACTATCACCACCTTTACTTTCCAGACCAGGAAGCCGGAGGGTACAAAGGTAGAGTGGCCAGTCCAAAGTGACACAGACAGCAAGGTGGTGCCACCCAAGCGGACATACTCATCGCCTCTAAATAGTGATGCCTCCCCAAGTGCAAGCTGCCTCAGGAAAGACATGATGAGCTTTTGACACAACTCTCCATGAGTGGCATTACTGCAAAGTCTCACCTTATTGTAGTGGATAAGGTTCCAGCGTTTATCCATGAGAAAATAATGTGTTGACTGGGATTCTGGGATATTAAAAAACTCCAGACACTCCTAGAACAATAATAAACACTTATTGAGAACTTATTATGAGCCAAGCAGCAAGCTGAAAGATAAAAGCATAAGAACAAGGTAACTTCTTACAAGGAAACATACATACGTACATACGTGCATGTGTGTGTGTGTGTATATCCATCTATCCGAAGAATGAGCGCATAAGGACAGGTAGTGTAACATAAACTGTCTGCTCTTATGGTGCTGAAAGGTACAACTATAAAGTAGACTTGAGTGATGAACTGTGGAGGCACAGTGGCATCTACTGGTCTCAACATCAGGAAGAAAGCAAGTTTAGCAGCTGCGTTAAGAATATGAACTACAGTGACTGAGCACTTATTACCTACTACGTTCTAAGTTCAACGCTTCCCACGTAGAGAACTTGCACAACCTGCACTGGGATCCCGGCACTGTTGAAAGAGAACTCGGGACTAGAGAGGACCTGGCTTTGATTTAGGTGACTCCGGTTGTCGGGGAGCCCGGCTTTGAACTAACTGTCTGCCTTCACGCTATCCTGCCATTCAAAGTGAGCAAGAAAATGGAGTGCTTGTTGAAGTTTCCTTCATTGAGTCTGAGAAGTTCTCTGGAGATAAATGGGTGAGGCCGGGAGGAGGCTTAACAACCAGGAAATTTTATTTTTACTGAAATAGAATACACAGGTTTGGCAAAGCTGAATTTCTCAGAGGTCTTTTCAACTTATGTCTGGGCCAAAAGTCTGGACTCTGGATAAATGGGAAATCACTGCACTTAGGGTACTTATTACTTTACCTTAAAAACCTTATCGGCAAGAGTCACTGTGGATTGCATTTCTTCTGAGGGGCATAATTGCCACAACCATTAAAAATACTTTCTTGATTCACCTGATTTATTCTAAGGTGTATATTTTCTGCTTCTCCAATCATTTCTGTCAGGGGCAAGTTAAGACTGCATCGCTCAACAAAAAGGGTCTCTGGCATGGATCATCGGCTGACTGCTAGAGTCTGCCCCATGCTCTCAGCATGTGGACCCAGGGCAGCTCCAGAGCTACCACGGGGGTTGCTGGGAAGCTCCTAAGCAGGACTCATGGTATCCGGAGAGGAGTGTGGCTGAGATTTTGCCCACTTCAATGCAGAGCTAAAATGTCAGTGATCGTGAGGAAAATTATGCAAGGAAATAGAGGAAGGACAGAAGGGCGAGGATTCTGTAAAAGGTGGATAAATGCGCATATTGATTGGAAGATGGATAAATGCCATTAAATTCTAAACTGGATGATCAGTGAAATGGCCATCGACATCGTGCATGAAAGAAATCACTTCTGTTGAAAGTCATCCTTACCTTTAACAGGGCTTCAAATTGAGTGTCTTCATGGACTGGTAACTGGGTTGGGATATCACACTCATTCTGTCCATGAACTACCAAGGTTTTGGTACCTACAGAAGGTAAAAATCACAATAAACTGACTTCTACTATAAGGAAGTTTTGTATATAAGGCATAGAATATTGAAATATTATCAATAAGCTGATATTTTAATTGTTATTATTATGATTATTACTAATAGTGTTTAATGTGTGTTGGGTATTGTACTAACTGCACTCCTTTGTTAATAGTTAAATATATACGTTCAATATATTTACTTATTAAGAGTGACAGCTACCATTTATGGAGTTCCCAATACTTTAGATAGTTTTTAGTGCATAATTGTATTTAAATCTCACAGCAACACTATGATACATGTATTATTATTTTCATCTTACAAATGAGGAAAACAGAGAGAATTTATTCTTATAAATAAGAACTTGTAAGTAACTTAGTCAAAGACACACATTTATTTAGGGGAAGAGTCAGAATTCCAAACTTAAGCAATGCAACAAATAATATACTCCTATATTTTAAATGAGATGACAAGGTAAGAATGGTTGAGAAAACATAAATGGAGATATTAGCAAAAGCAAAACATGTAATTGAAATTTAGTTTAAATTTACATTTTCTGTATTCTACTTTGGCTGGTGAGATAGTACTTATTTTTACTTCATTCCTTAATTATAAATCTTTGTGAACATTATGATATACCTTGATTTTTAATGAGTTGTTTTTAAGTATATGATTGACAATATGAGTTTCTCTGCTGTACTGAAAACTGATCACTGTGTTGAGTAATCTGCAGAACATAGAAATACACAAGCACCATTTACTAAATGTTTACCAGGTGTCAGGTATGACAGCAAGTATTTTACAAACCTAACCTCACTTACCCCTCATGACTGTGAGGTATGAATTATACCCCATTTTACACATGAATAAAGAAAGCTTAAAAAATGGTGTACGGCAGCAACATGTATGGACCTTGAGACGATCATACTGAGTGAAGTAAGTAAGACAGAGAAAGACAAATATCATATGATATCACTTGTATGTGTAATCTAAAATATGAAACAAATGAACTTACTTACAAAACAGAAACAGACAGAAAACAAACACATGGTTACCAAAGGGGAAATGGGGGGACGGTTAAATTAGGAGCTTAGGATTAGCAGATACAAACTACTATATATAAAGTAGATAAACAACAAGATCCTACTGTAGAGAACAGGGAACTATACTCAATATCTTGTAATAACATATAATGAAAAAGAATATGTGTATGTATAACTGAATCACTATGCTGTACATCAGAAACTAACACATTACAAAATCAACTATACTTCAATTTTACAAAATGATGTACTTTTTCATAGCTAACACTAATTGTCCAGACAATAAATGGCAGTGCTCTGATTTTAACATTGGCCTCTTTGCTGCTAGAACCTGTGTTGTCATTTATATGTAATTTTGTCTTTCTCTTTATTTCAATACATGTATCATCTTACATTTTCTTAGTCATTGCACAGGGATAAAGGCTTGGCAAAATTTTTATCTCAAAGAAAGACAAGCTATCCAAAGTGAAAAGGAACGGGATCTAAAGTTTACATCACATTGCATGTTCTTTTGTAATTCTCCTTCCTGCTTTTCCCTGTTCCAACTTTTCATAAAGCCATCTCTCAGTGAGTTTACAAAAGCCTGGGCCCATGCCATGCAAACAATCTTATTCTCCTTGCAGTGCCAAAAACTCATTCAGAAAGGCTCTCGGTTCAGCTGGCCCTCTGCGATAGACTTAAATACATCTTTAACCTTGGCAGCCCTTGAAGGTCTATTCACACGGATCTCAGTTCTGATGTCTCCCTTTTCATCTGGCAATTGCTGACTTTTAAAGGGTCTATTGTATTTCTTTAGATGGCAGTCAACAAAAATTCTTTGATGCCCTCAACACCAGGGTCACAACCCTGAAAATTTTCTCATGAATGAAAGAGATGCTTAGTCTGTTAAAGGATTATTTGTACTCTTACCTGGCATTGAAGCGGTCACCAGGAGCTTTACCTCACACTGCTCCTTCTTCATGGTCTGCTTCAGATCCTTGAAGAACAGGCCTTCCACATAACCCACCACCTCCCACAGGAAAGTCAGAGTGGCTGAAATGGCGTCCATCCCCCACTCGCAGGGGGTCCGCACAAAGTACATGATTAATCCCACCTGGAAGCCAGAAGAGGATGCAGTCACAGAGCCACGGTAATCCTGAGCTTGTGTTCTAATTTCCTGGGCTTTTCTTTCCTTAATTAAATATTCTTTTTGTGCCTTCATAGTCTCTGTTCAAATGCTCCTCTAACCCTTTCTGTGCAGTAAGCAGGAGGTATGACTGGAAAACTGGCCAGAATGGGTCGTCTTACCTTTTTACGTTATCACCAAAATACTTACTTCTTAAGGGGAAAGCAGATCATTTTTCCAGCTTCAAGTCACTTGGGAGCTCAGGTACTTGGGCCGCCCAAAATGCATTTCTATATGATGTTTGCCCAAGTACTATCTGCAGCCTGGATGATGTCTAAAAAGTTCGACCTAAGAACACTCTGCTTGGCTAAGTCAGTGAGCATAGAAGTTTTTGTTTGTGTCCTCTGAAATAATTTTGAAAAACTGTGTGCCCTTCTGTCCATTTTTAAGATAACACTTAAAAATATCTCATCATACGTTTACTTTTTGTTAATATGAATAGAGTATGTCAAATAGCCTGTACAGTGAAGTAAGAGGACTGACTGTAATTGGAATGTGTACTTCATCAAATTGGATGAAATAAGTTTTAACTACCTTATTCAATAATGTACAACAAAATCAGAAAGAAATAATATAAAAGCCAGCCCCCAAGGCTTCTATCCATTTTTTTTCTTGACAAATTCGTTAAATTTAAAAAACTTTCCAGTTGCACTGGAAGAATCAGTGTCACTAACCCAGTCTGCTTTGGTGGTTCTGAAGGCTGAATACTCTCACAATGGCCAAACCTCATCCCTAGTAGACAGCTATAAAAGACAGGAAAAGGTGAGAAGTCCTATTGGCTTAAAGTGCCTGGATCAATCAGAAATGAGGCTTCCTTAATGCTCATGACAGTATTACGTGTCTGTCAATGCAGTCTGGTGATATCTGAGATGGTCAGAGAGGGCCCTCCTGGTGTACAGCAGGGGAACAGGGATTGAGATGGCAGTCATGCTCAGGGAGTATCAATGCATGTCTGCAAAATGAGGATTTGGAGATTTATTCCCTTAAAACTATCTGGGAAGCAAACCACTTTCCAAGTCTTTACACACCGCCACACCTACTCAGACCCCAGGATGAAGATCAGTGGGTCAAGTTAAGCAGTAGATTTAAATATCCCTAACAACGTCCAGAAGAGATGGGTCATTGTTCTCAATATCCCCACCGTACACATCTATAATATACATGCTCTATAAGAGTCATTAGAAAAAGGAAATGTATAATAAAGGTAATGGTTTAAAGAATGACTCTGCCTTCACTATACTGCCGTTCTGAGTGCAAGACCCCTTTCCCCAGTTCACCTAAAGCATCCATGTGCTTGGGATTCAGAGAAAGATTAGAGTTTAGACAGATGCAAAAACAGGAATTTATATTCATATGAAATAAGATTACACAGCATGTAGCCAAAGTGTTGACAGTCCCTTTCTTCATTAGCTTATCAGTGATCTAGTTGGGAGGACTTTTGGCTACCATGTAGGCTAATTTGGAGTTGACAAGAGAGTATGGCAGAAGGGAAATGAAACGTCCATCTTTCTGTCCCAGGACTAAAGGATGGAGGGGAGCAGTGGTCTACATAAGCATCTCCCCTGTCCAGTGACCCGGGGGAAGGAGCAGGTACGCTCGAAGGGCCTCTTGCTTCTGGTCTCTGTTTGGGTCTCTGACAAGAGTTCACCACAGAGCCTTCTGATAACAACTGGATGCAACTTTAACTTGGCAGGGTATGTACTTAAACTAGGGAGGCACCGATATTTGGCTTTGCTAATCTACTTTGGGTTTTTGTGTGGTGTGGACAGGACCGAGAAGCAGCAGACAGTTTGGCTGGAGAGCTTTCTGGTTAGAACTGCCATAGGCTGGTTCACTGGGCAGGATGCTCTGGACAGGGGACTTCCTAAGCTAAAGCCATATAGGACCCTCAACCAGAACTCAGAGGGATGCAGGGTACCAGTAGGAAAGGAGGCAAGGTGGAGTTTCCCAGTAAACACTGTTGGGAGCAGACAGGGTTTGCAAATTACAAGAGCCAAGAGCTTCAGCTTCTGCCAGCCAGGCCTCCAGCAACTAGCCAGATAAAGAGCATTGTCTTGCAAGGGGAGGAGTCAGAGCAAAGGATAGAATGCTGAACAAAGGTCTTTTTTCTCCCCAACTCCACATAGCATTTAGAGCTGAAAGAAGCTGGAAGGGAGGAGAATTCCTAGAGACTAAGTATTTTTAGCCAAGAGAGACTGAACACTAGCCAAAGGTACTATTTATATATTTCTCTCAGTCTGAACTTAAAACTGGATTGGACACTTATTTATATTTTTCCCCTTGCCAACCACCAAGTGGGCACTCATGATAAAAAGCAGATCAGTCACCAACATGAGAAAGGAATTACAAATTCTCTGTGCATATCAGAGTTGTAGTGTGAGTTAAATTTATCAACCTGCTACAGATACATATGGATAACTCTTTTATTTTCCCACTTGCTAGAAGACCAACGATAGTAAAGGAGAAAGAAGTTCTCTCAATATAGAAATTCATTTGGCCATCTGTCTGCCTAGATTAAGGTGCAGTTTAAAAGAATAGTCATCATGCCAACAATCTCCAAACTGCATATTCATTTAGGGTGTAAGGAGGAGAATATAAAGAAACTGGTAAATTCTGGAGTGTTCAGGAAGGAGCTGTCAGGATAGTTTAAAGCACAGACAGTTGCTATGGAAAAATACACTTGCAAATACTTTCCATCTAGGGCAACATTTTCTTCTCTGTGTGTGTACGTGTGTGTGTGTTTGTGTGTGTGTGTTTTAAGCAGCAAGGTAGGAAAAGGGAAAAAAATGACTAAAAATGACACATTCCTTTTTTTACAACAGAACCAACATGAGGAAGGTGTATAATGCCAAAGGAAGACAGAGACAAAACTGATAGTTACTGATTGCCTCCCACAGGCCAAAGATTGTGCCAGGAGGGGCTTCCCCATACACACAGTGGGGACCACGATTCACCGTCAGTCATGTAACTAATGGGATTTCATTGAAAAAGAAATCTAAAACCTTTTTCTCATGCTGCTGCTTCCTACTTGGAAATGAACATTTATAACCCGCTAGAGGCGAAACTCACCAAGTAGTTGAAGAGGATGTGAGACGTCTGAGCAGGAAAGTCTCCGATATTCAGGAGAAGTTTGCGCAGCATGTACATTAACTCGTCCTGAAAGAACAACATAACCTCCATGTCTCACTTGGCCACCACGTAGGAAACAAAATTAACTTCTTGAGGAGCAAGGGGAGGATTCCTCTTATTTTTGCCCACTTGCTGACTTCCATTATGTCCAGCATTTTAATGTTGGATACATGATGCTTGTTAAACAGAATTTAAACTAACTGTAATGCCTTTTCCTAGAAGCTAATATATGAAATTGCTGAGCAGTAGTCACACAACTTTTCTTAAAATAAAAATTTAGATCGTGTCTGTAGGTCACAGGCAAATCACAGGGAAGCTGGATATTTAGTCAGCTCTACTTGCTACGGCTGCCAGGTGTAATGGAGATGTGAGGAGGACCTATCATAAGACACCATTAAACAAACTAGGATTATTGAACATCATAGTTCTGTTTCCTTAGTTTTGAGTCAAAGAGATAATGTGCTAGGCCAAGAGAGGATAAATGGAGATGTTTATAATTAACCTTCTTTTCAGAAACTAAACTTAATCTTCCAGTGAACAAGATCATAACATAGAAATGAAGAAATAATTTGCAATCAGTGTATTTTACCATTGCTCAGAAAACCACTTTTGTTTGGCATAATCTTCTTACAGAGGGGCCTGGTAAATTCGATTTTTTGACTAATGGAGAGTTTCAACATACTCTGATAATGCTACCTGCATCACAGACTACCAATAAATCAGAGTTCAGTAAACATACCCAACACTAAAAACATTAAATAATATTAAACTGAAATTTAATCTTTGTTTACAAGATCGAGAATCTTTCAGTATCTTAGGGTCATTACTAGCCATGTACCATGAACGTATGGAAACTTCAGATAATGGAGAAATTCGAAAGAAAACAGCAAAGTTTAATTTGTTCATCATTATCGTTATCCAAAGTACTTCTTGGCTATGTGTCAGGGGATACTGACGTTGCATGAATAGCACTATAAAGTCCATCACTCACTTTTAACCGTGTTCACACACAGAGCTACATGGCTACCCTATAAAGAAAGAGGAATTTACTTGTCTATTGCTGATGGTCAATTTCTCCAGAAAATGCCGAAGGACTGTTGATGGATCTTCAATTAGACAATTCCATAAGACTTGTTGGGCCACGGCACTTACTTTAGGAGAGAAAGGAAATTGAACACTTGTCTTAAATGGAAATAAACCTATAAGATAAAGTATTCAAACAATTTACTAAGCTTTGATTAGTCTCTCTAAAAGCTTTGCCTTAAAAAGGTTCTGTGAATTCTTTTTTTCTATTGAAAGGTAGAAACCTTTTGTTGTTTCTGAACATTTTAGCCAATAAAGGAAAGGTGAAAAAAGAGTATAGGATGGTCTTTAAATATTAGCATTGTTTTAGTAAAGAATGCATTTGTGATATACAATGGAATATCATTCAGCCATAAAAAAGAAGGTAATCCTGCCATTTGCAACAATATGGATGGACTTTGAGGGTGTTATCCAAAGTGAAATGAATTAGACAGAAAAAGACAAATACTGTATAATCTCACTTACATGTGGAATCTAAGAAAAACCCAAACTCATAGACACAGAGAGCAGACTGGTTGCTAGAGGCATGGGGTCAGGGTGGAGGGGATGGGTGAAGGCAGTCAAGTTACAAACTTCCAGTTGTAAGATAATAAATCCTGGAGATGTAATTACAGCATGGTAACTAAACTTAACAATACTGTATTGCATATTTGAATGCTGTTAAGAGAATAGATTTTAAAAATTCTCCTCCTAAGAAAAAAACTGTGACTATGTATGGTGATGGATGTTAACTAAACTTATTGTGGTGATCATTTTGCAATATATACATACATCAAATCTTTATGTAGTATACCTAAAACAAGTACAATGATATATGTTAATTATATCTTAAAAATACATTTATGAATCTTTGTTTTGGAAATCACCCTCCTATTAGCAGTGGTAAGTATTTATTACATTAAAGTCCTATTTATTTAAATACCATTTATTGTTTGTTGCACGGAGAAATTTCTAATTATTTGGTTTTTAGGAAATATGTCTCAGTTTAAAATGCATATGAATTAGAGATGACCTTTTATTGTTCACATGAATACTTTAAATAGTAATTCCTTCAGCAAGATAAAATAGTTGAGCCAGTAGTAGTTATGGCTCCCACTTCTAATAAAAATGTCTTAGGAATAAATGTGAAAGAAAGTGCCCTTTCTTTGGGGAAGGTGGTCAGGCTAAGATTGCCTAGAAGTGACCAGGCTAAGAAAGCAGGTGGGTAAAAGTGAGTGGTGGGGAAGCACTGTATGATCTTCAGTTTAAATGGTTTAATTAGCTTAGTTTTCTAAACTAGGAATATAGAATTTAGCATGAATTTATCTTTCAGCTGATATTTTAAATAAATGCTACCTTTCCTTTGCTTCAGATGCTAACCATCCAATTAAAATTGAGCTATATAAATAAATAATATTAACAAGATATGTCTAAATGTAAGATTTAGCTTTCATGTATCTTTATAAATAATTAAAATAGATGTGGGTTTTCGTTAGGTTGAAACTGGTTGTAAGACTATCTATATAATACAATTTTTATTCTAATTGATGAGGTAAGGCAGTTTAATGCTTAAAACATGAAAAATACAGAAAAAGACAAAGAGAAAAATAAGACTGGTAAGTCTACCAACCATCAAAACAACCATTAACATTTTAGAGTATGTCCTTTCATGTACATGAAATATATATTTACATGTAGTTTAAAATAACACCATGTAGAAAATATTCTCTGGTACTCAGTTTTTTATTTAGCAATAAACTGAACACTTTAATGTTAATATTTTAGAATATTGTTTCTGATGTGCACAGAATGCTGTCTTATGGAAGTACCATGATTAACTAATTACATATTGTTGGATATTTAAACTCTTTCCAAATACTTATTATTGTCATAAACCTTTATTCAGTCCTCATTATTGCCTTAGGAAATTGCTAGAAGTCAAATCTATGTCAAGGGGTGTTCACACTTTCAAGGTTTTTGATGCATACTGAGAAACTGTTTCAGAAGGTTTGCACTGAGTATTATACTGCCATCAGCAAGGTGTGAGGATGCACTTTTAACAACATTATTTACAGATATTATTAGCCATTGGATTGTTTGTTTATATCCTTTGTCCATTTTTCTACTGGGGTTTAAAAAAGTCATTATTGAGTTATAAAGGCTTTTTAAAACTAACATTAAGAATATTAACCTGGTATCATTTTATTTTTCAATTCTTCTCTTTAGATAGTACCTCTGGGAAGGTAATCAAGTGAGAAAGGTGGCATTAATGATGTCAAGCCAATAGTTAAGATTTCTAAGATGGCCCAAATCACTATGTGATTTCTATATTGCCAAATAAGTGTTGTTCTGTTCTCTGTTCACAAACAATGCTCCTGGACTGGATTCCATATTTTGAATGGAATTTCTTGGTCATAAAGTTTGTGGGAGGAAGGGGTAGAGAAAGTGATAGTGTTAGTCCCATGTACTACAGATCTATAATTATAATATATGCATAAAACAACTCCACATATGCTAGTGGTTCATGTCTTCAAAAGCACCCTACTGTCTTTATCAGATGAACACCGTAAGTATTTATTAGACTTATTGATAGTTTTACTGGTCAAAACTGTACCTGCTACTCCATCTTCCCGCACCTCACCATCCTCCATCAGATGAACAATGGGGAGCACTGCTGCACAGATGCATGCTGGGAATACTGCCTGTGGGGGCTGAGGTACATGGTGGTTGGGGGTGTGTTCGGTGGTGTGCTCCTCATCTGAAGAGGGAGACATAATTGGGGTGCTTTTCCTCAGTATTGTAGTTCTAATGCAACAACACTTCTCAGTTCAAGACCTACCTATTTAACATTCTTTTCTGTATAGATACCTAGTTCTTTCCCCACTGAATTTTCTCAGCACCCTTTTCAAACACGGAATCAAGACACATGTGATGGTCAACCTCTGGTTGCTCAATTCTATACCACTGATCTGTTTGTCAATCCATACGCCAATACCACACAATCTTGATTACTGCAGCTTTGTAGTAAGTTTTGAAATTAGGAAATGTGAGTTTTCCAACCTTGTTCTTCATTTCCAAGATTATTGTGGCTACTCAAGGGCATGGAGCAATCAGAACCCTCGTACCTTTTGGTAGGAATGTAAAATGATACAGACACTTTTTGAAAATAGCTTGGCAGTTTTCCTCACAAAATCTATACATAACTGTTCACAGCAGTGTAATTCATAATAACCCAAAAAGTGGAAACAACCCACATTTCTACTAATGATGAACTGATAAAATGTGGTGTATCCATATAATGGAACATTATCTGGAAATGAGAAGGAATGAACAACTGATACCTGTGACAACATGGATTAATTTTGAAAATATTATGCTGAGTGAAAGAATCCAGTCACAAAAGGTCATGTATGGTATGATTCCACTGATATGAAATGTGAAGAACAGGCAAATCCATAGAAATAGAAAGTAGATTACTTCTTGTCAGGGGTTGGGGGAAGTAGTGGATGAAGACTGACTACAAATGGGTATAGGACCTCTTTTGGGATAATGAAAACATTCTAAAATTAGGTAGTGGTGACAGTTGTACACTCTACCAATATACTAACAGTTACAGCATTATATACTTCAAAAGGGTGAATTTTATGGTATGCGAAATATATGTCAACAAAGGTGTTATAAAAAAATATAGATGTGCCGTGGGCCCATCCCCATAAGTTGTGATTAGCATTGGTCATTTTTGAAGTTCCCCAGTGCAGTGAAGGGTTGAGAACCACTGGTTTCTGTATGACTTTTGGATGACTTAACAAAGCAGTGACAAAATTCGTATAATCATGAAGCAACAAGTCCCAGACAGTTATTTATCATTAGAGAAGCACAATTTAAAAATTCCTGGAACTGAAGAGGATCACATTTTCCCCTGGAATCAGATTTTATTACAGGAGTAGCAACAGCTTCGTTCTTTCTTTGATTGTTAAATTACTCCAGTATAGCATCCTAAAACATCCTACTGAGTCTTAGCTCACACTGGAATCACCTGAGCAGATTTTTAAAATATTGATGTGATGGGTCCGACCCTTAGACGTTCTGATTTGGTCTTGGATGTGACCTGGACCCTTTTTAAAACTTCCTTGGTTGACTGTAATGTGAAGCTAGGGTTAAAAACTGTTAACTTCTGAGAATAATGTTTACTGGACCCTCAGCAATATGATTATATGTAATGCAGTTAAAATAGAACCAACTTAGCACGGGCATTTGCTGGATTAAATCAACAGTAACTTTTTTTTTTTTAAAGAATACCACACAATCGAATATATATTTTTTAGAACTTCAAAATCATGAGGCAAGTTATTTAATGAAGACAGTATAATAAGGTGAGATAATATCAAATAAAATTGTTTCAAAATGCATCAGTGACGAGAAGTAAAAAACACATTTGTGAGAGGACACACCTTCCGCACTGACGGCTGAACGCACCGACCAGACTGAGCCTCGGCGGAAGGAGTAATTCCTGTGGGAAGTGCTGGAGGTACAGGATGGACTCACAGACAATCGACGGGATGCCAGATTGGTGACTTCTTCTACTGGCAAAGAAAATGGGGAATGTGAACTTTGGTTTTGTAACAACAAAGCTACCATTATCACAACTACAGTTGTACTTACATCAAAGTATATTGCTCTCAGAGCATAAGACTTATTAAGTAATTTAGAGTATTTGAGAAATGAAAAAAAAAAAAAACGTACAGGAAGAAAGACAGAAAATTCCTCCCAAAGATTTCACAAAAGCAGGGCAGAAAATCACTGAGTTTAGAATGGTTCATAAATCATTTTCTGATACCGACCAGCAAACTGTCTGCACTTAAGGTAGAAAGCAGTTAATGGACTAACCCCATTTTGGGGGGTATGTGGTAATTAGGTTTATTTATGTATTTATTTTTTAATGGAGGTACTGGGGATTGAACCCAGGACCTTGTGCATGCTAAGCACGCACTCTATCACTGAACTATACCCTCCCCCAGACTAACCCCATTTTTAATGATGAAAGATTGACTGCATTTACTTTAGCACACACTCTGGATTCAGCTGTTGCCTGAGTCATAGTCACTCACTGCTTGGTCCATTATCATATTGGTTCATTCAGTATAGCTAATGTTCCCCTCTGTAAACAGGCCAACTCTAAACATTCAGAAAAAGACAACTTTTCTCTTTCTTTAGATAGTGTCAGGAGGTGAGAGAGAGAGGGAGCATATCACCTCATGTCACGTAAAATCATCAATGTTTATTTCAAAGCAAGTCCTTTCCCTCTCCTATGACTCAGCCCCCCAAGAAGTCCAGTGTGTAGAGGGCACCTTCTTCTTCTGGCTCTGAGTTGGGTGTGCAGGTGGGCTCATAGCAAGCCTCCTGGGTGATGGGGATGGCAGTGATGAGGCTGGCTTCTCGACCAAGACGTTTCTTCTCTTCTTCCTGTTGTAAATTCTTTAAGATGTGTTCTGCCCTTTGATGGGAGCGGGACACAGCCCGGGCTGAAAAGGATTTCTATGGAGACATGAAGGCAAGTTTATTTACTAGCAATTTTTCTACCTGGTCACAGGCAAAAAGAGTGTTCCAGTAAATAACACAAATGTAGTACTTTGTCCTCAGGAAATGTTAGAGCATCCATGATTTAGTTTCATGGAAATTTATTTGTTTACTTCTTTTTCTACCAAGTTTCTAGGTTGTCTCCAACTAAGCTATTTTTTTTTTCATGCAATCTGAATAATTCTTCAAGACTGTGATTTCTGGAAAGAATCCTATTTTACCTTTAGAATAAAATATCAATGATCCACTCTTTGAACACTGACAACAAATAAAAAATTTTAATATTCTGTTTCTTTCCAAAATTTCTTAAACTGGTTTTAAATGAAGGACATTTATTTTGTAAGGTTAATAAAAAAGAAAGTCAGAACCATGGGAAGGAGGAAGAAAGAGATCTATCTCTCATATGAAACAATTAATTATGTGATTTATTTTTGTATCCTAAATACCTACCACATTGTAAGTACTTAATATTGAAAAAAATATTAATATCAAATAATATTAATAATATTGAATAATATTAATAATAGAAAATACAGTGGCACACTGTAAATACTTATCAATATTTGTGGAAACAAAGCTATTGAGTGGAAACCATGAGAGTTGATAGTGTTGCTAAGTTTGAATGTAAAATCGGACTCTGTTTACCAGCAGCAAAAGCGTAACAGATGAGGAACACTAAAGGAGAGAAGATTCACTGTGAGTTGCCATTCTATTTGTGCCTTAATCATGATGCTTATGCTAAGACAAATTCCAAGAGCTTGGGGAGTGAAGTCATTGGTCCCAGAGCAGGGAAGTGATCACTGAAGTTCCTGACTACCAATGTGAAGTGATGTCTGTGTACAACAGCAATTCTACATCTCCTTGTTGGCCAGTAGTTACATAGGATTTTAGAGACAGACCAGAGGTGGTGATGACTCTTTTAAAGGACTATAGTCAAAGAAGCTCCCTTTATGCAGAATCTTAACATAAGACTAAAGATTTCCTATAATGAATGACACACAGCAGTTAAGGGCATCTGATGAGCCACATGGCAATTCACTTTTAGAGCCAGGGGTTAAGTTGATTCATTATAATATAAGGGAAGAATTATAGAATAAGAAAAAACTGGATATAGAAGCAGGGAACTTGGTTTGAAATTCACTGTGAACTTGTGAGAGAAAACGTACTTGGCTCAGATGAATCTATCACATGTATGGAAGGAAAAACCAAAGATATTTATGCCAGTGGTCCAGATGCTAGAATTACTGCATGTATGAGGGAGGAACCAAGTATGCCTTTCTCTTTGGCACAAACTATCAGATATGAAGGTACCGTATGCAAAAGAATTAAAATAAAATATTTTGATAAGTAGAGAGGTCAAACAGTTCTCCAAAGAAAACTATAAACATCTAGAAAATAAACGCTGATATGCAAAAATATTCAACCTAACTTGATATATTCATCCAACTTTTTAAAGAAGTGTGAATAAAAAGCCAATAACTTTGTTTTTGCCATTCAGAGTGGCATTAAAAAGTAACGCTAGTTAATTTGAATAAAGAAGACGTTTCCTATTCTGTTGTATAGGGTAAAATGGTGCAATCATCCTGGGAATACTTTGTGAGATGTATCAAAAATCTTTAAAATTATATACCAGTTGCCCTATATCCCATGGGAATTTATGCAATGAAATACTCATGGATTTGTGCAAAGAGATGTATTCTTTTTCTATTTTTTATTTTCTAAATTTTCTACATTACTCTTGTAATTTAGAAAAATGCCACTCACCAGATGAAAGAGGCATATTTTGAAGATTCATTTTTTTAAAAGGCACATATCCTTGGTCCTTGTTTATAAAGAGACTGTGTTCTAAACTCAACTGTTTATGAATTGTATTTATATAGCAGTGAAATATTAGAATAACATAAGACCAGAGGCCTCAGAGTGATGTTTCTGATGATGATACTGATGATCAACAAGATAAAGAAGAGAGTAAGGCCCAAACAAGGAAAAACAAGAGCTGTCAATTCAGTTCTTTAACTTATTCATCCAGGGCCAATCTCACTAACTGTTGGGTAGCTTATGTAGGTTAAATAAACTGTTCTGTAATAGAAGCAAAAGTGCTACCTTTGACTAAGAAATCAATGCCTAATACTCTTAATAGCTTTATAAGGTGGCTGCTGCTTTGATTATAGAACAAAACTGTCTTGGTTTGGAGGTCTGCAAATGCTCACTCCCAGGTGTTAGTTCCTTCTATTCTGTTTCACAGGAACTAAAGGCCTTCTGTGGCTGATTTTCTGTGCTGCTGTTACCTTCTTACAACAAGACCAAAAAACTGGCTCACAGATTCATTGCTCGTCTCTCTCACATGTACATCACACAGTCTGAGGATCTGAGAAAGAAAGTGCCTGTTACTCACAGACTGGTCTTCATTAATGGGGTCCTGGACACTCCCGCTGCACTGAGGGACCCAAGGGGGGTCAAACATCGGGACGGATGGCATTCCAAGCACTGGCGAGGGCAGGGTGAAGTTTATACTGGGAGGCGGGATCTGTCAGTGGATATCAGAAGAATGATTTAAGATGGAAAATAAGCTAAAATGAGTCTGAAGTATAATTATCACAATCTTACAGAGCACAGGATGTTATAAAGCACCATGTGAACCTCTCTGGGTCTCAGTTTACTCACTAATAAAATGAAGGGTTTCAACTATATGATCACTATTTGTGTTAATCACCCCATCCTTCAAAAAACACCTGTGTATACAGCAGAATGTCTGGAAGATTATACTCATATTTTTATGTGCTTACCTCTTGGGATGGTAGTGAGAACTTAAGGTTCACAGAAACTTGATTTTCTTACTCTACATTCTTTATATTTCAATTTATAAAGAACAAGAATTCACAATTATATGAGTCAGGTTTACTTGTATAATAAGAGAGAAAAAAAGGAAGCATCACTTGGGCCATACACTGTGGATTTGAGGTTCAAGGATTGAAACAAGCCTTGGGTCAGGTTTGTTAATCTCATTCGTGTGTGTGTGTGTGTGCGTGTGCGTGTGCGTGTGCGTGTGCGTGTGTGTGTAGTACCCCTTTTGTGGAAAGTATCCCTTACCTTAAAAATCTGCTGTGCTCCCTCCTCCATCCGGGGCCAGACCTGATACCGAAACCTCCAGAGCGTGTGGAACTTAAGGACAGCGTTCAGCCTCTGCACGGTCTCTGGGTGGTGGAACTCTGACATCAGCATATCAGACACAGCTTCGGGGACTTTCACCGCACACAGTAGGAACATGGCAGCTAAAAACCATCAACAATTCATCAGCACACATCTTTTAATTTTGCATGATTCCTGGGGATGGGGAGATGCTGGGAACTGCTCCTATCTCCTGAAAATGACTACTGAGCTATAGAGCCAGGCCACCAGCATTGGCAAAAGCAAACCTTGTTTCAGCCACTGGAAACCAGACATCATCCTTTGTGCCACCCACGATCTTCCAGTATCTGATGCAAGGGCAGTGACAGCATGACATTTCAGTAGAATAACTCATTCTGAGCAAAGTTTCCCTTGGCTCACAGTGAAAAGTGAATGCCAGAGGAAGCAAACGACAAAAGGAAATTACATACTGAAATATTTTCTTTAGGAAATGGCTAGAGTCATCTCAGAGTAACCCTAGGACAGTATCTAAAAATGTCCATTAAAAACTGTCTCAGTTACATTCGTTATATTAAAAATAAAATTCATTATATAGACTCTTATTAGAAACTTCTATCCTTCCAAGAGGTAGAAGAGATTAAGAAACTAAAAGAGGTTTCACGAACCATTATACCATTGTTGTTTTTTAATCTGAGGAAAGCCAATATCAATAAGAGAAAGGTGCGTACCCTGAAAAGTCACAATGACACTGAATAAGGAGGAAAAAAAATCACTCTAGAGTGTAGATGGAGGAACCAGTGTCGATCATAAAAACATAACTTAAAATCTCTTGTGCTTTTTTCAAGATCCTCGAAACATCGTCAGGCAATGGTGTTAGAATCACTGGGGTTGAAACCCAGCTGAAACTTCTCTGCTATCAACCTTGGCCAAGTCTCTCTACTTCTTAGCCTTTGTTTCTCTATTGAAAATGTCAATGATGATGATGATGATCATAGCTGCCTCCAAATCTGTTGTTAGAATAAAATAAGACAATGTATAAAAAGGTGTTTTGTAACATGAAAATTACTACAGAATTCTAAAGTGTATTTCATTTTTTAGAGGGAATGTGGTGTATGGAAAGGGCACCTACTTATAGTCAAAAGATCTGGGTTTGGTTTCCTGGCTCTGTTATTTCTGAGCTGTGTGGACTTGGTTAAAAGTCCTTTTCAACCTTCTGAGCTGCAGTCTGCTCATTTACAAAATCACTGTTATGAGGATCAAGTAAGCTAATGTGTGTGACATAGTTTGATGACAAATGTCAGCTACCATCATTGGTAGCTTTTGGTAATCCCCTTTTTTAATCCTACCACCTCCTCAAATCACCACTATTTGTCCCACCTTTACTTTTCTTTGAAGTGTACTCTATTCTGTCTCAATTTTTAAACACCATGGTCACTCTCTGAATCACGGCAGTTGGAGTTCTACCTCCATCTCTTTACTGAAGCAGTGTTCTTGTAATGCTCATTCATCAATAGATCCAGTGGTCTTTTTTAGCATTTGTTTCCTTTCAGTTTTTAACACCTTCATAATGATCTCCTTGAAAACTATCTTCCTTTTCTTCCATAGTTTGTGATTATTTAAGTTCTACTTTTCTGCTCTTCTGAGTTTTGCTGGCCAGCAATTCTTCTTGTCCTCAGAAGGCAGAGAAGGCCAATGGCTTTGTGCTCATCACTCAGCTCCCTCCTCTCTGCTGATTCTCCCCTGAAATTATCCACTCTCATTGCTTCAGCTGCCACATATATCCAGTTTTCCCCAAGCTTATCCCTAGCTTTGGCCTTTGTCATTAGCTTTAGTGTCATATCACCAATGATATGTCTCATCATCATCTAAAAATCACTGTTTCTAAAACTGAACTACTCCACTGCCACATTAAACTTGGTAATAATTCATACAATCTCAGTCCCATTCATTTGCTTAATATACTATGGACTAGCGACCTCCTGACAAAAGCCACCCCAGTCTCAACTCCTCCTCAGGCTTTCCAAAGAAACCCAGGGCATTTCCACACCCCACGTAGCTCTGCACACACCATTTCCTCTTCCTTCTAGCTTTTCCTAAAGCCCAGTTCACCTGTTTTTATCTTCTACAGGAGTTTCCATGGCTATCCCATATTTAGGGAGCATGCCCTTCCCTGAACTTCTGCAGCCCTCTCTGAGAAATATATGGTACAGAAGCAAAAATCTGAGCTTTAATGTGAACAAAGATATTTCATAAAGACATTTATTGCAGTGTAGTATAGAAGAGCAAAAGGCTGGAATGGACTCATTTTTTAAAGGTAAGAGGGGAAATTATTTTTCCTCCTCTACAGTTCTTGGTGACCAGGATGAGACCCACTGGGACACCTCACTCACTCTGGAGCCTGCAGACAGCATCCTGGGAAAATTGGCAGAAGCCAGCAGTGGGTAAGAATGTTTACTAAAGTCAGCTCCCCTAGATCTTTATCTGGTGCCTGGTTCAGAAAAGAAAGTAAAATTTCACATTGTCCCTTCCTTTCCAAGTTGGCAGGGAAAAAAAAAAAATTGTTATTGATCCTTTCTCTCCCAGGGACAGCTACTGCCTTCTTGTTCATTTCATTTTCCTTTTTGCCCTGAGAACTTGGCTTGGCAGTCATCAGATTGGAGGTCCCCAAAATCTAGCCAGACAGAAATGTGGGTTACATTCCATTTGTGGCCAGGGTCCTACTATTGCCAGCTCTCAGGGGAACTGTCTAAGTCTTTCTTTCTTTTGGTTATCTTTGGGAATAGCTCTGGATCTTGTGTTCGTGGGATTATTCGATATTGCCAGAAATATTTACTGTCTGTCCCACTCAAACCTGACAAGATATTTGACTGTTTTTTTTTTTTTTTTTAAGTAGCTCTACAGTCAGAAGTTAGCCAAATTGGAAGCAGATATTTAGAGCCTGATAGGAACTATTTTTCAGGCCTTCTCCTCCAAGCTAAAATAAAGCTATGTACCCAGAGGGGAAGAAACACATTCCAAAGCCACTGCAGAAGAGTTTACTAAAACATTTCAAAGAAATACAGCGCTAAATCTAGGACACAGAAATCTTTTGATTTCCATCTTAGTTGAAGCTCTGCTCCCTGATATAAAGAAGCAAACTGAGAATAATGTAGTTGGATGGTTGGGTCAGCATCTTGATAGTCAGGCTGCAACCCAATTCTGTGAAGAATTAAAAACAACTGTACTTGTCTAACAGAGTAAGTCTTTATAAGAACAATGTGGCTCTAGAAACAACTCAAAGTCCACTTATCCTTTTTACCAACCCCAAAACCTCTGCTATTTATCTCAAAGGACTTGCAGATATTTAAAAAAGAAAATCTGGATTTAGGAAACAAAAGCCTTTCTTGGAGAAATTTACATCTTTTCTTTGTGATTTTGAGATGTAAATGTTCTGTCTGGTCTTCTCTGGGAACCCAAATCCATCCCTTGAAATGCAAACTTCAGGAAAGTAATTTTTATCAGAAAAAAAAGGGAGCTATTTGGGAAATCAGGTGAATGAAAAATCTTAAGGTATTTTCCACAAATATTAGTAAAAGTTTTAGCCATCTGAGCAGGTAAATCTAACTTATTTTACTTGCCAGGAAGACAATTTAGATCAAATTGTTCTTTTATAAACTAGTCAGTTTTGCATTACCAGACCTGTCTCATGGCTGAAATTTTAAAACTAAAGCTTTAAGATCTTTGCATCTGTCTGTATGTTAATATGTGTCTATGTTTGCATGTTACAGATGTGTGATATTTTTCTACTTTCAGATGGTATTGCCAAGATTAATTTATGAGGAGCTCTATTAATTGACTTAAAGACAAACAAGCATCTATATAAATCAAGTATTCCCTCAGATATATAGGAACTAAACCAGATGTTTTTCAAGTTCATGTGATATAGGATAATCTTTTGAAAATAAAAGCTAGTTAAAGTTTGTTGGTTTAATTAAAACTGGCATGTCTTTAGAGTTATCAGCATTAAATATAATACTTTAATTGGACCTAGGTTTACTAAAAGTCAAACAAGCTCATGTTGTTATACCATTTGTCAGCAAGAAAGATAACTTGATAGTTAGCTGTTTAATGTCTTATGAAATTTTCATGAGTATTCTAAACATAATTATTAAGAACAAATGAATTAAATAGATGAAGGATGAATGTGTATAAACTTTTCAACATTAAAATTTATAGTATGTCTACTTAAAAATAGTTTCTGAAATCTTTTTGGTAACTTGAAACCTTTTAGTTATATTGAGATAAGTTAAATGATGGTTATTCATTGACTATCTAGGTCATTTCCAAATAAGATAAAATTTTGAAACATTAATTACTGAACATAGCTTTATCTACTTCTGGCTTTCTAGAAATCTGTCAGTACTCTCATTGCCCAATTATTATCCTAAATTATTGTATGCCACAGAAATAACTACATTTCCTTATCAAATGAATTTTCATCAGATCTTTCACCATGGCCATTTTTTAAAAGTCTTTTTGTCATTTACAGACAGTTGTCATTTTGCTCTGATGCTTTTGCAAAGGTGCTTTTTCTTCAGAGAGATTCATGGAAATGACTCTAAGAGCTACTCTAAAAAAGTAGGTTTCTGGTTAACTGTAAGATCATAAAACTGAACTGAATAAAAATTTCCAGAACTAATGAAAAAACTGGATTCAAGCAGAACAAATATTAATAATATGGGATTGAATAAGCTGATGAGGGTAATTATAATTTTTTTATAACTTTTTCTTTGAAACATTGCTGGTTCCTTAGTATTTTGTTTTCCCAGACTTAAGGAAATATTTTTCTTTTTTCTCTTAAGCTTTCTATGCCTTACAATAATTCTGTAAAGTATATTTCTGTAAAATAATTTTGTAGAGTATATTACTTTTTATCCCTATCTGATCTCTCCAGAATTCAGAAACATATTGAATATTTTTATATTTATGGCAATATAATTATTTGCATAAATTCAATAAAAATCTGTTCTCCTTATAACAAGACACAGTTGGGAACACTGGTTATATTACTAAGGCTTTATTGGAATTGGAATATCATATTTGAGAATATGCATAAAATCAGGTATGACCAGTTTTAAAGGGCTAACGTTGATTTTATGGAACCAAGAAAAGCCCAAGGGAAAACCGGCCGGGTACCTTGCTTATAGAGTTCCCTGTAGCCTTACCAGGTGAGTAAGGAAGGTAACTTCCTGGCAGGCCAAGGAACCTCAAGATATTTGAGGGATCTCAAGAATAGAGGAATTCACCCAAATCTGTAGGTGTGCCAGGTGAAGTCTGATGGTACGTTCTTGGCTTGGCTTCTTAGCCTGGAGAGGCTTTTAAAAGTCCAAACTAAGATGCTTTAGGAAAAGTTTCAGTAAAACAGATTTTAAAAGAGCCTATATGTAAAGAAAGTTGAAATCCTGCCATTTGTGACAACATGGATGAACCCTGAAAGTATTATGCTAAGTGAAATAAGTCAGATGGAGAAAGACAAATACTATATAATTTCAATAATATGTGGAATCTAAAAACACAAAACAAATGAAAAAACAAAATAAAACAAAAGCTCATAGATGCAGAGAACAGATTAATGGTTACTAGAGGGGAAGTGGGTTGGGAGGCAGGCAAAATGAGTGAAGGAGGTCAACTGTACGGCGACGGATGGCAACTAGACTTGTGGTAAGTGATCACTTTGTCATGTATATAGATGTAGTAATGCTGTACACCTGAACCTTACATCATAATAATAAAAAGAGAGGCTATATGGTCAATCACTATTCTCGCTGTATTTGTGTAAATAATCAGGCCAAGTTTAATGAGATGAGACTTACTTTGCAAACAAACTAGTCTCACTGTGATTGTCTCTGATAGAAATAAAGGTGATTGTGGAGGAAAAGATTATGTTTCAGTAGGAAACGATAACACAGCCTTGTGGATAACAGATTCTGGTCCCGTACGTTATCTTTGAGGTTTTGTTATATAACTGTACACCAAACTGAATTCCACTTTCTTCTATTTTCCTCAAGTATCTCCTTATAATTCTCCAAACTAATGTTTCTAATTGTTTCCCACCCTTCTGATTTGGAATCACTAAGAACAAAGACTGCCTTTGAGCCTCCTTGACGGGACCACAGTAGGCCCTCCTCACTACCCAGATATCAGTCATACTTAATGGACTTGAACCTTGGGTCCACATCCCTCAATTAAAAAGGCTCTTCCAAGCTCTTGGAACTACACACCAGCTGGAGATCTAAAATGAAAATTGACTAAGGAGGTTCCCATCCAGAAGCATATGGTACCTTGTAGTGAACAGATCTCCCAAGCACACAGATCAAGATCTTTATCACCAGTGTGAAATGTTTATTCCTTCTGCCTTTTCACTAATTGCTTTTCTCTGTTAACGCACAGGAAGACAATGCTCCTTAACTCTGGCAACTGTTGATGAATGTATATAAGGCTACAACTGCATAACAAAAGACTCAAGATTTTCTTGTTAAGGTGGATTTAGATAATAGAACTGCTTTAGATTACTTATTGGCTGAACAAGGAGGACTCTGTGTCACAGCAAACGCCCCCTGCTGCGCCTGGATCAACACCTCTACTGTATCGTAGCAAATATAGAAAGTGAACAAACAAGCCACTTGGCTAAAACAGGTATATTCTTTGGTTTATTTGATTCTAACTGGTTTGGTTCACTGGGGCCCTGGCTAAGGAGTACACTTCAGTCTCTTGGTATTATTCTCCTAATAGTTAACATTACAGTCTCTCGTCAATTTTTCGCATGTGAGAGGATGACCAACAATTATGAAATTATTTTGAAAAGGAAGCCATTAGACTGAGGTGGCTCTAATGACATGGCAGCTTACATAAGCAAACCCAAATCTATGCCTGTAAACCCGTCAAATCAAAATGCTATGGACAAACAATTACAAGAAGCTAACTAGGTTTTAAGTTATAGCTAATCAGTGATTGTCTTTCTTTGCTTCTGCCTTTTCTCTGTAAAAGTCTTTCTCTGAGCTACTCTTGGTAGAGTGCTCCTAACTACTTCTGGTTTGGCACTGCCTGATTAAAATCAATTTTTGTTCAAATAAACTTTTAAAATTAAAAAAAAAAGTTTCCTAGATATAAACAAAAAATGCAAAGTACAGAAGTCTTTATGGTATGTCCTATTTGTGTGAAAAGGGAAACATGTAATACACACACACATACTTAGGTATATACATGTGCACAGGGTACCCTTGAAGGTTTCCTGGGAAATTTAAAAATTGTCACCTCTGAGAAAGGGGACTGGGAATCATGGGAAAGAGGGTGATACTTTAAAACATCATACACTTTTATACTATTTGAATTTTTACCATGTGCATTTTTCAACTAAAATAACTATATCAAACTAAAGGAATATGTACAAAAAGTGGTAAAAGGTGAAGAACTCACATTTTGCATCTACCATTTACAAGCTATGTGGTTTTGGACATGTCACTTAAATTTCAACAAATCTGTTTTGATATTGTAATTTGGACACAGAATATGACTCGCAATAAGATATAATAAAGCTAACACTGGTAGTTCATGGTTGATCTAGGAAGTCACAACATACAAAAACAATTTATCTTTTGTGAAATATAGTGAAAATGTAGATTCCTGAGGAAATCATGCTTTATAATTTGGTAGTATCCCGGGAGAGACATACTGCTCTTGTGCAAACTACACAGTGAACTGAAAGGGGTGCACGTAGAGCCCAGTCCTGTTTCCCCGTGGTGCATGGCTCTGTTTAGAGTCCTAGCCATTGCTACCAATCTGACCCAAGGGTGAAAACGGAATGATGTGCTTCTCTATTATTTAAATATGGGGATGAGTGGCAGCAGGACCAGGATCCTGGGTAGTCTTTCTCTACCTGCCGCCCCTGCCATGTGCTCATCCATGCTGAGCAGGAGCTCCCAGGCAGCTGGCTGGATGTCTCCATACATCTCCTCTGTCAGAATTGGTGCCGCCTTGATTAGCAGAGATAAGGGAGCAGGAGACAGGCTCATCACCTGGGAAAAGATGGAAATGATGTCTTAAAATCTTTGAAGACACTGATTGCTGTACTCTTGAAAATTAAGTGCCACCCCCTCCCTCTGCTTTCCTTAAATGACCTTAAAGTCCTTTCTAAAGTGGGAGCACATTTATTGGCATAACGTATAATAAGCCTTAAATCTTATTAGTTGATGCATAATTACCAAGAATTACACTAATTTTATAATGCTGTCACCATAAAAACTAATGTGCAACCATCTAGGGAATAAACTGTAGAATCAGTATAGTACCATGAGGGAAAAAGGACTCCAGCCAAAGTATCTTTGTGTTAAAAGTCCTGGTGGACTTTTTCATAGCACCTTATTTTCCTTCCTATGGGAGTTGATTTCCACTGGAAACTGTGAGCAGCCTCTAATTTATAAAGGAGTTCCATTCAGAAAGTTACTTTTCTAAACCAGTGAACTTGGATGGCTTTTTCCCTTCAAAACATTATACACTATGGTTACTGCCGCCCAGATTAGCCCACAAAGTCCTATTTAATCTATTATTTCAAATAATTTAGGTGATAAATGTAGGTTCTGGGCAAATTAAGTTTTAACCATCATTTAAAACACCTTCTACAAAAATATGAAACTTTTTTTTCTTTTCCCCTGGGGAAATGTATTATGGTTTAGAACTTAGGTTGTAATATAACAGTATAACAACATGTCAAGCCCTGGATAAGTAGGTAAGTGTACTGTCTTTTTTAATCCTTTGGGATAGGTCTAGTGTTATAATCCTCATTTTAGAGATTAGGCAACTAAAACTGAGAGAAATTAAGTAACTTGCCCACAGTCTCAGAACCAGAGCAGTAGACATGGGATTGGAACCCAGACTGTCTCATTCAGGACCTGTGAGCATCACTACCACACGCTGGTGGGAAGCTGGCATCCCTGGACTGTGTGCAGAGACTGGTTCTAGCCAAGCTCCCCGAGCCTTGTCTCTATGCAAGCTGGCTGTCCAGCAAGAAGGGATTTTTTCCTTGCACACTTGGTGGCACTCTTGCTCATCAATTAGAGGAGACTTTATGCCAATACTGGGGCAATTGGCATTTTATGCCCCAAACATTAGTAAACAGGCTATCTGGAGTCCCCTCCCTATTACTGCTCCATGAATGTTTCTGACCCACGTGTCAATACCTGTAGTCTGATGTATTTCAGCATTCCAGAGTCCTTTTTCCCTTCCAGGTTGGCATCTGAAACTCTCTTCTTCAGAGAAGGTGTCCTCAGGCATGATTTATCTGAGCACTGAGAAAAATATGAGATAGGTGATGAAGAGGGTTGTGCTCTCAAAAACCAACAAGTGTTGTTTCCCCTCCAAATTCTCCAAACAACCAACTTCTTCTAATGGAACAGATGATTTAACGCCTTCTTATGGGCCCACATTTTCTGAAAGTGATAAAAGCAGTTAATTTTGTAATGAAAAGGGAGCTTAGGAATATTTAGCAACAAATCCCTCTTTTGCCGCCAAGGAGACTAGGATCTAGACGAGGGTAGTAGCCTGCCCAAGGTTCAAAGCTGGTCATCAGCAGAATAAGGAAAGGACAGGATCCCCTGATTTCCATTTCAGGGCAAATTATATTCCATCAAGCTGTTAAAATCACAAATCTTTTAAAATGTTGTCAGTTAAAATCCACGCTCTCTCATAGTCCTTTCACAGGGTTGGATGTCATAAGTTGATCATTTGGAGGAAAGAAAATATTTCACACAGACATGTTAGGAAGTGAAAGATAAAAGACTCTTATCAAGGAAACATGAATTCAGAGCATCCATCATCCAGGTGGAGTGACTTCATTAAAAATCATACTTGGCAGCTCCTCTTTCAAACTGACCCCTCAGACCAGGGTCCAGAATAGGCCGGACTCATCTGCACACACACGGAGTAGACAGTATCCCCCCGACTCCCTAAATGCCAAGAAATGGAGTAGACAGAGCAGCTGGGAGAATGATCGCTCCCAATGGCGACAGGCCCTTGTTTATTTATCCTGAGTCCTGATTCCTCTTATTTTTGCACTTCAGGCTATTCAAAGAGGGAATCCATCCCTTTGCACAGTATAAATGCTCATTTGTTTTTCCAGCGCCATGTCAATGAAACACTTTCTCCCTCAATGCCAAGGGAAAAAACTAAGCTCCTTAAGAAATTTTGAACAGAGCTTTACAGTGTTATAGATGGAGATATTTCAAAAGAAAAAGCAAATCTAAAAGTACATGCATGTTCCAAGAAAGCCTTTCAAAACTCTGACAAAAAGGCCCAAGACAATGCATCTGTTATGTGACTGGGAGGGAATAAACTTTTAAATGAATCTACTTGGAAAGAAATGAATCAGAGCTCTTGCTGTGTTTTCTAAAGATAAAAAACGTGGAGGCACGTACTTGGGAACACACACCATTTGGGGAGAGAAATACTGCATTGCTTTTTTTTTTTTCCTTCTGTGACTGTAAAAGTAATATACAGCACAAATATTGTGCCTATTTTATATAATTTGAAAACTATTCTAAAATCATAAAATCATGGCAATCATTTTACATATAAATGTAGGGGTGTAGTTGACTTTTTTAAAAGCTAAGGTATTCACAAAGTGGAGTCTTTTTGCTTTTATTCTATTTATAAAAAATACATGTAAATTGTAGAATATCTGGAAAATACAGGAAAAACTATGAAGAAGAAAGCAAAAGCCCTATAATCTCCAAGTCAGTGATGGCCATTATTTGGTTCCTTTCAGCCTTTTGTCCCCTTCTGCATCTTAGCACAACTGTGACAATGCTATGAACGTGGCACACAATCTTAAACATTTCATTTCACTATGCTTTTATGATGAATACTTCCCCAGGTCATTACAGTAATTTTATTACTTCTTTTTTAATTGAAGTATAGTCAGTTTACAATATTGTGTCAGTTGCTGGTGTACAGCACAATGCTTCAGTCATACATGAATATATATATATATATTCATTTTCATATTCTTTTTCACCGTAAGCTACTATAAGATATTGAATATAGTTCCCTGTGCTGTACAGTCATTATAGTTATTTTAAAATATGATTTTTTAAAGTTTAAAATATTTTATCCCTTTCTCCTTTGGCTAAAGATTTTGTCTTTTCAGGGTTACTTTTGAACAATGCTTTTGATTAATTTATAGGAATTTTAACAAGGTAGATACAGGAAAATACTCAGAAGAACAAGGACACACATTTATGTGTTTCTTATACTCTGGGAAATGTAGGGTTTTGTTTAATCCTGTTTTCTGGGGACAGAAGGTATAAGTCAAGCTTCTCAGATATCAAACATTTAATATCCTGGCATACTTCCTTAAGAAGCATGATGTGTTCTGCTGGCCTCAAGATAATTAGGATGTTTGTTTTAGTGGCAAGGGAGGGGAATTGGAAAGGCTTTTATATTAGGGTGATGGGCTAGTAACTCTTCTAGAGTGACTTGTTCAGGCTTGAAAAGTAGATATTAAAGATGGGTGCATATGTGATGGGCACTTGGATACACTATGTGAAGGTCCTAAAGTCCTCCACTGGTGTGACCCCCAATTCAGGCTAACAAAGATATCAGTTGCTTTTTGCTTTGGTAACTTGGTGTAAAACTTGGCTAGAAGAGAGTAAGAAATGGATGGAGTAGGAGGCTAGTTCTGAAGGCATCTATTGGTTATTAGTCATTCTTGAAGAGTTGGAAATTTCAGTGGACTGCAAGAGGTACATGGTGGTTGGAAATACACATCAAACAGGGACCTATAAAGAAAACCAAGACTAGTAACCCAAGACTAAAGGACAGAATGTATCACTAATAAAGGATGTCATTCACTGTTGAACTGATTTACCATAGGGAGGCAGTTCTAAAGTCCCAAGAGCTGGCAGGGATACTGGGGCATACTTGCTATGGGTGGTAGAACTTGGACTACTGTCATTTTCTTCTACATACATATCTTAGACATATTCCCTATAATTGTCTCCCTATCTTCTCTCCTCATTCTGATACTACTGATTAAATTTACAGTATAAAACCAGCCTACTGCCTGCCAGTGAATTATCACTTGTGGTGTTTGGATCAAAAAGAGGAAGAACTGGTCCCATCAAATTCCTCTCCGAGAGAATTAAGGGACCGAGTCTGATACATTTGGTGATGGTTGCTGGGGCTGAGAAATAATGATGCAACCGGTAGATTTTCAGCCTAAGTACAAGACGAATAAAGCAGGAGTTACTGGTCATAAGTAAGCAGACAGAGATGAAGCAGAAAGCAGCAGAGATGAGGGACGATGTTCATCCGGAGATGAACAGCAGCTTTGGGTCTCATTCCTTTGAGGCTTGACCGTGTTTTCCAACTGTCCCTAGTTTCCTGAGATTCTATTATATCCTTTGAAGAAATTCTCTGATTATTTGAACAAGTTTCAACAGGCTTCTATTCCTTACAACAAAAGATTATTGACTAGAGAGGCATAATATTAACTTAATTACTTTGAGTAAAAATTGTATTTATTCCTTCAATAATTCAAGTATGTTTATTAAGAATTAACCACATGCAGGAACTGGGCCAACTTCTGAGGATACGCTGAGGAGCAAACTCCTTCATGATACTTGCCCTCTTACACAGGGTATCTTACCAGGAGAGACAGCTAACAAACAAGCACACTAACGCAATGTCAAGATAAGCAGAAAAGGAGAGAATGTCATGAATGATGTTGCACTGTGGAAATAAGGAGGTATTTAAAACTTGGGAAAATCGGAGTCAGCCTTTGGGCTCTTTGGGAAAGCGACCGTCTCATGTTTCTGGGAGGAAACATCATGCCAACAGAAGTACAGTATTTCTCCAAAGTTAACCCAGACCTTTTGTGTCTCATATAACTTTGACACATGGGGAATGTATATTATGGTGAGGAGTCATTCTGGCCTATGAAATCAAGACCCAGGGCCTGGTCTTGCCATCACAACTATGTTTTCCATAGCTTTAGAAAAATATTAGTCCTGCAGGAAATCAGCTGACCACTTGCCATTTGAATTGGCTTCACAAAATTTACGGACCCTATGCCCTTGCTTGTTTGGACACATATAACCTTATATCTACCTCTCCTTTTCAACCAGAAGGAAAAAAAAAGTTTTATCTACTCCTTTTTTCATCAGCAGGCACTAACTGAACATTTAATCCATTTAGAGCATGGCATTAGACAAGGTACAGATACATAGGAAAAAGCAAAGAATTCTTTGGTGAATTCACCTTTGGTGAAGGTGAGGTATATGCATATATACATACATAAATACGTGCATATATATGAATAAAAATATATATAATGATAATTATATAATGATAGTTTATAAAAATCTCTCAAGTTTGGAAGTGCATTCAAATAGACTAACAGAATGTACCGTAAGTCTCTGAGCAGGGCAATGTAGATTAGCAGATTGATCAGTTAAATGGGTTACAAAATGTACTAGCTGCTCCAAACATATTCTGCCATAAAAAACAATTAAAAAGGAAATAGGAATGAAATATCAATTGCTCATAAGTCTCCATTTTAATCAGAATCACTGCTTTCATTTTTGATTTATTGCCTACTCTGTTTTCATTTTGGCTCTGGAAACGTGGGCATTGTTCATTTATGTGACAGATTCAGAACAGGCAAATGGAAACATCATGAGACAATAAATATTAAAAAAAAGAAAAAGCTTGAACGAGAGGCTGGCATTCTGGAAATAAACTGCATATCACAGAAGACTCAATATATCTTTTCAGCTCTGCATCTGCATGACTAATTGAAATGCGTGAAGGTTGGGGGAACAGACTCTTGTTTTATTTTCTCTTTCAGAAATGTATGCAATACCTAAGGCTGGTAACCTTTTCTCCTGCTTCAGGCCAGTGTCCTGGCTGGGCCAGAGGTGGAGGGCACTCATGGAACATCCTAGAACTTTGCAGCCCACTCATCCATTCAATAGTATTGGCCCTCTGCTACAGTGAGGTACTCTGTTAGGTACCACCAGGATATATGTGTGTAAGACTGCCTCGGTTCTCAAGAAGTTTGATAATTAAGTGTCAGAGGAGAAATAGGGAGTTAAGTGGCCCCATTTTGCAGGCAGAGTGACCTTGAAACCTCTCACTACTCACAGGATCAAGACTAAAATCCTTCCCATGGCCCTAGGGGCTCACCCTGGTCTGCCCTCTATCTGCCCACAAAGCCTCGTGCTGACGCACCAGTCCTCTGTATTCCCACCATCATCCTCTGAACTCACGTCTTCTTTCTGGTAGGAGAATTCTGTATTCAGCTAACATCGATGTATCCTTTAGTCAAAGCTCGTCTGTCACTTTACTGGAGAGGCTGTCTTATTTCCCCCAATACGTTCAAAGTCTTGTTCAAAAGCTCTCTCAGCACAGGGGGTTTCTCTTTCACTGTGCTTACTGTTGTTGCAATTTTACGTCAGTTTGGAACGTTTCTTTGATTAATGTCCGTCTCTTCAACTAGACTGTGTGCATCATGCTAGGGCAGGGGCCATGTCTCTTTTGCTATTATTATACCCAGCACATGGTGTAGACTCAGCTTGGTCCATAAGATCTTTAAAAATTTGTTGAATAGACACATGGATGGATGGACAAATTAACGAATGAATCACTGAATGAAGAGTGAGAAAAGCAGAAGTAAAACACCACTGCAGTTTAGAGGAAGAAGGAACAGAAAATAACTAATCATCCACCTGCAGTCTGTCCTGTGATGAATGCTAGGGAGATCAGAAAAGGTTTCAGTGAGGAGGTGGCATCTGAGTTGGATCTTGAAGGCTGTTTGGGTTTGGCCACATATGGATTACAGGTGAAGGTGCAGCTGGTGCAAAGTCGTGGAAGTAAGAAATCTCAGAGGTGTATGGTGAACAATGAACATTAATTTAGGCTGGTGTATTTTTATAACTTTCAACATCTATGGTTTTCTTCTAAAGCTAAGGGAGTTTTTATGTGAAGTAGTACTTGCCTAAAAGAAAACAGATTTCCTTTGAATGTAGTGTCATTTATGGTTGAGATACATATGTATGTAAACATGTATGTACATACATACATACACATGTACTCATCTCAACCATAAATGACACCTCTGTACATGTATACATGCATATATACATACATACTTTTCTTTTTATGTCATTATTTAGCAGTTCAAGTAGTTTCTCCACTTGATTTCCTCTCAGAATTTGTGTAATTTGAATACCATGAAATGCAATAAAGTCTAGTTGAAAAAATGAATACTCCATGTTCCTAAATGAAAGTCTAACTGAATGCATTATAGATGTGAACTGTGGACAACTCCACCTTTCTGAACCTCAACATTTTCATCTGTAAAATGAGAACAGTATCTCCTGCACAAGATGTGCAAGAATCAAAAAGTGCTTTGTTAATGATGTATACCTGCCTTAAACTCTCATACATATGCTTAAAAAAAACCCCAAAACTAAAAGATCATATCCCAGAAGGCAAATTAGCATACTTACAAGATGCACAAGATATATATATATATATATTTGGAGCTCTTAATATTAGCCAGAATTTCTTCCATGTACCTGTATTGCTTTCATAATTTAAAAAAAAGTCATTAAAAAATCCCTTTTTTGGCTGTTAAAGCATCACAAATTGCCATACAACTCAACTGTGCCTTTTTTGTTACGGCTCGTATTCTCCAGTTTGATTTGTATTTTATTGCCATCCTCCTACCCCGCCAAACCTGGCTCACAAACTCCTTAGCAGAAAGATCCTCTACTCCTACTTATTTATTTTTTATTTCTCCAAAGAATATCTGGTCTCATATTGTGCCAACAGCAGGTGCCCAATGAATGCTCATCGAAATGAATAGGTATTATATAAAAATCTCTTTGCAAAACCACTTGTGGGAAGCAGCTGCAGGGGCAGCCAGCAGCACGCAGAGGAGCATCTTGGCGATCACGCCTGTTCAGGGGCAGGTGGGTCACTCAGGGCTTCCCTGGCAGCAGCAAGGCAGCCCTGGTTACTGTCTCCATCTCCTGCCAGCTCAGCTGGTCAGTTGTCAGGAAAGCGCAGCTGAATGCTTAGAAAATGTAATCGTTTCTTAAAGAAGTTTCCTTTAGTCTGATTTGAACTAGGTTACTCTATTGTTTATCTCTGACCAACTGGGCCATCTATTACTTATTTCTTAATACGTAACTTTATGGATTTCTTATTAGTGCTGTAACAAATTCCCATAACTTTCTTGTTGAAAAACAACACGAATTTATTACCTTCCAGTTCTGGTGGTCAGACGTCTAAAGTGGATTGGCAGGGCTGTGTTCCTTTTGGAGGCTCTAAGGATCCATTGACTTCCTGGTCCTTTTTGGCTTCTCCAGGCTGCCTTTGCTCATTGCCCTGTATCACTCTGACCTCTGCTTCTGTTGTCACATCTCCTCTGCCTCTGACTACAGTGGGACCATCTGGATAATCCAGGATAATCTCCCCATTATAAGAGTCTTAATTTATTCTCACAGGCAAAATCCCTTTTGCCACGTGAGGTAACATATTCACAGGTTGCAGGGATTAGAATTTGGACACTTTTGGGGGACACTGTTCTGCACACCAGAACAACCTACTTATCACCATCGCCCCTATGAGTTCATATTTATTCACAGAAAAAAGACAAAACCTGGGAAAAGAGTCCATGTTTGCTCATGAACAGGAAGACAAAGCACTTGTCTTTCTTCCACTAATCTTCCATCTTGGCTCAAAATCACACAGATCTGTAGCCTGGTTTATACAACTGCAGTGGGCTGAAATTTGCATTTCCAGAGAAAAGACTGTTAGGACATCATTCTCCCTATCATCGGTACGTTATCACGGGATCATTCACTCACCTCTTTCTGTTTCTTGCCCCGGAGAACCACAGTGCTGACGCTGCTGCTCTCGCGGAGGGAGTCCACGGTGTCTCCGTAGAGTAGCTTGATGGCCCTGACCAGCCGGGCACAGGAGCGGCTGTGGTGCAGGTAGCAGTGAGGGTGGCAGTAGTCAACATGGGTGCAGATGAAGCTTTGCTGATTGCACAGCAAGATCATGACCTGGAACACAGATATCACTGAGACTCAACCAGGCAACCAGGGTACAGACAAACTGTGAACAACTATGTGGGGTGGAAGATGAAAAGTCAAAATGTCAACTTCCCTTAATGGGTCTTAAAACCACAACAATTCCCATAAGAGAACAAAGAGTTACAAGCCTTTATGTACTTGGCTTCTTTTGTTCCCTGGATTTATACATGCTAGAAAGTCCTTTTTGAAACAATAAAGGGCTAAGTGATCTTCAAAAACATAAAACAATTATTGGGGAATGTATGATTTCCAAAGTATTTCCAAATAAAGATTCTGAACTTAAAATATATTATTTACTCAGCTCTTACGTTGTGAAAGGAGCCAGAGAGAAAAGCAGAAACTGATGAGAAGTTCTGTCCCAAAGGATTGGTTGGCCTTTCACAGCTGTTGGATGTATTTAACTCCAGCCCACCTACACGGACCTGGAGAACATTTCTGCATCTCGCACACATCTGACCTATAATCTTCAAATGGGCCTTGAGCCCCCACTGTAGAACTTCATTTCCTCTTTCTACAAACTAAGTTTTTTTTCCAGCTTTTGGGCTATTCCAGCTCTTCACTTGTGGCTTGAACTGGCTCAAGTCCCCCTAGACTCCCCAAGTAGGATTCCAGAAAAGAACTCGGCTGATTTAAAGGATATGGTTATGTTTAAAAAAGGAATGAAGGCCCTTGAGTTTGTAACTTCCAAAGTTGCCTTCCTAAAAAGGCAGTAGTATTCCTAGAGCTGCAGGTTTAGTCAAATCTGTACAGATTAACCTTCTGAATGATACCATCCTTCAGGAAACTAGTTCCCACCCCAGCACCTAACCTGTGAGAGACCATGTGCCACACCCGATGGAGAACATAAAGTAAGTCTGCGTGGACAAGGCCAATCAAACTTGCTAGGCAGGGCTGCCACACGTTTCCTCAGGAATGAGAGGCCCTGCTTCCTCTGACACAAAGGTAAACAACAATAACAATCAACTCCATAACCCTGTCAGACTCAGCTAACAGTACCTCATACTCTTCAAAGCTTTCAAAAAAAATATAGATGTTGTCAGAGCAGAATATCCAGATCTCTCAAGACTCATCAAAGAGCCCTGATATTCCTATTTATACTGGTAAGAGGTAGGGCACAAATAAGAACTATAAGGTTTCCCTTGTTATTCTCAACTCTGACTGTTCAAGAGAAACACCAAGAAAGCTTAACAAAAACAAAGAGATACAAAAATGAATATATTGCTGGCCTTCAGCTCAGGAGATTCTCATTTAGCACATCTTGGTAGCTATATTTCTAGGATGTCCCCAGTGACCACACATTCTGGTATTTATACCTCTGCGAAACCTCTTCCTGTTGAGTATGGGCTGGCCTAGTGACTTGCTTCCAACCAACAGAATGCAGCAGAGGTGATGAGATGTCATTTCCATGATCAGGTTGCAGAATATGGTGACTTCTCTTGCTAGATTCTTTCCCTTACTGGCTTTGATGAAGCAAGCTGTCATGTTGGAAAGGTCCACATGGCAAGGAAATGAGGGTGGCCTCTGGCCAACAGCCAGCTAGGAACAGAGGCCCTCAGTCCAACAGTCCTTGAGGAACTGAAATTCTACCAACAAGCACATGACCTTAGAAGAAAATCCTTTCCTAGTCAAGTCTTCAGATAAGACCCCACCTCTGGTCAATACCTTGATTGCAGCCTTGTGAGAAATCCTGAAGCAGAGGACCTAGCAAAACTGTGCCAAGATTCCTGACCCACAGAAAGTATAAGATAATAAACATGGGCTGTTTTAATACACATACATATATATTACCATATATTAATATATACTTTGAATATATTTAAAGATATTTAATTATGCATTCAAATATATTGATATTACACTTACATTCAAATATAAGTATATTTGAATGCATAAGATAGCATTCAACACAGTGAGGTGGTCAGGACCTACAAGATGAGATGTGGACAGAGGGCATCCACTGAGGTGGGTGAGCACAATGTGAGCGCACACCATACTCCTCTTGAGGCATTTGCTACTTCTCAGGCATAGATGGCCAAGGAGCCAGGCAGAGCTCTAGGCAATTTCATGGGGGCTGGAAGACAAAACTAGAGTTCAGATTTGCCCAAGGAAGGAGGAATTGAGTGGATAAGATCCTGTCAAGAAGAGAGGTTCAGAGAAGTGAGACTGACACTGTGACTGTTTTCCTTTCTAAGCCTTTGCTGGTTGAGTAGCTAAGAATTCAGGCAGAAACCAGCTGAGAAGCAGAGCGGAGATTTTGGAAATTTCACTGTGATGGGGAAACAGAATTGGGATTTCTGACCCATCAAGACAGAGAGGCTCTCAGACGTACCCCAGATGCTCACTGGGTACTTTGGAAGCCTTTGTACTAGGGTGTGTGTGTGTGTGCGTGTGCGTGTGTGCACGTGTGTGTGTGTGTCAGGGAGACGGGGTGGGGGAATAGAAACACTGCAGGTCAAATCAGCTTAGGACCAATGCAATCTTCTTTGCTGTCTGCTGAAGTATATGGTGGATCCTCTCTGGAAGGAGATAAAACCATCCAGAGCTGCTATAATTCTATAATTTTAAAAGTTAATAATCTTCGTTTTAAATTCACAGCAAAATTAAGTAGAAAGTACAGAGTTCCCATATTCCTCCTGCCCCAATACATGCGTAGCCTCTTTCATTATCAACATCCCCCACAAGACTGGCACATTTGTTAACACTTGATGACTCTATGTTGACACATTATCACTCAGTCTATAGTTTACATTAGGGTTCACTCTTGGTGTGATGCATCCTATGGGTTTTTTGATGACATGTACCCAACATTGTGCTTCTGTAAGTTTTCATCCACCATGTCTAGGAGTCAATGAAATAATCAGACAAATTAAGGAGCAGGAGGACCAAGAGAATACAATAGATTCATAGACTGAAGTTATCAGTCATGAACTTTAAAATATCTATGATCAATTATGATCAAAATGGAAATCAAAAAATATTTTAACTGAAAGATAATGAACATACAATGTGTCAAACCTTGTGTGATACAGCTAAAGCGATTTCTAGAGATTTATAGCTTTAAATGAATGTTAGCCAAGCAGTTGGAAATCAATTATCTAAGTATCTATTATCAAGAATTATGAAAGAAAACAAATTAAAGTCAAATAAAGTAATAAAGATCACAGCAGAAATTAATGAAACCAAACATTCCCAAAACAACAAAAAAGAATCTTGTACTTTGCTTAATAAAAATCGACCCATTTCTAGCAACACTGATCAAAAAAAGAGAAGTAACTCACCAATATCAGAAATGATACAGGCACATCACTGCAGATCCCACAGAATTTAAAATGATCTAAAGAAAATATTATAAACACCTATTTTGCCAATAAATGTGAATAACTGAATTAAATTAACGAACTCCTAGAAAAGAAATCAATTTACCCACACTGTTCCCAGATGAAACAGAAAAACTGAATGGTCTTAATTATATTACAGAAATTAAATCTGTAATTAAAAACCTTCCTACAAAGAAATTTTTAGATCTAGAAAGTTCCAATGATTTCTTCTAAATATTTAAAAAAGAAATAAAACTGATCTTCACAAACACTTCCAGAGTATTAACACTACATAGAAAACTAAAAAGCATTACTGAAGAAATTTTGAGATCTTAAATAAATGGTAGGACATAAATTAATGGAAGGATTGACCATTTTATTCATATACAATAAAGATTTCAATTCCTCTATTTTAAATGATCTTTATATTCAATATAAGGCTGCTGTGGAAGCTTTTTTTTAATGGAAATTAACAAGGCGATACTAATAGAAGCAAACATAGCCAAGGATAGACTAGGCCATCCTGAGGAAGAACAAAGCTGGAGGATTTACACTTGTGAAAACAAAAAGAAACCAGACACTACAGAGTACTTAGCATATGACACAAATACGCTTTTCAAAAATAGACAAAACCAATCTTTGGTGTTAGCATGGTGGTTAGGAGAAGTTAGTGGCTGGTGGAGGGCCCAGGTAAAGCTTCTAAGGTGTTGATAATGTTCGTCGTGACCTGGTGGTGGTTATACAGATGTGTTTACTTTGTGAAAATTTATTGTGCAGTACACACAGGTTGTGTATACTTTTCAACATGTTAAGATGAACTTCACCAAAAAGTTTACTTTAAAAACAGCTGCCTCAGAGATTCTCAAAATCAGCCAGTTCCGAGGGCTTAGCACTGAAAGTCTGAGCATTATACCCAAGCCAGCCCTAATCTGACCCTACCAAGAAGTCAGATTAAAATCAGAGGAGATGAAGATAGTCCATATCTAAGATCCATAATAGTGCTGGCAGTGCCCTGCTAACTGTGGCTCTCACGTCATGCTTCCTTACCTTTCTTTTCCTTTCTTCATGCCCACTCAAACCCTGAACTCTAATCTGTGCCTGAGGTACCCCTGGGATCCCTTCTTCCCTGGACCTTCTGGAGAGCCTATTGATCTGTGACCTTCATCACTTTAGAATCTCCAAGTCCTGGTTTACAATTTGGTCGAATACAGACTCAAGACAGACACCATGACCTTGCTCTCAGCATTTGTGGTGACCTGTATAAAATTGATTGTGAATGCCTTGCCTATGTCACTCAGGCTATCTTGATCACCAACCTGGTCTGGTCCCTCAGGGTTTTCCCTGACTTATACTGACCCACAAGCCAACCATAACAAAGGACCTTTGGTCTTAGATAAGCTTACAATGAATTCAATCCAGAAAATTATCAATCTTAGAGAGTACCCAGAGGTTCTGCTGAAATATAAGCTTATGGTTCTTCTTAGAGGTGGAAATGGATCGATGGTTTCAGTATAGTCTCCTGCCCTCCCTCCACAGATCTTCCCCAAAGCCAAAAGAAATTGATCTCAGGGCTCTTTCTGAGATCCTACTTACGTGAAGCCAGGACATGTTCCTGTGGTAGTTTTCCTCCGTGCCCACAGTGCTCATTCCCTCTGGCTCAATACTGGGCTCACTTGCACTCCAAGGACTCCCTTCTTCAAAAGAAAAATACCAAGAAAAGTTGTATGGTCCTGTCTCCCTGGAGAACATGCTGCTATGGTATAGCTGTCCATGCTTTTGAATCCTAGGGCAGACTACCATGGCCCAGAGGGTTATGGGCAGAGCATCGACTTGAGTGGAGAAGTATGACTAGGAGCGGTTCCCTTCATCACCAGCCAAACTGGTGATTACAAAGACATTTATGACCTCTGTTATGGTGGCTTCCATTTTGAGACATGGGAGCAGGGGGAAAAACAGAGTCAAGTCCCTGAATTGCTGAGATGAGCAAGTTACTGGCTGAGTGTGCCCAAATTTATTGAGTGTGCCCAAGTCCATTCCAGACTGCCCAGACCTTGCAGGTGTACTTAAGTAGGGACACCAACCAACCTACAGTGGCCACACGGGGTGCTGCTACCTCCCCTGCTGCCGTGACTACGGCCAGTGCTACCGCTCTGAACACCATCTGGCTTTGCTATCAGAGCTATTTCACAGATGGGCAGGTGCCTTGGAAAAACTAAGGGAATTTGAAAGCAGTTGTGCCCAGTTGTGGACAACCCTTTGTCCAGACTCCTTTCTGCAGGAAAATACGAAGGAGGTCTCTCGCAGGAATTCGCTACTTAGTATACTAGATAACAAAGCTCTGTCCTCAAATCTACAAGGCTTTTTGGGTATTTTCTATGACAAAACTATGCTTCTAGCTTGGATAGTCTGATTTAACAGCTTAGGCTAAATTAATCAATTTTAATAATTAATTCAAATAATATTTTCCCCCAAATTGATGATCCTGTTACAGCTAAGACCTGTAACAAAAGACATCATTAGGTTTTTTTTTCCTATTGTCTCCTTTAAAAATAAACTGAATCTTAACTAATGCATAAATTAGCTATTTTCAAAGGCAAGGGTGGGTAAAACATTTCCTATTTTAAACTCTCTTTGATGAGCTATACTCAGTCTCTATTTCAGCAGACTTGATTGATAATTTATCCACATTTCCTGACTGACTTCTGAAGAGGCCTACTTAGGGAAAAAAAAACCTTTCCATTTTGGTTTTCATACAGGGACTGAATGGAAAAGAACATGTACTTCACTTTTTACCTAACAGTTAAATTTCAGGCAGCTGGTGAGTCCTACTGGCACGACTGCTTAACCTTTTTCTTGTCTAATAAGACAGTGATCAGGGACCACAGGACTAATACATTTTGGGGTTCTGTGGATCTTAAAGTGACAATCTACAGTTCTAATGCTCTGTTTGTATATAGAGCTCCTACTCAGGAGTTTGACACATTTAGAGCATCCCTTCAGAGTAAACAGGGAGTAAACAAAATTATCCCCATTGGGTAGCTGGAGAAAACAGTCCCTAAGGAGTTAAGTGATTCGCTGAAGGTCACTCATTCTTAGGTGTAGACATCTTTCCTCTGAAATTTTGGTTGTTTTTACTGGGAAATAGAAACTTTTATTTATGCTAGCTGTCTGTCCCCAAGGGAATTTCTGCATTTTTGCTTGAAAGGTCCTGACCAAAAGAATGGATGCACAAACATCTGGATTTCCAAAAACTGTCCCTGTCATTAAAATGTTTTCTTTCCCTCATGTAGACTCTCTGGCTCCCAGCCCAGAGCTGCTGAATCAGAATCTGCACTTTAGCAAGCTCCCAGTTGACCGACCGTGTGCACGTTAAGGTTGGAGCAGCCCTGCTCGAGAGGGCAGCCTGGTTTTCAGACTGAATGAACGCTCTAACCTATGACTCTGTCCTCCATCTACTGATGTGCAAGAAAATGGACTTGAGCTGTTTCAGGATTTGGGCCCTGCCTTCCTGCCCCCCACGTCCCTGCACACCCCACTCCTCTATGTTACCTAGGTCAGTGACAGTGTCCCTGCTCTGGGACAGCTGCAGCTCCTCAGCCTCAGACTCTGAGTCCTGCCGTGATAACTTGCTGCTTTTTAAGCTGCCGACCCGGCGAATGCTGGACAAGGAACCCCCCTTCTTCACCTGGAAACTGCGGGTTCCTTTAATCTGGAGCAGGCGGGAACCTCCTATCCTGATCTTCCTGCTGGGAACTGTATTAAAAGAATAAAATAGGGCTTTTTCCCCCTTAGTTCTCCCCAGCCAGTGTTAGATCCAAGCTCTCCCCAACTTGTCCCTGAACAGCCTCCTCTCTGTTGGCCGGGAAGAGCAGCATGTCTGGACAAGGAGCTTCTCCCAAGCCCCCTGTCAGGCAGCTTTGTTAGGTGGGCAGGAGGCTGGGTCCACCAGGAAGGGCTGGTGCAGCTTCTCTCTCGGACACATAGCTCATCGGTGCTGGGAACACCTGCTCTCTCTCTGGCCCAGGGTTCACAAGCATGAGCGCACCCCGCCGCAGCATCCTCCACGACTGTTAGTACGTTCACACAGCATCACTGCTTGAATCAGTAGGACCACAAACCACTTGTTTTTGTCTTTCTTTTGAAATGGAACTTACAGACTCATGTGAGTTATGGAAACCCCTTCATTTAGGAATACCTCGTTAAGAAATAAAAACAAGTTCTCTCTCCAAGAGTCAGCAGTGGGCTCCACTCAGTTTCTTAGCCAAGGCACTATAAAGGATCTGTTTTCAGTGGGGTGCTTTGGGTGAACCTGAGTGTGAAATGGTTCCATTTTCAATGCACCTAGTGATTTCATAGCATCCTCCTCTCAGTCAATAGGTTGGGTGAGATATGAGTCCAAAAGCTGCAACACTCTGAGCCAACCTTACAGTCTACGTGTACCAAGAAGAGCATGCATTATTCATCTTTAGTGTTCTGGAAGAAACAGTCATCAGTCAGGAAAACAAAAGGGTAAAAGAAACACATTCAACTCGAAACCTACTTTTTAATCAAAAGCATCCTTATTTCCCATAGTCATATACACACCTCCTTCCTCTTCTTTGAAGATTTGATAATTGTCACATATTGATTTTGCAAAAGTGAGAAAAGAAAGTTTTCAGGGCTTAAAGTGATGATCAGGAAGGGGCCATTTCTTAAGACAGGAACAAGATTTTTTACTAATGATTTAAGGCATAGCTATTAATATTTTTAAAAGTCCCAATCAGGGAGATTGCATTTTAGCCTAAAGTTTCTTACTCACAGGGTAGTTAGTATGTGACTGTGACAGAACTTGCATTGCTCCATAAAATGTTAATTAAGTATGGATTTTAGTGCCACATAAAGAAGCCTGGAAGAATTCCTATTGAATAATGTGAAATGTTTCATCTCTGACCTATTCTTGCGATTGGGAAAGATGGAAATATCACCACTCGGCTGGCAAAGGCCTCATGGAGCTCCCTGAACACATCTGGATAGAATTTCACATTTGGATAGAAATTCTTGCAGCAGAGTTGGATACACTCCACAAGGACTATAGACCAGAGTGCTCTGTGTTAATTATAGCACAAAACTCAACCACTGTATTTTTCAGGCTTCACTGTATTATTTCTAGGTTTAATTGAGACTTTGTGACCTACCTGAAATGTATTTGAAACTTAAGAATATACTTATCATTTTTAATAACTATTAATCTAATCTCATCTCAAAGTAGATTGGGAAGTAGAGAAAAACATTAAAGAAATAAGTTTTAAAACTTTCTTACAGAGGCACACTTGGCATTCTTTGCCTGATTTCATGATCTTTTTTCATCCTACAAATATGGCAAGATAACCCCAAATTAATAGGATCTGAAACAAATTTAATTTTGAGAACCCCTTCTACCACCAAAGATAATGGGAGACATCCTACAGCACTGAAAAATTAATGTTCAGAATTACAGCACTGGTTATTTACAAAGGATACAGCAGTTAGAATTCAGATTTGGCATAGTACATGAGAGACATCAGTTGAGATTGTACACCATCGAGTTTTAGCCTTTGTTTCCATGACAACGAGAACTGGTATGAAAGTGAAACAAATTCATCCAGATTGGATAAAACATCCCTTTTCCCTTTTCTCTCAGTATATCCACAGTATATTCATTAGCAAGTCTTGCTGGTGCCACACTTTAAAATATCATTGGATTTTGAAAGCTGCATCACCTATCCCCTGGACTAATATAACTATGAAACTCCCTCTTACCCTCACTCCTGCAGTTCGACTCATCTTTCAAATACATAAATTATAAATACAAATATTATATCACTTTTCTAGTCAAAGCCTGCTAACAACTCTCAGACACATTTAAGATAGAATTACATTTCTAACCACATTTATAGGCCCTACTTATTTGCTCTTTGCCTGACCCCGTCTCCTATCACTTTTCCTCCAACTCATTCTGTTGCAGCCATGTTGACCTTTTGCCCTCTTCACTTGCTCCAAGTTCATTCCTACATCAGAGCCTTGTTCTCACTGTTGTCTCTGTTTGCGTTTTGTATGCCCTTTGTATGACTGGCTCCTTCACATCATACAGGTCTCAGACCAATTTCACTTATGGGGCCCATCTGACTACAATCCCTCCCACTCCAGGTCACTACTAATTCTCTGACTCTAATTTGTTTTCCTTCATACTACATATATCTAATTGAAATTAATGTTATTCACTATTACATTATTAACTACTAGCTAAGATAAACTAAAATATATGTGGGAAATTTTCCCTGTTCACCGCTGTATTCTAGGAAACTGTAACAGTGCCCAGTATACACTAGTGTTCAATAGATGACTGCTGAATGATCAGACATGTCTTGGGGTCTGTATTTTAGAATGCCAATCTCAGTTTGTATTTGGAATATGGATAAAATGATTGAACAGAACTTGCTTGGAGATTTTAGGCAGACGTTTTTAGTTCTAAGGATTATTTCATGTTAGTTTTCCTTTGTAGGATCCAAATTGTCCTCAGGCTGTTTATTTCAAGAACTGGCATTTTTAGATGTTATACAAACAGATGGTATGAAATTTTAAATACAATTTTAATAGTTTACATTAGCAGGGTCCCTGCAGTCCCCCTTTTCACATCCGCTTTGGCAGCTGGTATCAGCTTGTGAAAAGGGTTAAGGAATATTTAGGAATCTTTGGGAAGGTTTTTGCCAACTGGTAAAGGACATTTTATGAATATGTTCTCTTTTTATTCATAGTTTCAGTTTCCTGTTCTTCATTTATGATACAAATTTCATACAATCACATAGCCATTCTATGAGGAGAAAAACTGTCTTTGTGTATTGAATATCAAAGGCAATTTACATGAACGATAATCATGAAATTAAAGTGTTCTTAAAAATTAATCTGAGGTCTTATTTTTTTAAGTGGTGTAGAATTTACTCTGCTGAAATTTAACCATGTCAGTATTAGCAATAATACTGACACAATTAGAAATAATATCTAACACAATACTTTGGGGAAAAAAAAATCCCTGTGGGATATGTTTAAAACATGGAAGTGTATCATCATCTGCAGTTATCCTTTCAGAAGTACTAGTATCTGAAAAAGCCTTGACTTGATACTTCATACTCAGAAATTGCTAAAACTTGGCTAAATCCTTCCTGCAACATGGCTTCTATTAAACCATAAATTCAAAACAATATAATATGTTACTTGCATTTTTAAATGTCATGACAACAATATGATCTTGAAATATTAACAAGTCTTTTTTTGAGAATATATCCATTCCTCACAAAATTTTAAATATTTTTAATATGTTGTGGCTTCTCTATCTAGGGCTATTCCTTTAAGAATTATGCATTCCTTTAATTATCATTTATGGAGTCACTGTCTGCAGGACACTAGAAATTATCCCAATGCATAAAATTGTCTTTGACTCTTTTTACAAATGTGCTGATGTTCTTTCAATTGGAGTTCATCAGACAAGCATTGAGGGGCAAAGAAATTTGAGAAATAGAAAAATCAGGTAGAGAAGTTGACAATTCAAAGGAGACTTTAAAGAGCAACTTAAAACTCTGCAATCTCTAACTCATATTTAGGATTTTCTGCATAGGTTCTAATTTCTATGCTCATGTTATATAGAGATATATATATAAGGATAATTATTTATTGTGTACTTACTATGTATCTGGTACTGAGTTTATGTTTTACTTGCATTGTCTCATTTAAAGCCCTCAACATTATAATGTGGTAGGTGTTATTAATCAAATTTTACAGAGAAGAAAATTGACTTAGAAAGTAAACAGCTTGGACAAGGTCCCATAACTAGTCACTCTATTTTATTATCTTAAGGTGCACATTTTTTTACATTTGAACATATCTAAACTTGAGATTTGTCTTACAATTGATGACATCTTAGGATAACCTGTGCCAGGCAGCATTTGTGACACATTTGCTATTGCCTGTGTTCATGTGAATATCTAAAGCACTGGCAACAAAATATAAAAAATGGGTGCCAGTGTTTTTTAAGTCCAAGGAGTCAAATGATAGCTGGATGGAGGAGCCGGTAATGTGGTAAGATGCGTTTGGCAACATTCCTGAAGCAGGAACTGAAGGTGGCTAGCTTCATAAAATTGCACGCTGGCTTAAAGTAACTAACACCAATCGCTTTACTTCTCTTATAGATTTATTTAAGAAATGATGTATTACTAATATTCAGATGGCACAGAGGACATTATCACATATAAAAACACAGACATGGACAATTCTGAGTTGAAAAATGATTAAGAATTTGAACTCTGAATTGAAGATGGTTTAGAAAAACTTTAACTAGTTTACTTGGCTGCACAAGATTATATATACTGGTAATAAAAATATATGTTTAATTACATCTGAAAGTTCTCTTTCAATAAGAATGAAACATACATTAAGTGATAAGAAAGTATTGCCTACGAGCTGAATGGGGAGTATTTTTCCTTTCTTATTAGTATATAAGATAATGGTTCATCTTACAACTGATGGCATCTTAGATCCAATGGGATTTGGAGAATTTCTGAGCTGGAAATAGAACCCAAGCCTCTCTGATTGCAGAGTCCAACCTCTAACCAGTGTGACTGCCTACCTCACTGAGCAAACACAGTGCTGTACAGAGCCAAAAATTCTGGACTTCTTTTAGTGCACAATTCTCCCATTTAGACCCCAGACCAAATGCCCTACAAGAAACCCTGAAAGATGAATTAATTTTTGCTTTTCCATACCTTTCTTCTCCTCAACACCTGCATCTGATTTGAGGGTGTGGCTACTACTGTGAAGGGAATCTTTTGAGTCTTCATTTTCATCCAGGACCCCAGCAAAGCTGATCTTCCTCTCATATCTGTGCCGGTCTAGCTCAGGATCCAAACGAAGTCTGCAGCTTTCCAAGTCCTGAAATAGCAGTGGGGAGCACGTGAGTGCTGGCATCTCCCCAGCACTGCACTGGTCTTATGGCGAACCTCCCTCCATTTCGAATTGCACCCAGCTGCATTTAAACAGCCAAATTCCCTCTTATCTAATGCCAATTGTAGATTGTGGCCATGAAAACATTTTCCTTAATCCATAGGTTAGGGATTCAGTCCCACAGGACTATCTCCATTTCAGCCACCAACTGCAAGCCCAGATTGTTAGCTGTGCTTCTGACCAACTGGCTATAAACCGAAGGTTCCAACAACCTTGGATTTGCTAGAGTGGCTCACAAGACTCAGAGAAACACTTTGCTTACTAGATTACCAGTTTACTACACAAGGATATAATCAGTAACAGCTAGACAGAAGTAATGCCATAGGGCCAGGTATGGGGAAAGGGTGTGGCGCTTCCATTGCCTCTCCAAGGACACCCCTTTCCCCAACCTTCACGTGTTCACCAACCAGAAGCTCTCCGCACCCTGTCCTTTGGGTTTTTATGGAGGCTTCATTCCATAGGCATGACCGATTAAATCACCGGCTCCTGGCAGTTGATTCAACCTCTAGCCCCTTTCCTCTCTGTGGAGGTGACAGGGTGGGACTAAAAGTTTCAATTTTCTAATCACTTGGTTGCTTCCTCTATCGACCAGCTGGATCCTTAGGTGATTTAGAGGCAATCCAAAAGTTACCTCATTAATATAACAAAAGACACTTTGATCACGCTTCGACATTAAAGAAATTGCAAGGGTTCTAGGAGCTCTGTGCCAGAAACAAGGATGAAGACCAAATATATATTTCTTATTGTACATTACAATATCACACAACAGAAATAGAAAACAAATACAGAGATGATGTTGGAGTTAAATCTTGAGGATTAAGTAAAATTAGCTTGGCAAACAAGGAGGAAAAGGCAGTTCAGGCTTAAGGAACCTGATGTGTGAGGCCAGAAGCTCAAAACAGGATCATACACCGGGGGAATTTCTCACTCACTTCTAGGAAGACTTCAGTATAACAGCGGATCCATCACTATCTGCTTATGAGCAGAATGATCCCACACACTAAAGTAAACCTTGCGGAGTGTAAATATTTAGTAGTTTGTTTGACCTGTGAGGCCCCAAGTTGAACATTTGAACTGTTCTGTGAATGGAGTCTTCCTCATGCTGAAGATCATATTTAATCATTAACCTCTAAAACACTTTCAGACCTGGTAAGTGAAAAATATATAAAATGCTAACTTTATTTTTATACAGCATTTTTCCTAATTATGACGTAGTAAGCCCTCAGATTCGAATAGCATGGGAAACAAAAAATAGTTTGAAAAACTCAGTTTGCACTAAGATGAAAATCTTATGCTTTTAATTGTTGCTAATAAATGAAACTTTAGACTCTACATATTGTTTCTTCTTTTCCCTTTGAATTAAGAACAGAAGTTATGCTTTGGTATTCAGAAAATTATATCACATCTAGAAAAATAAGGAACTACATGGAGTCTATTTAACATTGTCAAAAAATATTCTAGGAATATAATTGCTTCTCTGAAATTAATCCCTTTTAGGAAAAAAAATAACCAACTACTTTCTATTTTGGTAGCCACATTTAATTAGACTCATTTCTTAGTTGGGACAAAAAGTAATACAAAACAAATCTGGTTCTCAAAAGTAATCTCTTTCATCTTCCACTTTTATCTACTTGCCAAAATCCCACTTATCTTTCAAAGCTACATTCAAATGTGAACTCTTCCAGGAAGGTTCTTCAGATTTTTCCAGTCCCTTATTTGGCCAGCCCTGGCCCTCTGCTCCTTTCTTAAGTGTGGTGTTTATGCATTGGTTTTCCTGTTATAATATATTCATCTCTGGGTCACGCCCTCTCCCATGTCTGGAACCATCGCACCACCTTGCTCAGTCTTTCTCTCAAATATTCATCAGCCTAGTCTTCATATATGTGAACTGTGTTTTGCTTCAGATTTTTTTAACTTTAGGAACATTTGGAATCCAGCAGTATATTCTTTATAAACTGATTGTTAAATCCTGTTGGTACAGTTTCTAGCACAATCTTATACAAAAGCATCCAATATGTTGTTTTCCCTAATGAGGGAATATAGACGTCTGGAGACTGCCTCACTGTCTTTATTATTATGGATTCATATCATCATCAGATGAGAAATAACTTCTTTTAATTCCATGTTGCTTGGTCATCGGTTATTGGTTTTACTAATTCAACTGGGAAACATCTGAATAGACCGGCAGTTTTATAAACAAAATTCTGTAAAAAAAATTTCTTTGTTGTTCTCAGGTTTGGAAGTTAATATTTAGAGAAAAATTTGATTATTATGCTTTTCAGATGATGAATCTTGTAAAAAATGCTTTTTCCATTTTTAAATATTATTTGTATGGTTTACAAAAAGAGTGAATAAAAATGCTATCAGAAGTTATTTTTTGGGGGGGAGTATACTAAGTTGCATCTAGGGATCTCTGTGGGAAAAATTTGTTAAGTCAGTAAAAATACATTTTTAGCAACATTTTAAAATCTTTTGATATCATTTTTCCTTTTACCTCTGTTCCCCACCAATGAGTGGCCTCCTGGGATTTCTTGACCCTATCAAATTAACTTTTATTTTAATTACTGTACTTCAGATATTTTTGCATTCTCTTCTACACTTGGAATATAACTAGGATTTTTTCAAACAAATATTTCATAGGGAAATATCTTTTATTTGGAAACGGCCTTATGACATTTCTACCAGAAAGACTTTTAGTTGGTGGAAAGTTTCTGTTCCTAATTTTCTCCCATCTTCCAGCCTCAGATCCCAGAATATTTTTAATTTGAAGTGATTATTTTACTACCTTCTACTTTTATTATTCTATACATTAGAATAACTTTTTTCTACTGCTATTAAAAATGTTCCTGAATAAATAAAACATTCCAAAGGTCTATAAATACCCTTGTAGCCAGTGTCTTGTTAAAATTTTAAAGTATTTCATCTTGGTGGTATTTATGCTGAGTCTGTTACAGTCACTATTGAGTACAATTTCTTAAAAAACAACGTCAAGTGTTTATAGCTTCTGTGTTGGTAAAATAGTTTTATGATACTATTTTTTCTACAATAGTTTAAAATGTGACTTGAGTTTTCTTTACCATCAAATACGGTTAGATATATTAAACATGAGAAAAAAGTCTTTCCCATTTATTTTATAAAGGTCACATCTCAACACAAAATATATATCTACACTTGACAATGAAAATCCTAGTGTAATGAATAAAAGATTTCTGAGACCTAGTGAAAGGCAGTGTAGCAGTGAAAAAGTTCCTCTTATTGAATAAATGATTGCAGGTTCTGTTTTTGCTTAATTTCTTGGCATTTCCTACTAGTCTACTAGGTGGTTATACAGGAATTTTTTAAAGATTTGATTAATTTTTTTAAAAAATGAAATTTGTTACAATAATAAGGAACATTAAACTAAAGCTTCATAGTGTTGAAAGGAAGAACAAAAATAACCGTCAAATGTTAAGGTTCCTATTTTTAAAAATCATAATGGGCCAAAATGGTGACCATTGAAAATCTGAACACTTAAAAGTAGGTATGTTTCTGTGCTTTTATCAAGGCTTTAGTACAATTAGAATGTTACAGGTTAACACTGACAGAGGCCTACAGATCAGACATTTTCTCATACTTAACTTTAAACTAAACCCATCTGGAAGTGGTGGTTTTGATTTGGTTTTATACAGTAGTCTCAATATAATACTGAAGGTGACAATTCAGAAAAATAAAGGCCCAGGATAACATGAAATTAAATAAAGGTAGAAGGAAGAACTCCCCTTTCCAATATTTAAATGGTATAGTTTCACAGTCCAAATGTGGATATGTTTCTCTTGAAAACATATTTTACCTATAAGTATTTCCATTTTATGTTTTAGAGTGTGAGGAAATGGGCTGTCCAGACATGGGAAAACTGGAGTTAGAGAGGCACTTCTCAGGAATACCAGAGCACTGATTCTTCTGTTCCCCCAGGACGGGGGTTCGGCCTTCTTCACAGAGAGTTTGGTTAAAAAAAGCAAGAGAGCTGGTGGATTGTAAAATTCACCTAAATGGAGGCATGTAGATTGTTGGTATGACAATTTTTCTGGAAGAGCAGTGTAAGTCTTGTGTCAGGTGGAAAAAAAAAAAAGAATTTCTCTGGTTCCTCAGCTCTGGCTGTGATGAAGAACCACTGGAAACTCTGTGCCCCCTGGAGAACTAAGGGCCAAGGAAAATGGGCTCTAAGGTGTGCCCCTGTCCCACACGCTCTGCGAAGACCCCTGGCTCTTGTTAGAATTTGTATCCTAAGTTACACAAATCAGGCCCTGATGATACAGGGGTGTGTGTATGTGTGTGTGTGCGCCTGTGTGTGTGTGTGTGTGTTTCTGTGTACGTGTGCGCGTGAGAACATGTGATTTTTTCCTGCCCACCTGCATCCATAGGAAATGCTGCAGGGCTAAAACACATGTTTGGAGATATTTACATGCTAAACACATAAGTCTTTTCACCTATAACTGAAATGAGAAAACTCATTGGAAGCACATTTCTACGTGGATTTATGAGTAGTTATTATGAAGAAAAAAATCTGTCAGTGATTTCTGGAGAATGCTGGCCATAAAACTCCTTATAGTTTGTGAAGCAAAAACACCTAGAGGTTCTTAGACATTCTTAGGATAACTAACTGACAATGATTGATCCAGCATTTTACCCAGTGGTGCTATCTTTAGAGATTTCAAGGTCAATTATAGATTTTTTTTTAATAGAGAAAAGAGATCTTTCTTTTTATATATGAAAATCCCTTGGTTGAATTTTTAAACTCTATGATACATTTGGCCATTGGAGATTTGAGGAAATTGTGAATCCTCAAAACCTGGCCACGTGGCTAGACTCTCCAATTAGGCTGATCATCAATATGTTTTGCTTACCACCAGAGGCTCAGTGCGTGGTCTGGGCAGGCAAGAAAAGGTCTCTCGCAGGAAGGTGGTAATCTCCAGGAGAAGCTGGCATGCTGCCATCTTCAATGCAAAGGGGCAGCCACATTTGGAGGGGTTCACAGTGCCTATAGAATGAAAGAGTTCTTTTATAAGTAAATAAACCAATAAAACATAGAGAGAGGCACGGTTTGATGGACATAGCTACACATGTATAAAATCAAATTGCATATGAGAATGTTACCTCCACATGTCCAAAATGAAATTGCATATGAGGATGTTACCTATGCATGTTTAATTTACCTGGTCCCTTTAGCATAATCTATGCATTACCACACCCCTCTGTTTCCCTCTTTTGCAATTCTATAAGGAATGCCTCAGTATTAAAATGTCAGTCATTAAGAACTAAATTGTTCTCCTCAAGGCATCAGAGAGTAACAAAATGCAGCTCCACTAAACTGGAAAGCCTTTTAATGAAAACAGAAATAGAAACCAGCCTTGCCAGATTTTCACATTGCTGGTCAATCAGATTTAGACAAGGAACAGGGCTGTCAACTAGATTTGGAACTACTAGATTTGGTACTTCCTTGATCACCTATATAATACACCCTATACAAGTTAGCCTGTCGTATTAAGGGATAGCTGTACTAGAATATGCAGATATGCTCCTTTGCTTTGAAGAAGACCAGTCTTTGAATGAGTTGCATCTACCATAGACCAACCAATGGGTTTTGCTCTAAAGGGAGATGATGGCCAAGGTGACACTATAGAGACTTTTTAAATCCTCACAATTAGTTCTGAGATACATGACATCCCAAATCATGGAGAAACATATTGATTACTTATCAGTGTTCAGAAAACAAAACCAAAGTCATGCCTCTCATAAAAGAAAGAAAACAGTTATCTATTTCCAATGAATCAAGTTACCAAGCAATCACTGTATCACTGCATATTAACATTCCTAAAAACATTTCTAAAATGTTTCCTCTGTATTGGCTTCCTTAACTGAATATAATAAATAATTCGTGGTTTATATCGATAGTGGGTGGAAATGATAGTCCTTCTGAAGATATCTGCCTATTGCTCCCTGATGAAAATCATTATGTTTTCTACAGAGGTAATATGTGGCTGAGGATACTGCCACTTATTAAGAATGGAAAACATTAATTCCTCAAGAATTTCCAGACTGATAATTTGCTTACACCATGATTATTTTTTAAATGCAAAGTGAGCTATGTATTGACTTGAAAGGAGAACTAAAAAGCAGACATTCCAATCTTATACTCAGTGAAGGCTATATGACTCTAGAAATTGCCTAGGTGTGCAAATGTTTTTAAAAAATAATTGAATACTAGATATTCAGTATAAACTTCTAGAGGTGTCCTTTTAATCCTGAGGTTATCATTTAGATACTTCTTGTCAGTCCTTGGTCTTAGTCCAGGATCTCTCATTACTATCATCTGAAATATTCTGTTACAAGGATTGAGTTATACATAATCTCACCAAAAAGCTAACATAGCAGGCATACCATATTGGCCAATGATATTTATGTGGTCTCATGGAGATGTGAGACCATTCTGGTCTACGAAGATACATCCATCTAATGTTGCTTTGTCTCCTCTCTGTTCTAAAGGACCCCAGGAGATCGAGAGCAGTTTGGGAATTCTTCTGACAGGCACTCATTAGGTTCTGGGATTGCTGGATAATCCTCAACTCTTCCTATAAATCAGACCCAATTCTATGAGTCATTCTAGGATAGCTGAGACTCCTGTGAACTTGAGGGAATCTTTGGGGCCAACTTTCATCATTAGATTAAAAAGGCTAATGTCAGAATTTGGTGTTTTGTCAATAGCCAAGTCAAAAAGATTTTCTCTGACACGATAAGGGCTGAGAAAAACCAAAAAATGAAAAAATGCAAAAAAAAAAGTATTGGTATGAAAGTGGAAAAAAACCAATACATTTTCTTTGATTATTATTTAATTCTGTTCAATATTACACTCTAGACATCCTTTTACATTTCATGCTTATAAGGATGAAGTAGGTTTGGCATCACTTAACTAAGGACAATCCTTAAGACATAATCAGGGTCTTAGTTTCAAACCATTAAAGAAGGGTAAAAGGAAGAGGTCTCACTGTCTTCCTCAGATAATGATACTAATTTTATAACCATGTTGGAATTTGATGCTCCACAAAAGGCAGTGGTACACATACACACAAGTTTGTATGGTACAGAACACACATATGCACAGAATGGTTTTGAGAAGGATGCCCAGGAATCTCCTTGTCTCTATTCTTCTATGATGGGGCTCAATTATAATTCTAATAAGTAAGTATAGTACATCAGACATTCACAGTTTTAACAACTGAATCTTAATATTTCAATTCCATGTTAAATACTGTAATATTCTCTGATTAAATATTTCAATATTTTAGTGATTTGGGAAGCTTTTCATTCAATTTTATTTGCTCTTTTTAATCTCTAAGAGCAACAATAAAACACAAAAACCTGACCAAACCTCTTCCGGGACAGTAATTTCTCATAACTATGTTTTCTCAGAGAGACCTAAAACTAATCTTTGCATAATATTAAGAGTCAGAGACTACAACACAATGGATGTTCCATATTGCCTGCAATTCTTTGCTCCCGTCTACAGTCTTCTCTTTCTGGTCCTTGCTCTCTCCTTGTGTGGCTTTATGCACATGCTTCACATCCATGCACAGGGAATAGGGGAGAAGGTGCAGTGGGGAGACATGGGAAGGTGGTAAGAATATGAAAGAGGAAAGAGAAATATTACGTGCTCCTAAAGCAGAGGTTCTTACAAGCAGGGGTTCTTGTAGTAAAGGGAGTCTCCTTACTGTCATCTAAAAAGTCTTCCTCCTCATCCTCCTTTCTCAGTCTCCTCTTGGTCTCCTCATCATAAATGAGACCCAGCAGGTTGGCTGGGCTCTCACTCTCCCCATGGCACAGCTCATTCAATCGGACGCCAATTGCCTACCGTGGGAAGAGAAAGAATGAAACAGCACAAGGCATGTCAGACTGTAAAATAGGCTCTCACATTACAGAGGTCATAAGCCACCAATTAATGGGAATCATTTCCAGGATAAGCCTCCCTTGTATGCCACAGTGTTGTCACCACCACGTTCCCTAACGTGGAAACCCCGAGAGGGAAGGCGCTGATGCTGTCTCCAAGGTCAGTTAGTCTGAAGACTTGCGGGAGCTGGAATGGTATTTTTTTATTCTCATACAAATTTTTTTCTGAAAATATTTTCATTCACTCAAAGGTCATTTATTTTATAGGTCTCAAATAAAGGAGTATGCAGTTGTTTTTAACGAAGGATTTTGTTGCAGTAAAAAAAAAGTCACAGCTCCTCGGTGTTCCTGATTATGCTATTTATGAGAAAGGTACTGTCATGCTAATGAGTTTAGATTCTGGCATGGGTTCTGGTACTGCAGTTTTATTTGTATCTGTCATTATGTACACAATAAATGGCTTTCTTTGTTCCCCCCTCATGATACACTATGAATTAGAAAAAAATAGTAGCTATTCTTCTGAGAGCATACCCGACATCAACAATAGAAATACAACTTTCAGATAACTCAGCACATGGCAACATAGGCTTTTACAAGAAATTCACAAAACTAGTACTTGTTATCTATTTTTCTGAATCATCATGGACTGTTGTCTGATTTACCAACAGGAATTTTCCAAAAGAAGAGACAAAATATATTACCTCTATCTAATGCCTTTTATATTCCAATTACATACTCTATGCAACAAAAGAAGAGACACATTCTTAGGAAGGAGAGTCAAAAAGTTAAAATGAGCACTGAACTTGGAGTTTGACAGTTTTGGTACTCTGCATTAATAAGGACAAAATTTCAGCTAATTTTTTTTCTTTCTTCCTGTATCATCCTTTCCAAATATTTAGAAAAGTCAGCAAATTTTGGGCATGTAAGAAATTAGATACACTACTAGAAACTGACAAAGATATGTTCAGAACTCTTTAAATAAAAACACAAGTTGTTTGAATGTCTTGGCTATCTGAAAACAAAGAGGTCTTCTAAAACTCTAGAATTAAGGAAGGAGTAACAAAAACCACATCAATGAGTTGTCTTTTTTTTTTTCTTTTTTTAAGGGGGGGAGGTAATTAGGTTTATTTATTTTTAGAGGAGGTACTGGTAAAAAAAAAAAACCACATCAATGAGAAAGAAAGCAGTGTAAAAAGATATTGCAGCATCCTAAAATGTTAGCTGCTTACCTGAGAAGTTTAAAGCAAACAAAACAAAACAAAAGCAAAAACCACCACCTTAACAAAAGGCCTTGTCCTGATGCTACTATTTTGAAAATCCTCTGTAAAGAAGGCGACATGAAATTCTGAGTCTGGAGTGGGGCAGTAAACTTAACAGTGAGATTCAAAGGGGAAAAAAATTTTACATTGATCCTTCCAGAATGCTGGTACTAAGCAATTGAAGTTAAACCCACAGTTTGTAAAACTTAAAAGGTTGCTCAAAAAATGAACTTTTTTGGGATAATATTAAATACCCAAGTAATAATTTAGAGCTCTGTATCTCTTCCAAGACTAGAAGAATGCCTTGGGGATATGTTTATTCCTCCTTCATTCATCAAATATTTATTAGGTAATTTGTTAGGTATTAAATAAAACATAGAGTTGAATAAATTGTATAGTACATCAGTATCTTTGTTTAATGTGCCCTGGTAGATTATAAACCCTCATAAAGAAGGATCACTGTTTGGCAATTAGGAAAGTTAGAAATGTTGGAAGACTCGCTCGAGGTTGATCAGCAACCTTGAACTGGGGTTCAAACATTGGACATCTGTCTCTGTCTTTTGCTGTTTCCCTAAACGAGCTTACAGTCTCACTGGAGAGGTAATGACGTATCAAAATAACACATTAAGTGGTGAAAGAAACTGAAAGCACTTTCTTGGTCTAGAAGAAGGAGAGATTAGATTCATTTCAGAGAATCATATAGTCTCATGACTGCAGATTTTGAAGAATCAGTGTTTGCGCTAACAGAGAAGGGGAAGAGAGGATATTCCAGATGGAGAATTCCAAAAGACCTATCTTCAGGGAAATGCACTGATGCGTCCAGACACTGACAGATAAGCCACTCGGTTGAAGCAACATTTTATGAGAGGAAATAATGTGGCTGAGGGCTTGGAAAGGTAGATTGGGACCAGATCCAACAGTCCTTGAAGTTGGACTTCACTTTGTACTCTGAAGAAGGATGGAAGGTAGCTTTTGAGTGCGGAGAACACTCATCACTCTTCTGAGAGAAACTGTACTAGCTGCTAGAAATACACAAACCATATATCCTGCTTTCAAAAATTAATGTAGTAACTTATTATTACTGAGTATCTCTTGAATGCAAAAGATTTGAGATAAATGTTCTTTAGATATATTAGCTCATTTGACCTCATCATCCATAATCATGGCGTGATTTGAGCAAAGGTTGTGGAGAGAGCACCAATGCCAGGCTAAGCAATTTGGGTTTTATCCCTATGGAAAAGGAGGGCCACTGAAGCATTATAACTGAGTTAAGAAACATAGTCTGATTTGCATTTTAGGCTAATTACTGTGACAGCAGTTTGGAGAATGAATTGGAGGGAGAAAGTCTGGAGGCTGGGAGATAAGTATGAGTGTTCTGGTTTTTGATGGCCTATGACATTGGGAGATCATTTTACTGGCAGTGTGTAGGATGGGTCAGATGAGGGGAGACTGAGGGGAGGAGACCAAATAGGGAAACACTTTAGTCACACAGATGAGAAGTAACAAAGATCTGACCTAAAGGGCATCAGTGACATGGAAGAGGAGGAATCAATAAGGGAAGGCGGTTTAGAACATGTTCAAAGGCTGTCATCTTAGATAATGGTGGTACCATCAATAAGAATAGAAAGTTCAAGATGGGTTGCAGATGGGGATGTGTTTAAATGGAGAGAAGGATTTTATTTTGCTTCGATTCACTTCAGGACATTAAGTGAATGCCTCCAAAGTACAGTTGGCAATGCTGGTCAGAGTTCTGGGAAGTGCTTTGGATAGAGAAGTGTATGCCACTGGCATACAGGTAACAGTTGAGAATAGAGGAATAAATGTAATCCTAGTGGAAATTATACGGGAAGGAATGATGCGATCCTGAAAATGTCTGAATCTGTAGGGAGGAAAGAGACAGAGGACCAGGAAAGAAGGCAGAAGAGATAATGTCTAACTTTGTAGATTTATTTGGAAGATTAAACAAATTAAGTTTATTTGCCCCTAAAATATTTTGTTCTGTTCCTGGTACATAACAGATATTCCATAAATTGTCTCGCAAACAAATGGACAAACATAAACACAAAATTTCTTCACTTCACCCAGACTACTTTTTATAGAAGAAAATCAAAAGCTCACGTCTCCCCATTGGTAGAAGAGCTTGGCAGCATTCCACTGCAGCTTCTGGTTCCGCTTGTTGCCCACAATGGGAGATCGTCCCCTGGAGAGGCCTTTCTTGGTGATATTCACGTGATGTCCTTTCATCCACTCTGGCCAGTTGCCACGGTTGCAGCGGTGAACAAAACGGGCACATTCCAGGAAGAGTGCTGCTCTGGCGACCACAGGCGCTTCCTGAGTAGGGTTGTTAAGGAAAGAGTAACGTGGGATTAATGAACAGTAAATTGACCTTAAAGGGAATGACCATGTGCTCTTAGTTTATTTGAGTCTCCGTATTTTGATTTAGTTTGGCCGTATTTCCCAGTGTAGTGTTAGCATGGTTAAAATAGTAGTGGGAAATCTGGAAAATGAATGCAAGATGGCAAATTTGGGTGTTGAAAAATTAGACATTTTAAGTAGGTTTCTGTGTTTAGTTTCCGCCTTTTGAAGAATCTCAAGTAATTTCATGACTCTAATGCAAATTTAAGAGGCAGCTGGGATTTCTGTATGAGAGTGAAATAAATTTTAATAAGAAGGCTTTAAATGTGAAGCTTTTTTTAAACCTAAAATTAACATGATGCAAACACATATTCAATATCTAAAACTAGTATTATGTCAACCAAAGGTGTCAGTAGGGATCTTGTTCAAACAATAATCTGTTATCTAGGACCATCCACAAGCTCCAAGAAGTGCAACTCCTCCCTCATTTTTGCTAGTAAGAAAAGGAAGAGCTTATTAAATTAGATTGAGTTGTGAGAGAAAATAGAGAATAAAATAGGGCCTGAAATGGATAAATAAATAAATATGTATGTATGTATGTTGAATTAGTCTTTTCCCTCAATTTCTCATAAACAATACGCCAAATTTTGCTTTAATAGGCATGGTTTTAACTGCAAATGCTTGACAAAGAGAAAATTGCTTAATTGATAAGTGAAAAATAGACCATTTCTTCAGGAAAATAAAAACATGGCTCCATTTTGTCATGTCAAGATGTATTTGAAAAAAAATATAAGAAGCAACTTGTAGTTGATACCCAGAAACATCTACAGAATTTTTCATAAGCCAAAAAAATAATTAAAAATGGAAGAAATATAAAGTTTTCCATAGAGGGTCAACAGGTCACAAAAAATACATAATTCAAAAATTTACTTGTGCCAGTTAAAAGAATACAGAGTTACCTAAATAAACACAGGTTGCTTAGTAACCACATGTTTTCAAATTAAAATGGTTTTCATCATTGCAAGCAATAGCATTCTTAACAATGCATTGATCCATAATGTTAAAATATCGGCTAATATATAGAGAATATCAATTATGTGTCAATTAGGTACTTTTTTGCCAGTCAGTTTTTATGAATTGTAATTCTTAGTTATCATAACAATGCTGTGAAACAATATCTTCTTTTTAATATTTTTAAAAACGAGGTATAATTTTCCACTATCATATGGCTGGGAAGAAGTGGACAGGAGTCAATCTCAGATCTGTACTAGTTCCTCTTTGGTATCTACATGGTCTTAATTTATACTCATATAAACCTTGGTAAAAGATAATTTCTAGAATGCATGTAGAAAGTCATTGGGACATTAGTGTCATGTAATATTATTTTCTAAAATGCAAATATATAATCACATAATTTTCCCATTTAAAATATATTATAGGCTCAGTCATCAGTGAATAATAATACCTGACCTTTGTTATTTTGTTCATCTCTCTTTCTATTCCTGTCTCAAGTGCTCTATGGTCCAATTATGTCAAACTGGTTAGTCTCTCAAATATGGCATCTCCTACCCTTACATGTGTTGTTTCCATGACTTGCAGAGCCTTTAAGATCCTCGTCTATCTGGCAAATTTCCACTTTTAAGATTCAGTTTAGTTACCTCCTCTAAGAAGCCTTCCTTAATCCCATCCTTCTTCAGGCAGAGTTGGTTACTTCCTACTGCTGAGTGCCACAGTATCTCAGACACACTGGATTATTCAAGTAAGTTTGCCCATTAAACATTTCTCATTGTCTACAACTTAAATGAAACCATCAAGAACTCCCAAAATACATTTATTTATATAGGGACGTAATTTTACAAAGCATATGATGTCTTGCCATGACATATAAAGCTAATCTATGTGAAAAGGCAGAAGACAAGATAAACCCAATGGTGAGAATTTATCACTAATACAAGATGGACACTGATGATGAGAAACCATCATCAACTGTCCTGGTGCCAAAACTTGGTAGCAGGTCACAGGGATAGAAAGATTTTAGATTGCAAAGGATCAAATGACTTTCTGCATCAAAACTACCATTATTATGGTGCCATAACATACTGACTAAATATTTGCACTTTTTTCTTGTATTAAATATTTTACTAAACATCTCAGATATGTTAATTTGTGTCTAGAAAAGGCTGGAACATCTATGCCTAAAAATGAATGCCAGTCTGGAGGGCAAGGCTAGTGCTGTGGATTTTTTCTTAGTCTGCCACATTTGACACATTTTTAATATAAAGCAATGAGATTCATTGTCTAATTACAGGAAGACAGAAACAACATAGAGTAGCATCATGTTATGAACCCTGGCTCCTTCACAATGAACAAGGGTAAAACTTCTAACTCAAATCTATGGGGAAGATAGGTCTTTTTTTTTTTTTTATAATTGCCCTTAACTATTAGATGGCACTGAGAGGACTAATAGAAGATGAGTGAAAAGTCCAAATTGTGCTATGTGGGGTTTCCTATGTAGATTGGCTAGCCTTCTTTAGAAAATACGTTTTTATTTGTTTAGGAAACTCAAGGCATTTTGAATGAAAAGCAATTTCGATTCTCTGCTCTCAAAAACTTCCTATGATAAAACCCAAATATTATCCTACTGGCCCTAAGAAATCCTAACATAAGTTAGGAAATGGTATTGAGATCAATATGAAAATAATTCCCATTAATTACCTATACAGCACAACATTAAAGGGAGGGTGGGTTATTATTTGATAAATTTGATCCATATAAATTGCCAAATCTAGTAACTTTTGGAAATATCACTGTCCAAATTAAGAGACAATGACATAGAGTAACTCAAATGTTGCCTTTTTATTATAAGGCTCATGAACCTGGTAGATGAAAGCAGGCTTGAGAATCCTACAGTCAAGATGGCACTGAGTACTACCAATTTCTGGGGTACTGTGGTATGTATATTACTGTACAGACAATGGAGGGAGTTGTGGTGCAAAGCCGAGGATTCAACTGTACATCCCAGTAGAAGATACTTAGCAACAAGTACTGATATCACATTGTGTGTGAAAAAGCATTCAAGGCATTCTAGTGAGGGTGTGGCTATATGGGGAATTATTCTCCTTGTAAGTTCCTGTCAAAGCGTAGTTTAGAAAGTATTGATTTTAGGAGGAGGGTTATGTTATATCTTAGACAAAGGATTCTTTCTGGACATAAAGGAAAGTCAGTTGATGGAGCTCTTTCGATGGAGCTTACCTCTTAAGGCTCAGTGCAACCTGAAGAAGTAGCGAAAAATGGAGGTATGACAGAATGGCTAGGGATGGATTCACGTCACAGAGAAACACAGCACAAATGGAGAAAAATGAATCAGAAGAATGCTGCATGGATGAAGAGAATCACAGAGTATCAGAGGCATAGTTAAAAGTGAACTTCTAAGCAAAATTTGATACCATGGGTATATCACAGAGAACTTTGCAGGTGGTCCTGATAAAAAAGCAGGCATATTTAAATTATTTCTTATTAATATTGTCTGCCCGATCACCTTTTTGTTCCATAATGCCACAGAGCGTCTTTAATTTCACTATGTCATAACTTCATAGTTTCCTGACAGGCAAGAATCAATTTTAACTGAGAAGACAAAGTATTACGTTGAACCACATGAAATCTCTAAGTTTGAAGGTCAAAAAGAGTAGAACATTACCAATTTCATATGGTTCAACCTTATATAAGATATTCTCTGCAATGCTACAGAGCCATCTAGTTAAAATTACAAAATGTCATACATTATACAGCATGGATTTCTCTAACACTCTACAGCTAGAATACTTCAAGCATCAGGCTACTTTTCCTTGACTTCCTTTGTCACTTTTTCCTGCATTTCCTAAGATCATCATGTATATTGAATGTTTCCTTTATGAAAGTAAAGTAGAGAACTAGAATACTAATTCAAACAGCTGTGCTTTCTTTTGCCTGGGGACCTAGAAAATATTGTTGATGGCTAATTGAAGGTTATAATTGCAATTCATTCCTTTCCCTGAAGGACTATATCTAAACTTAATAAGAAACCCTGACTGATCTTGAAAACACATAACAACACAGGACAGCAACTAACTGTTTCTAAAGACTGAATAGTTTATGTTGGCCCCTGGGTAGTTACATAATATTTTATTGCCTTACAATAAAATATAAAGCTCTTGCTGGTGCAAGATACCTATTTATTTAAAACCAATGGGAATAAGCAGTTATTGTGGGTCTTACTGTGCAGTGCAACCTCGCTTGCTAGAGGGCATGCGCTTGTGAGTCAGTATTTATTACTTAGCTTGTATTGAATTCTCTGCCTGACTGAAATCATTAAGTAACTGACAGGCTGCCTCTGCCCCTGCCCATTTCTACAGTCGCCGTGGGCAACTGAAATGTTTCAGTGTCAGGCTAGAGGCAGGCATTACTATTTAGTACACAGTCTGGATGGTAGTCATTTTAACACTTACTCAGATCATGCTAATATTTTGGGTAAGTGTTTTAAAAACCAAATGAAGACTCCTGTTTCTGACAATATGATGGATTAAGTGTGAAGACAAACTTCTTTTGGTTTAGATACCTAAAAATGCTGGATAAAATAGCCAAAATTTTTTCACATTGTTTTTGCTTTTGTTTCTAACAAGAGATAGATCATTGGAGAGTAGAAATTACAAGGAAGTGCAATTCTGGGTTGAAGGTAGGGGGAGAGATGCGAGATAGTGTAGGAATATTTGCTCCAAGTGTTTCTATTGACTATGGCAAGACCACTAGGTTCCAGCAGAATGGGAGATCGGGCCATACATTCTAATATAATGCTACTATTCCAGGTGAGAGCCACCTTCAGTACGTGAAAACAGAACTATCTGACCCACAGAAGCAGGCATGCACGACTAGGCTTGGCTCTGGGTAGGACAGAAAAAAGAAAAAGAAAAAAAAGTCTTAAACGAGAATTCCTAATCAAA